AAGCAAATAAATAGGAAAAAAAAAAGAAATATCAAAGGAAATGAGTGAAAATAGAAACAAAGAAAAAGAGAGAAAAAGACGAATAATAATATTTTTATCAACAAAAGAATTTTAATGATAACGACGAGAAATCAATATTAATCAATATTATTACATAAAACAATCGTAATGATGATGGTGGTGATTGATATTAATGCTGGTGGGTGACTGACTGACTGACTGGCTGACTGACTGACTGATTACAATGGTGATTGTTGGTACAGGTGGTGTTCGTTGACCAATGATGTTGGGTGATGATGGTGATTAATAATGGTGAGTGGCACAGCTAACACCAATGATGATAACAAATTCTCATTCAGACAATATTTTATATTTCGCTAAATGCCCACTTTAAATTCCTTTCTTCAATGAATTCCTTGCTTCCCTTTTTTTTTCGGTTTCCCATTCCTTGTTTTTTTTTTTCACATTTAGCATTATTAGCAATAAAATTAATAAAGAAAAAAAAAGAATTAAATATAAAATGCAAATAAATGGTTGGTACTCAGCACTTCTGATTAGGCACTTAGGTTTATTTCAATTGGATTTCAGTGCATCGATTAGAAATTTCCGAGAACGAATGATGAACGATAGCAGTTCAAGTGGGTTACCCGAACCCACCAGCAATTTTTTTAATGACAGATTTAGACGTTTATATCGACGTTTATATCGAAAAACTATGAACCACTATCCACTCGATTACCCTATCCGTGAAATATAAATGAAAAAAAGAAAAAATTAGATTTAAATTAGAATTTGAAATAAATAAATAGAAATTGAGAGACTATTTAATCGATTGATTGATTAATTGCCAAAATTTATCAAATAAATCAATCAATAAATAAAATTCTCGATCCAATCAAATCATATCATTTTTTCAAATCAACCAATTAAACGAATAGGCGAATAAATATCAACGACTACTCTCAAATTATGAATGAATAAAAGAATGAATATAGGAATGAATGACTTTAAAAGAAGGAATGAGGGAAGGAATGAAGGAAGAAAGGATAGAAGAAATGAAATAAGAGAGTGAAGGAAGTAAAGCAAAACTGTTCTCATAAATAATTCAATACAAAAATCAATTTAAAAAAAAAAATTTTTAATAGATTAAAATTCCAAAAAAAAAATTTTAATTATAAGACAAATATACATTTTCATTAGTTCCACTAACAACTAGATTAACGCATTTATAATATAATCTTCGAATGTTAATGGAAATGAAAAATGGAAATACAAATACAGATGAATGCTTCCCTCCTCCCCCTCCCCCCTCCCCCTCCCCCCACTATCTGTACACTATTAAATGCTAATAACAGGTTTATTTGCGTTAAAGTATCGTAGATGAACTGAAAAGAATTATAAAATTTAACAAATAGCTATCACACAAACTTCATTAAGAAGAGTATATGAGATAATACTATTGGGCTTTGATAGAGGAATATGAAGATTTTGCAGTGGGATTGGGAGGAGGGAGAGGAGGGGAGGGGAGATAAGTTCTGAGCGATATGTCAAAGAATGCTATCTTAAAATGATAATAAAGAAGTTTAGGAAAATGTGACGGAAAATAAGGAACTTTGAGGGAAACCACTGGTTCTGAGAAAGTTACTGCAAAGGTGTAGCTGGTTAAAATCCATTCATTAATCCATTTTCCATTAAAGGATGCATAAGACAATACTATTTAGAAACAATACTACACTATACTATGGCAAAAGAGGAGTGTGGAACCGAATTTGAAGAAATTCGACGACGTTCAGAGGCCGAATGCTTACCTGTCACGTCCACCATTCTAGATTCGATTCCCAACCAATGCACCATCTAAAAAAGTCCACGAAAACCTCTTTGGTAATTTTTTTTGCTTAACAATTTTTTCGAATTGTCCACATGTTTGCTGCTATGCAAAGCTTTTAATTTGTGGCTAATAACGAATAATAATAAAATATTTAGTAATTTCACAGTCTTATTTTTCACCACCATTATTGGTTAGGTGGTAGAATAGCTCAGTGGGCTGTTCAATTCGAAATGCCGATGCTGAGGTTCTATTTCCCGCAGTAATAAAGCTGTCCAGAAATCCGCGTAATGGTGATCCACCTGTTCTGTCGCCAAGAGACTCCATGGCATATTCTTTACTGCAACAAGTCAGCGGAGCGAGTTTAAGCAGCAAAGGACTCTAAAAAAAAAAAATTACTGGTTAACTGGTTCTACTCGCTATAAACGTAAAATACCTTCAAGCTGCTCGGCCGGACGCCATCGCTGATAATAATCAAAGCCATTCCTTTTCCATCGTCTAATTCCATATATCGCTGGTCCATCTATACGTTCAAAATCTTTCCTGACTATATCAGTCCAGATCTTGACTGGCTCGCTTTTGACGCTAGAAATCTATGAAGAACGATGAAGAACATGCCTTAACCAATGAAGGAGACTTTGTAATGGTACTATTACTACTAAGTGGTATTTGAGTGAAGATATGAGAATTTCCATAAACGCTGTAAAATGTATCTGTGTAGTCAAAGGAAAATCGCTTCTTAATATTCTCCACTCTCACTGACCATGTATCGTAGCCATATGGCAAGATGGAGCGAATTGCAGTTATATGGAAGGATTTTCGTCTTTATGATGATTTCGCGACCATTCTATAAATGTTTCCATCAACCTGAAAAATTCTAATCCAAGGAATTTAAACTCCAACATTTCCTTAACCGGCAATGAACTGATAAAAATAGGTATTTTATCAGCATCTTGTATATAAGACGAAAACACTTTCGTTTTATTTACGTTGACCTTGGGTCCATTCTCGCTGCAGTTCCTGACACGTTATTTAATTTGTATTTCGTCATAACTGTCAGCAAAAAGGACTACATCATCAGCGTATTCAAGATCTGTGATACAATACTCTGGACTAATTTGGACATCTGACAAGCGGTATCCAGTGTCCATTATCCAGTCTATCGCATAGTTGACTACTGCAAGAGAAAGGATCAGCCTTGATGGACACCAATTCTTATTTCGAAAGGGTCCCCATATGCAAAGATCTGTTGACCACTGACCTATTCTCTGAAAGTTACTCTATCAATTGAATCGAAGGCAGCTATTCACAGCAGTCTTCAAACTTGGGCAATTAAACGATAAAAAATTTTCTAATATTTCTTCTTAAAATCACCAATAAAATATATTAAAAATTAACCGACCGACCATTAACCGATCCTTTAAAATCCTTCTTAGGACTCTTCCTATTCAACTATATTTTTCTAATTCTAATATGGGCAATGCGGTCGGACTTTTTTAGATTTAGAGAATTTTTTTCCCACTGGGCCATTCTATTTCTTAGACTTGGAGAATGCGGATTATAAGGGACTGTTGGCTCTTTCCCACTTAGAACCTTTAAGGTAACCTGGTAGCCTGGTTTGGTCTACCAGTCAATTATGTCCCCTTTACCGAGGATAGAACAAAGGAAAAACGAAAGGTTTAAGGTCTTATTCTACAGATATTCTACAGATATTCTACAGATCTAAAAGGCTTTTACGACCAGAGTTGGTGCTTTTAAGAGACATCATGCGATCCCAAGCAGTTTAAGAGATTCGAAAATATCTTTGTTTGAAATAATATATCGCTGCAAGTTCAGCGCATTGGTTTTTAAAGCGATTCCCTTTGGAGATACTTCCTTATTGATGGGTCTCTTTAGCCTTTTGCGTGTGATCATTTGAATGGGAAATTAAGGGATGGTGTTAGGGGATGTGGGGGAGAGGGGAGGGAGAGTTTTTGGGACCAGCTAACATATAAACAAGTGTTAGTGGTGTGTTGAGTCACGTGCCTTGCTTCGATTGGTGATAAATAGAATAGATTTGGTTCTGATCTCTCAACAACTGTTAATTTGTTATCATTAAAAGTAAAAGTCAGAGTGGAGTTGTTGCCACTATAAATCTGCTTAGATCTCATTTCCTAAAATGGATTCTATTGCGAAATACGTCGTTATTGAACAAACCAGATTAGAAATGGTGTGTGCTGTTAGGAGAAGGAGAATACGTATTAGGGATAGGGATAGTTAAACAAAAAAGGAAGGAAGGAAAAACGAAGGGTTATGGAAATAAACGAATGGTGTCGATTTGTTTATTTTTTAGTTGAGAAAAAATCTATTAAAAATCGAATCCAGTTCATTTCATTTTTATATGAGAAATATTGAATTTTATTATTTTTTTAAGTGAATGCCGTCTAAGTCCCTTTAGTAGTATTTTTATATCGTATTTATATTATATCGTATTTATCTTGGCCATATCAATCCATGTCTTGGTACATAACGCGGCATATCCCAATTTAATTTATTATCAGTTATCAGTTAATTATCAATTATCAACTTATCAGTGAATTTTGAATTAGAAATGCCAAAAAATTTTAATTTTTTTACATTATTATTAGCAACAGTTGATTGTCACTTGAATAATTGGAAATATTAATAAAAATTTTTTCTTATTTTTTTTTTTATTCTATCAACATTAAAAATATTTTTTAGAAAAGAAATGTCAAATCGCCGAACCAGAAATAAGAGTCAAAAAGCGGCTGATACCGCGTATAAAATTGAACGTTACTTATGTGATAATTCAAATGATGTGGGTTATAATGTCATCAAAAAAGCAATGATTGATAAGGATAATGTTGGTGCTACTGATAACAACTGTGTTGTTAGCGGAAATGATCGAGCGACAAATTTATTAGACGGACGAAGACAAAATTTTATTAATGATGAAAGAATTCCACCTCTTAATCATAAATATAATAACACTGAAGGTGAGGAACAATCACATGACAAAATTTTATCTTCTGATAATAGTAACAATATTAATGACGATGATAACAATAATAATAATAGCGGGAACATTGATAGTAATGATAATAAAAAAAAAGGGATAAATATTAATCTCGGAGAATCGGACGAACATGTAACCAGTAATTCGGATGATATCATTATGGATGATAACGTATTTGTTGATATTGATTCGGACGGTAATGCTACAAATGGATCTGATAATAATGATATCAATGATTTATATGAAACTATGATGGAATATTCTCATATATTTCCAGTCAATAGTGAGAAAACAGCAGAGAATTCGGTTATAACACCAGGTTAGCCTGGTTTTTTTTTACTATTTTGAGCATTTAACTTTAATTTTATCGTTAAAATAATTTGCAAACCGTTTCAAATGATTTTTCATAAATGATTTTCTGCCAAGAAAACCTTATTCTAAATGTTACCGAGTGGAACTAGTCAAAATGGCTAGTAATGTTCACGAAATATAAAAAATACAGAAAAATACAAAAATATAAAAAATTATAAAAAAAATTATTTTCTTTAGGGCAGTTTAATATTTTGCAATGATGATAATAATAATATTAATATTAATAATGGTATTTAATAAAAAATATGAAACATTAAAACAGGAAAGAAGGAATATTAGTAATTTCACTACTTAATTCATCCATATTAGTATATTAAAAACGTTTAAAGGAATAGAAAAATTTTTTTGAAAATAAAATTTTTTTCCGGGCTTATGCTTATAAAATAAAATAATTCTTCTTGCAGAAATATATACATATATATAAACATATATTTTGCCTAGTTATTTTTTGTGTAAAGTTTTTATTTTCGTGAATGTTTTTTTATATAAACAAAATTTTGTTTAAAAAAAAATCAGTTAAGATCCTCTTACATCGTTTATTGTTATTTTAGTCTGATATGATAAATATGAATGTCTTATAGAAAATCTTTGAGTTTCCTTTTTCTAATTTCATGTCACCTTTTTAAATTAAGCGCATTCTGCTAATTTTTTGGATCGCGCAAATTTCGCTGGAGAGTCATTCCGCAATGGAAACACAGGTAAATTGACAATCGCCGTCACCATTCGTTTTTATTCAATTCGTGTTAATTTATATTTACTTATTTTATTTATGTATATTCCATTTTTTAATATTAAATTTTATTATTATAGAAATGGACGATGATTTGTGCGCAAATGAAGCATGCATTGTTTCTATTGGTATGTTTTATTTATATTTTTTATTCTTATTTTCTTGTTTTTTAATTAAATTGAATTTTAATAATTTGTTTTAAGAAAATATATTTCTATTTTAAAGTATATTTTTAAAAATATAATTTTCAAAATTTTATCTTTTTGTTTCTAAAAGCTAAGGCTAAGTATAAAACTAAGTTTTCTAGGAAAAAAAAATTACCCCACTATTAAGACAACCTTCTAAATTATCCTCTAAAATTCTTTGCTTTAATTGTTCATCACTGATTTTTTTTTTTTTTTTTCAATATTAATTTCCTGTTGAAATTAATTTTTCTTCTGATGTCGAATCATTTATTTATTTAATAGCTGAATCTCAATCACTTTTCTATAGTTCTCGACGTTCTATTCGTTACACTCAGGCACAAAGGTACACACAAATGCACACATAGGCAGGCACATATAAACCCACATACATAGCTCAGTCTTTTCGTACGCATTCTTTCTTTTTCTAGCTTCTAAGTTCTAGAATTTTATCCATCGTTATCTCTCTACGTTTCAAAATTTGTTTAGTTATTAGCCTTCTCGTTCTATGTTATCGTCAATTACTCTTAATTTTACTTTAATAAATTTATTTTATATATAAATCTTATTTTTCTCCGATCCTCCGTAATTTTTTTTATTTTTCCTTCTCATCCTTTTTCTTTTTCTCCTCTTTTCTCATAGTTTTTCAATTCTTATTGACTAATTAAAAAAATTTTTTTTCATAAAAATTATTATAAATCATTATATATTATTGACAATCTGTTTTATTGAATTCGATTCGATTTATGAAAAATTATTTTAAAGAAAGAAAATTTTACTGAAAAATAATAAATAAGTTTTAGGAATCAATCTATTCAGTTAATTTGCAATTTACTAATTTTGTTATTTAATTATTTTAGCTATAAAGGGAATAATAATCAGTTTTCAGATTCGTTAAAATACGGTGATTATAAATTAAATAATGATGAACATATTATACGAATAACGCAGAAAGATATTTGTATTGATGCCGTTACATTTCATAATTATTCTATACAAATTGATTTTCACTGCTTGTTAGTTTTTGTTGTTAATTTTTATAAATGTGAAAAATTTTTAGAAGGTTACAATTTTACAATTATATCATTGTTTGTATAATAATTGTATAGTTTGTTATAAGGAGCTAAATACAAAGATTTTATAAGATTGTAACATACTTTGCGTTTTTGTTGTTTTTATTGTTTTTTTAAAATGATATTAAAAAGTTTTTGAGAATAAATTTTTATAAAAATAAAAGATTATTTATTTTCAGATCACCAACAAATCCTTTGTTGGAAAAATACGGTGTTAATTTAAATACGAGTTTTATATGGCATGCAGAATTAGCCGGTGAAATAATACCTGAAGAATGCGAAATGAGACACGGTAATCGAGAATTTATGGTTAAGAAACGAGATCCTTCGCAATGGACATCTGGTTTATTGCATTCCCATTCGTCAAATGTTCTATCCTCTTTATCGTCGTATCAGCCAACTACGCGGCCGTATTCATCGTTGGTTTTTTTTTCTTAAACATTGTTATTCTTTTCTATTCGTATTTAAAATATGTTTGCCATTCATAAATTATCTTTTTTTTTCTAAAAAAAATTGAAATTTTTCAGACGTTTTACGGGCTCATATCGTTATTCGGGTCTTTCTTCATATAACAGTTTTTCTTCCAATGCCAACGATTCATCATCACTTACTAATCGTCCAACTTCTTATTCACGCTCAATGTATGTGTCTTCATCTCATGTTAGCTATTCGCCATTGTATCACGTATCAAATTCAACATCTACGCAGAAAACAACACCGAGTCAATCTTCAGCCAATCTTCAGTCTAGTTCAGCCAATTCTCTTCCTCGGAGGTATTTTTTAAATATGTGATTTTTCATCTTAAGGATTTTGAAAAGATTTTCTCAAATCTTTTAAAATAGAAATAGTAATATAACATTCCTTGGAAACTTTATGCACCATTTACATACCTATTTCCATGCAATTCTGCTCCACTCTTTCCATTTTCCACTTTACTCCCTTATTCTTATCGTAATACTGTATTTTTGTGAAAGAGCAAAAATCCAGGTGATGCTGGCAACTTACCTGTATTTCTGTCGCCAAGGAAATTCTTGGCATATTGCTCAATGTGATAAGTCAGTGAAGCGAGTTTAACCACTAATGGTGAGGATTCTTAAAAAAAACTGTATTTTATAATATTGTAATTTATAACTAATGGTAAAAGAGTACAGCGAGAAAAAAGCGTCAGCGTTATGAAGTGAGAATGGATGATATTAAGAGACAGCTAGATTTGAGAGGATTGAAGTGGTCGAAAGAAGTTTGAAGTGATGTTACTAATGGATTTTGGCTAATTTTGAGAGGCACCAAAGAATTTCAATGTAGTGGGCGGATTTTTTGCTAATATTTGACTAGTTTTTCATTTAATGAACAAGAGGACAGCGAGATTTGGCTGGAATGCCATAGTGGAGTTTGATGCAGTTAATATATAAGTGAGGTTAATGAGACATTGGTCATGTTTTTAACAAAAGAATGCGTGAAATGATGCGTGGAATTAAAATGCCTTAAAGACATCAAAAGGGTTTTTAAAGTTTCAAGAGCAAAAGAAACATATTAGGAGATTGTAATGCGAAGGAGTTGAGAAAATATGGTAAGATCCAACATTTTATTAAAAAAAGTGCATGCATTGAGAGGACTTGGAGGGGTCTTGAGAAATGTCGAGAAGTATAATGAGTTATGAGGAAATTGTTATGGAGTTATGGTGAAGTTTGAAAGATTCGAAAGGTCCAAATTATATAAGGTCCAAAAGATTGAATATGGCAGAACTTTGGGAAAGAGGTTTCAAAAAGGAATAGTCGAATTTAAGAACGTAGGAGTTTTTGCAAAATGAAAAATTTTATCCTGAAACACTGGAACAAGTTATTATATAGATTCTTCCATGGTTTTCGTTTCATTCCACAGGTGATAAGTTTTTTAGATGGGCATCGTCATCATCAGTATTGTCACCTCCTTCATCATCATCTTCATCTTTTATTTCAACAAACGATGTACCAGCATCAACAACTGTGACTTCAACCAGGTCATTATTTGGACGACCAACAGCTATGGTAAGAATTTTTATAATAAAATGAATAAAATAAAATAAATTTAATAAATAAATGAATAAATTTAAATCGCAGACTCACATAAATATTTGTTATGCTATATATATTATATGTAATGTGCCATCGCTGAGTTTTATCGCTTTTTATAGGTATCTCCATATGAAGAACGAGGGATTGTCACTGAACCAGGTTTTACTGGACTTCGTAATATTGGTAATACGTGTTTTATGAATGCGACTTTGCAGATGCTTGTCAATTGTAAAGAACTACAAGTTTATTTCTTGGGTTTGGATTTCTAACTTTTTTTCATATTAGCTCTTCAATGCTTTCAATTGATTGTCGGTTATGAAAGGATTTTAGTGGTTTTGCGTAAGCTAACACTATACGCTTTATTGATTTTCTCGTTCATATCGAGCGTTTATTTGTTTTTTATTTTTTGTAATTTTGTATTTATAGTTTAAAGATTTTTTTCTTAAAAAGAAAAAAGTTTATAGTTTAAGGATTAAAGACGATAGTTTAATCAAATATTATTTTTTAATGGAATTTTTATTATTACTGTGTTAAAGGGAATCATTATAAGAAAGATATCAATTCAATTAATCCCCTTGGTTTTGGTGGTCGTTTAGCGGAAGCATTTGCTGAATTTATGAAAAAAGTATGGAGTTGTATGCATCGAATGACTGAGCCTGCAGCGATCAAGGTTTATTTCGATATTTTTTATCGATTCATTTTTTTCCTGCTCTCTTTGTTTTTTATATATTTAAGATATATATATATATATATTGTTTTTTTATATATTTAAAAGAAAAATTATCCAATTCAACGATGAATTTTTCAAAATTTATTAATATTTTTTAAAAATTTATCAATTCTTTTTATTAACTAATTTTTTTGTTCATATATAAAGTTGAAGATCTAATCAAAACTACTTGAAGGAATTAGTGGCTGAGAAAGCATCACAGTTCGCGAATTTCGCGCAGCATGATGCTCATGAATTTATGAGCTTCCTTATTGACGGTCTCCATGAGGATTTAAATCGAATTCGTTCAAAGCCAAATACGAACACTATAGAACCTCGTGGTCGCCCTGACTATGAAGTATATTTTTAATTGAAATCTTTTCCCTTTGAGAATTGTTTTCTTTTTCTAAAAACAATTTTTTCATCTGGAAGATTGGAAAGATAAATATCACTGCATTTAATAAAATGAAAAGGAAAGGAAAGGTGACATGCGAATTTATGTGGATTTTAGACAAATTCATTGAAAAAAGGTTTAGGTGTCGAAGGAAGCGTGGAGCAATTATCTGATGCGTAATGACTCGATTTTTGTCGATCTGTTTCATGGCCAACTTAAATCGAGGTTGCAGTGCCCTCGTTGTAACCAGGTAAAACTGTTTATTGGTATTATATTCGCCAAATAAATAGAGACAAATTATGGTTTTGTGATTAAAGTTCATAGTGCTTTTTTCAATTTTATTAGCTGTTACTTATTAACAATATTAAGATATTAATAAACGAATATTTTTTTTATTTGGTATTTTTTAAAATTTTTAATGCAACTAAATAATTGGTTTAATAATTTTGTCTTCTTTTCTTTGAGAAAGAAAAATATTTTCAAAATTATTCACATTGTTTAAGTTTTGAAGTGACTGATTTTTTTTTTATAAGTTTAGTTTTTATAAAAATGAACAAATGAAGAACATATAGATATCCATTACGTTTGATCCTTTCGTTTATCTTGCTGTACCATTTCCGAAAGAAAAACGATCGTTGTGGATTTATTTTTGGCCTCTCGATCCTTTCTTGAAACCAGTTAAGGTTAATAATTTTTTCCTTTAATATTTGCCACAATATTAAAATTTGACAATACAGGCTTAATTTATATAAAATGATTGCAAACTTCTTTTTTATTACGCTATTCGCCATTCTTTCGCCTAACCTTTTATCATTATAGCTCAATATTCGAGTCAGTGCTGATGCAAATGTATCAGAAGTTTTGTCTTCTGTTTCACATCTCGTCAATGTTCTCACAAAATCGGTATAATCGTCTTTTTTTTAGTTTTGAATTTCTTTTTTTAATTTGGGTAATATTTGTATTATTTATTTATTTAAATAGTTCCTTTATTTTCATTTCATCTTTTTGCAGATTTTAATCTTTTTGGTTTATCCACCAGATTTTAAAGCTTTTATATTATTATATAAGGTTGTAAAAGCGAAATAATCTGAAATATTTTAAAATCATTCTCTTAACAATGTAATTTCCCGTTTATTCCTTTGTTTTTCGATTAGATGTTGGTGCTAGTTTTATTTACAATTCCTGATTTTAAAGAAAAAAAATGAAAGATCCAAAGATATGTTAGTTTTTCGCATGTTATTAATTTATTCATTCTTTGATGCTTACAGTTAAGAATGATCGAAGTAAGCAATCATCGTATCTCAAAAATATTCAGAGCGGATGATAGTGCCAGCCAGATTTTGCCTACTGATGTCATATATGTGTTCGTTGATTAACATTTAAACATTTTAATAATGAATTTAGTGATAAATAAATTCCCTAGAAACTTATTTTTCATAGAAAGATATCGTAGATGAATGAATGAATTGTAGAAGAAATAATTTTGATTTAAGAAAAATCTTTCTCGAAATTTTTATCATTCATTTAATTTTTCAGATTTCAAGTACATGATCCATTAGATTGTAATGAGGAAGTGGTTGAATTATTTGTTATTCAGCGGCTTTTATATCACAAGTCAATTGTGCGTGCTTGTGCAAATTGTCATACAACTGAAACAAGTTTAAAAGTGTGTGATGGGTGTTATGATTCTTTTTACTGCAAACGGTATTTTTTTGTCAATTTTGTCATTTTTTTTGACTTAATTGAAAATATAACAGGAACCTAAGTGTTAAAACAGATGTGTATATATATATATATATAAAACCAATTCTCACATATTGTGAGTGGTAGGGATTATCATCATCTCGAGTACTGTACCATAGGTCTACGAGCGGTTCTGCGCAGTATCTCAACTGTTCTTAGCAGTGCACTCTTCTGGATAGAGATCTTTGATTTTATTCCTAGAATATGAAGAACGACGTTGCTACCATCCCATTCCTTCACTGTTTTTTCTTTTATTTCTACAAATAAGTTTGTGTATTGTTTATTGTATCTCTTGCGCGATTTTATGTGTTCATATCGAAGTTGAGAACTCGAATGCACAGGAAAGCAAAATTAATATTCGTTTTAGCTAGGAATTAAAGAGAAAAAAATTGCGAAATCACGGCGAGCGTATCTATGAATGAATAATCTTTTTTTAAATAATAGAACAATAGCAAGCCAAAGCTATACATAAGAAAGGATACGTTCATATGGTTTTTCAGTTTTTTCACTACTATCAGCTCATTTATTGTATACTTATCTGTATCGTATGTATCTTAATGATCTTAATCCTTTTTGTAAGACGCAAATATAACTTAAAATTAACGAGTTCTCTAGGTAGGAAATGAAGCGAGAGATAGATTAGTAAATTGCAGGCTATTATTTTTCGGATTTTTTTAAACTTTTCATTGACAGCAGTCTTTATACATTCATTTTAGATGCATAGAAGCCAAGCCATAAGAAAATGTTAAAGAATGAGTATAGTTAAGTAATGCGGAGAGTTCGGGTCATTTTATGTTCTCTTTGGAAGAAATCACAACAAGAAATCAATATTTTAATCAAAAATAAACATTATTACTATTACATTTTTGCTATAAGGGTCCGAGAAGATTCTGGAATCAATGAAGTATTGGATAATCTTTATGTCTCCTTAATGATCTCCTGTTTTTGAAAATATTTCTGTTTAGTTGTTAAAGAATGAATGGAGTGATTATCTTTTGGTAAGAAAAAATCTAAGGAAAATAGTGGGGGATTTCGATATTAACTGGCAGATTTTTGCACTGGTTCGACGTGTTTTCAACATTTTCTCACCCAGAAATTTCCTGTTAACCTATTTTCATTTTCTATATTTGTTTCTTATTGTCGTTGCAATAAACATTAGGAGGCTATGAAATTAAGGAGGCTAATAAGTGAGCTCACTCCAGTTCACCATTGAAGAATGGCCATAATCTTTGGTACATGTCCTGAGGATCTTAGTTAGCAGTTGTGCCAATCTCTTTTTGTCATCTACAGTATATATTTCATGAAATAAAATTCTGTCTAAGAAAAGGGTCGTTTTCGCATCGTATTAGCAACGAACGACCGATATCGAAACGTATCTTCATGTGATATCAGTTCACATACCTATGTCCTTACCCATTTGTGATATTTTTTTTCCTTATCGGTGTTGAAATAATGAAGTTCTTGCCAAGTTCTTACCCTGTTTTTCTAGAATTAGCGACAACCAGCTTCTTTAGGAATTCATGTAAACTTGTACCACTCTTAGCCTAAGGCACGATGTCTGTAGTCTCAGATATGATTTTCTTTTCTTCAAGTTAAATAATCTGCTAAACTGTGTTATAATTCCATTTCATGTAAGGCTGTGCATCTTCGAAAAGACATTTCGCTGTTTTGTCGATTTCGCTATTTTGTCGGTATGCCTTAAGAATTCGTTCAAAAAATCCTTTTCTCAGCCATTTTTATCATATTCAGATTACCATAATTAGTATGGCTTCCATCGCTTTATAACTTATTTTAAATATGAATATGAAAATATGAATTGCTAGTTTATTATTGGTATGCTCTTAAAATTATAGCTATTGAAATTTTAGTGAATGCCAGAGGCAACATTGGATAAGTGAACATAAAGATCGATGCAAATTGCGTAGCCATGTCGAATATGTTGGTGAACCATTTATTATTTCATTACCTAAATCAAAAGTCACTTATGCAAATATTATTCGAAATTTGGAATCCAGATGCAGGTATAGTTTCATTTCATATCTCTATACTTGGAATTTTTATTTCAGCGATTTTAACAAGCCATAATTTGAAAAAAATAACGAACGATTAAGGAAATCTTTGCCAGTTTTTACATTTGCTTTTTTTTATTTTTGTTATAGATATTCAGTTAATGTATTTCAACCACCTATCGAAACAAAAGATCCTCCTGATTCTCCCAGTAGTTCAGCCATTGCGTCTTCTGAAACATGTTCAACGTTATCATCTACTGTAAATGGTGTGCGACATCCTATGGTGGTTTGTTGCTTAGTTTTATTAGCATTGTTTATGTTCATTTGTGCTATTTAGGAATATGAAACTCAGGTTCGATTGCTTTCAGCCGACTCAGAATTCGGTGCCAATAAATTGTCTTTTAGAGACTATCCTATAACAGCTGGCACTGTTATTGGTCGGTTAGCTACGCGGGATGTTAAATAATTCCAATCGTTTCGGTCCTAGCGAAAATAAAAGTAATCACCTTTTCCATCGTCTAAGGTCGACCATTGAAGATCTCTCCTGATTGTATTAGTTGAGGTCTTTATTGGTCCTTCTCGCTTTTAAGGCCATATATCACAGCGATGTGGCAGTTTTTATAATGAGCGGCGAATAACGTGGCCTTGTCAGCGAATGTTTTATGACGATTATTAATGCAAATGGTATAGGCCGTAAATTCTATAATACTGGTGCAATTATGGAGATTTTGTTTGCACTACGGGTGATTTGAGAGACTATAACTACAATATGTTTTATATCATGCTAATTATATTTACTAATTATATTTAGTCGTTCATTTCTACTTGAAAAATATTTGTTAAATATTTTCAGCAGAAGTCTGCGCGTCCTATTGGAGTAAAACGACAAATGGTTCTTGGAGAGCCACGCAATAAGCAATTCTACGATTCACACTTATTCCTTGTCCGTAAGCTTCAAAGTGCAGAAAATGTTCTTGGTCCAATTATCGCGGCAACAGACGGTCCGTATTATTTTCATTCTGAATTAATATAAGATTGTCACATAAGAAATGCTATAAATGCTTTTGAATTCGTCAGTTTGTGATTAATAAAAAAGTTTTTGGCTTTAGATGAGCTCACTATTCAATCAAGCACTGTTTTATCTATCAACTGGATGAATATGAAAAATGGGAAAGATTATTTGACTGTGGAGTCTAAGGAGGAAGTAGTAAGCAATTTTGCATTTAGTATGAATATCTCGCATTTAATATTTAATATGAAGCACCATTTTATATAAAATTATAAAATTAAATTCAAATTTGTTTTTTAAATTTTAAGAAAAACTCATTTCTTGTAAAAAACATTTCCATAATAAATAATCTTTTTTGTTTTGCGATTTTTTCAGGATGTGGATGAAGATAAAACGGCATATTATCAAAGAATATCGGCAACAAGTACTAATCGTAATGCATCCACATCAAATCCATCGCTTTATGATATGCTTTCCATGTTCTCTGAAACAGAGCGGTTGAAACCAGAAGAATCTTGGTAATTGAACATATTTTATCGTAATTCTCTCATGATAAATTATTTCTAAAATTTTTTTCACGAAAAACCATGGAAATTTTTAACTTCACTGTGCTAATTATTTTTATCATTTTTTTTCAGGTACTGTAACAAATGCAAAGAACACGTAGAAGCCACAAAACAACTGATGTTATATCGTTTGCCACCCATTCTTATAATTCAATTAAAGAGGTTCGTTTACACCACCTCATTGATGACATTCCAGCGGCGCACGAAAGATGAACGTACAGTAAATTACCCAATCGAAGATCTCGATTTGTCGAACTTTCTTTGCGAAACAGCTGACCAAAATCAGGTTTTTCATTTCTGGCTAATATTTTTTTTTTTATAAATTCAATATGTTGTGGATTAATGAGTTGTTACTATAGTCTTCAGAAAATTTCGAAATCATTTAAATCTATTAAGGAAACCTTATACGATTTAACGGGTGTTGTTTGCCATTCCGGTAGCAGTTATTTTGGGCATTATGTTTCAATGGGAAGATTACAAAGTCTTGATGGAAAGATGACCGAAATAGGTATCTTATTTTCTTTTCAATTCTTCAATTTTCAATCATTTTTTTTTATAAAAATCTGAAATAATTTTTGGGATTTGAAAATATCACATTTATTATATTATTACATTTATTATATTATATTACAGATTGGCGTTTATTTGATGATTCTGTTGTTACCCGTATACAGCCATCAAGGGTTCAAAGTGCGGATGCGTATCTTTTATTTTACAAGCAGCGAGGATCAAACACAGAACGAGTACTTAAACGGAATTACAATTTAGATTTGGTAAATGTTCCTTCAAGCAGTCATTCGAATTAAGTTTTGCTAGTTTAGAAAATTCATTCAATATTCTATACGATTTTTTTAAAATGTTTATTATTAAAGCTTCCGCAAATCCAAAGTGATGGTTTTATAATTAATATAATGTTTTTGCAAAAAATAAAGCTTATTAAATTCAGATAATATATTCCGATATTGTCGGCTTCCATGTTTGTTGTATTATCATAGCAAAAAAAATCACTTTCAGTTTTTATAATAATTATTATATAGCCATTTGGATTGTTATTGAGGACAGCGATCCATTCACTTGTTTCTATACTAAAATTAAATTTTTGCAATTTTTTATTTCTCTCATTTCTCTCCGGTTTTTAATTACGATATCATTTATATATTGAAGCCCAAATCCATTTTTTTCCATCTAGGTTTGAAATTTTTGTCTTTTGTTTTTATTTATTAATTTTTTTTTGAAAAATGTGGATTAGCCATTATAAAATTTTAAAATAATTTTGCCATCTTTTATTCATTTTTTATTTTATACTTAAAATAAAGCTTTTTCATAGTGTTTATTTAAACCATATTTGTCGAACGAAACAGAAAAGAAATGAAAAGATGAATGAGCATGAACATTATCGAATTTTTTAATAGTCGGATCAAGATTTTAACTTTTATTATAATAAAATTCAGTTCAAATTTATCATTTATACGAATTTTATCACTTCAACCGGTACGTATAACTAAACTGATTAAGATTTTCTTCAATTAAAATTGTAATTTGCCAAATTTCATTCACAGATCGAATATCGCTATATTTCTGTAATAACCGGTTTCGTCTTTTGGATCCTCCAAAGATGAAATATGAATCTGAAAAGTGGGAAAAATGAAAAACAGTGATAATTCGAATGGTCAAAAAATTATAACTCAAACTCAGGAGAACATATTAGAATATATGTACAATTAGAAATGTTGAATTCATAAAACACAGGGCATCACCATCGTGGAATATTTCATCAAATTGGCTAGATGATCTCTATGGTTCGGACTGGTATGATTGGTCTGCATTTTGCCAGTTTTCTATGCGTGAAGAGATAAATCTACAAGTGTACCAACAAATTTAAAAATTTCAAAGTCTCATCATTTTTTGATTTTTTATAAAGAAAGAGTTGGAAGAAACCTGGGATACTGTAATATGACCAAAATAGAAATCGCCGTATTTTTCGATTAATTTAGTTGCATCTATTGCTTTACGTTTTGTGGTTCCATTCTGAAATAATTCTAAAAATGAAAATTATAATTAAAAAATCTTTTCTAAACCAGTAAACTTTTTTCTAACTTTCTGTTCTCAAAGCTCCAATTTTTTACTGAGGAATTAAACTTTTCAATAAGTAACTATTTTTCCAATAAGTAACTATTTTCAGAGCAAAAAATTTAAATTTTAGCGATGTTTTATTATATTTTTGCAAATCTCTTCAATGGAATAAAATATTATTATTGAGTGAATTCATGAATCCATCTAAAAGATCCTCGAGAAATTCGGGAATCGTGGCTTGGAGAATCCCTGAATTCACTGATATTTCTAAACGGAAATCTATTACTTTTGGCACAATTTCTTAAAAATATATGAAATTATTAAATATGAAATTATATGAAATTATTACATCATAACGAGTATTCATCAATGTCATATGGATTTTTACATCTCCACTTTGTCGGGGTGCAAAATCTGTGTCGCTAAGTGCTTCCGCTATGGTATTGGCGACATCGTTTAGCCTGTAATCAGTGAGCGAAATAAAAAATTCCCCAGAAATTTTTTAATTCCTTAAATTAAACAACTTTTTTCAGAATATCTAACAGAAAAAAGAATTAATTATTTATATAGTAGCGCATAGATGACTTAGATAGTAAAAACGCTAACTTGTCGGAATAGGCACATGCATACAACACATTAATATGCGATGGTTCCTCACTCATATATGAAAGATTTTTCACCTCGATTTCTAACGGTTGTCCGTCCAAAACGTTTCTGCAAAAATGATATTGATCATATTTTTACAACCAGAGGGGAATATTGCATAAAAAATGACCAAAAAACAAACCAATTAAATAAAAATATTAAAAAAATCGGATGAAAAAAAACATAAAAAATGAGTTTTTTATAATTAGCCAAGAATTAGAAGAAAAATGAAAAAATCAAAGTATATATGATAATAAGCAGTAAAGGACAATAGAAAAAAATAAATTAATCCCAAAAATTCGTTGCTCAAAAAAAAACTAACTTTACTCGTTCATCAATGACTGTTTGCAAAAAATTAATTGCATTCACTTGCTCACTTTTATCAAACAATGAAAGCATTACGATTGTAAAATGAAGTTTGCATGCACCTTGGAATAATTTCGGATTACGACAAGAATCCTGCAAGATTCGAATAAAATAAACAATTAGACCAATTTCCGATAAAAATTATGCAAAAAATAAATCTATCTTCAAAATATTAGTAGCTGAAAGAATAATCCGATAGTGAATTAATCATTGAATAAAATTATTACAACTCAATTTAAACCAAAAATATTAAATATTTTATAAAAAGTTTGATAAAAAATTTTTACTGATAATTCTTCATCAGCAAGAACAGCTTCGGTGAATTGCTTGAAAGTCATTTGAATATCTGGATAATTCATTGGTATTGAAACAAAATGAGTATATGGTGCCTTTTCACGTGCGTTCAAAATGATTAATTCAATTCTATCTCGGCATCTTTCCAGACTTTCTTTAGATTTTATCGAAATTAATTCTGAAAAAAAAATTTAAGAAAATTTAATTATTTCTTCTTGCAAGTCGAAATTTAAGTGGGAAATAATGTATAATAATATAGTGTATAATATAATATAATGTATAACAATAATAATATAATATAACATAAATATGCACTAATATGCATCATTTTTCTACAGAACCAAAAGAATAGGAGAAGAAAATCTGCCAAAATTAAATCCATTTAGAACCTTAGAAACAAACCTATATCCACTAAAATATATTATCTTTTGAAATCCAACTATTCCTCTACGAATCAAAAAAATGCTTTTATAAAATGCTTTTTTATGCTATTTATATTTAAAACAGATCTATTGAAACATGTAAAAGAAAAAGAAATAAATGATGTGCTGGCGATCATCTAGCAAATAATTCAAGCCAATTGAGTTCATGGCAAAATTTATGTGGTTGGACAAGAGTGAACCTAACCACAAATGACGACGAGATGCTTTTAGCAAAAATAATAAATAAATAATATACAAAATTTGCATATAACGATAATTACTGCTGGTCAATTCCCTTGTTTAAAGCAAAAATTATATAATATTTGAAAATATTTATGTAAACCGTAATATAATATAAAACCAACCAACAGGATGATTTTTATTTTTTTTTGAGGGAAATATTAGTTTACAATTGGTTTCTTCTTCTAATTTTCTTTTAAGTTTTCCGTTATGGCCAATAATGAAACGACGTAATTTACGTGGCACGTTTATCCTAAAAATATAATTGAATTCTCAATTTTTATTCTTTATGTTTTGAACAGCAAATGGTTTCATTTAAAAAAAAAAAAAAAAAACTTAATTTGCCATCCATTTCTTTGATTTCTCATCAAATACAATATTAAATCCTTCGAAATGAAATCCCGAAGCTTCTTCAGCACCAGTATCACTCGTTGTCACTGTTACAGCACTACTACTGCTTCTTCGATATCTTTTAAAAGTTCCCGATTCTGAAACATCCGATTTTTGTTCAGAATTGTCACCACTTTCCTCAATATCTTTATTCACATCGCTTTTAATTGTATCCAAGATTTCACTGCTTGCTAAAAGAAATATTATATTATCGATTTTATAAACCACTAAATTTTTTTATACAATACCTTACACAATAAATTTATAAAATTTGAGATGTTTCTGCAGAGTTTTAAAAAGTATTTACTACAGTGAACCACATTATTAATCAGATAGTGTTCGCACCGAAAATGGATACCATTTAACTGTTCTAGAAGCATAAAACTGCATGAAAAAAGCGAAGATGGTTTTTTGATATTTTTCACTCTTAACGGTCGATTTTTAAAGAAGTAAAACGGGATTATGAACACTGCACTTTTATAGATGCGATTTTTCTTCTTATGTGACAATAATCATAATGTCCATGAAATAATTTCAAAAACTTAGAAGAGTGTTGGAAAATTATAATTTCAACTCGAAAACTAATCCAAAGCACGTAATGGTTCTTTCTCCTATAATATACATTTGTAGGGACATATTGAAATATGGACATCTGACGAACCAATATGGTGCGACTTAGTACCAAAAACTAATGAAAACAGTTGCAATTAGAAATTCCTTCTTCTATTAGGTGAAATTTAAAGAAATCACCACCAAAACAAAGGATTCGAATTAACTCGTCGTAGAGGGCACAATCATGCTATACGATCGTCAAACACGGTCAAAGAAAATGGCAAACATCAATAGGCCATCTAGAATTAAGCTGGTTAGATCATGCTCTAAATATGCAGATATAATTCTTGCCTCATGCATGGTGCAGTTTGGCCCATGATGTATAACAAAAACAAGATATGGAGGCTACTTGAACGAAGACGAAGATTTCTCTGTTTTCATCTATATAAGATATAAGGTTTTAAAATATAGCCAACGGAACAGGCAAAGCCATTAATGGTGAATATTATTAGAAGAAGATTGCAATGAATAGCGATTTTTCTAAATATAATTTAAATAAATTTAAAAAAAAATTTAATCTCAGTGGTAGTGATACATTATCAATATTCAAAATAAGAACCTCTTTTAATGAAGCTGATCTGATTCCCACATAATTTTCGATATCCCTTAAGTAAAATACCAATTACAAACAAAAATAATACAGAAAAATTCCTGAAAACTTTAGTGAACTATATTGAATCAGTGAAAAAAAAACGCGTCTGATGTAATAATTAGCTTTAAAAATTTGCATGCTTTACAGATGATATATCGTCCGTTACTAAGGTTGTTTTTTTCTTCTAATAATAATTCACCATTTCTGGTTCAACAGATTTGGTCCCACTACATAGTTGCCAAAAAGCTAATAGATGACAGAAATGACAAATGGGTCTCCAGCACCATTCGGATAACACCTTTTAAGAAATATCATGCATCATTCTATATTATACTTAATGCAAAAATATGAATAAAAATAAAAAAATTGGATTCTTAAAATAAAAGAATAAAAGATAGACTAATTTTTCTGAGAGGTTCTAGAGCAAATACCAATAGCAAAAGGTGCATTGGATGAAAAGGAGCAAAGGATAAATATAATAATAGATCATATACCGAAGTTTCACAATAACTTTTGACTAAGGAAATTTCAAAATAAACTGAAATTAATCCAATTTTTAAAAGTAATAAAATGAGGAAAATAATAAATAAAACAACCGAGAAAATTTGGATGCAACTAGAAGAATCTATTATATCAAATAATATAATATAACCATCAATAAATAATATGTCAAAAAGACAAATAACTTACAAGGAGTGCCTTCATTGATAACAGATTCATTATCATCAGCTGAATTTGCATATAAATCAGCTGTATCACCTCCACGAAGTTCCAATTCTTTATCACTTCTAAAATTATTCCAATAAAAGAGTTTTTTAACTTTTTTAAATCTCAATTAAAAAATTATTTGAAAAAAATTTTGAATTTTCATAAATATATTTCTTTATCACCGAATATACATAAACTTATTATCTGATCTGATACTCATAATGGTAATATATTTTTAATATTTTTTGAGTTCATCTTTAATATTTTTTTTTGGATAATGAATGAATTTTATGTGAATTGGAAATTTACGTACTGAAATCAAAAACTTTACTTTTAAAAGATTTTGAAAATAACCTTAATATTATCAAATTACGAGTTAAATTCTTTTAAAAATTCAATATTAATAGCACTTGAAGTAATAAAAACATTATTATAAATAAATAAAAAATATTCGTAATTGAAATAAATAAAATGTCAAACCTGAATCCTTTAAATGGATTTTTTCGATAAATACGTCCGTTTATCTCGTAAGTTTCTACGTAAAGGGGAAAATTCATTTAATCCCCTGATAAGAAATTTTTTCGATTAATCAATCACTAATTATCATAATTATGAAGTCAAACAACGCCAGCATTAGAAACAATATCCAATACCCAATAAGGCCAAAACGATTTCAAATTTACATGATTCATTTACAAGATTAAATGATTCCATGGCATTTTTAAGAAATGATAAGAAGCGCAAATCAAATTTCTTACAATTTGTTGATAGCCACAGTAATCAATTAATGTTAGTGATAAGTAATAATGATATTTGAACAATAAAACAGTTAAAATTGGAACCAAAAATGCATCTAATGAGAAACAATTTGTATACGAAATCAATAATTGATATCAATAAATCAGAATTAAATTATATAAATAAATAATTATATAATTATGAATATTACATAAATATAAATAATTATATAATTATATAAATAAATTATAAAAAACTAATATAATTAATCAATTAATATAAATAATATATTTAACTTATATATATTATATTTAACTTAAAATTTTATAGAAACCACCATTATTATTAGGTAATTTATTCCAATAACCAAATGTAAGTCATCCGAAAACGAGTGATAATTTGCTGAAAATAATATTAATAATAATAATTCAATAATTAATGTAAATAATTCATAAATAAATAAAAATAAATAAAAATTGATATAAATTCAACAAGTTTTCCTCATGCATTCAAATTTATAATGTTGATTGCCTATGATTTTGTATGCATTCAATGCCTATTTTATTCCAACTTAAATATGCATATATCCATAAATTTGACATACTTTAATTAATTCTTTTCATGCGCAACGAACCTAAAATACATAAATTTCAAGTTTTCATTGGTACCACTGGAATATTTCGTTCAAGCAAACGTATTAAATTTACGATCAATTAGAAGAATATTAGAACGTCTTGTACTGCACTTTAATAACAGATAACGAAAGGATCGATGTTAATAAAATTTAAGATGAAAAAGAAAGAACAATTTTTATTAATATTAATATACTAATTAATATATTAATAATTATTAATATTGTTAATAATAATATATATTTTTTATCAATATTTATTTAATAAAAAATAAATGAAATAAATAAAAAATAATATTTAAATTTTTTAATATTTATTATTTTTTATTATTAATATTTATTTTTTATCAGTGTTTTTATTAATCAAAAATAAATATAAATAAATAAATGCTTTTATTAATATTTTTAAGATAAATTTTGTAATTTCGAGGATTTCTTAATTAAAATTATAGTTTATTCTATGATTATCAAATTCAAAATGTTTTTAAAGATAAAGAATTATTAGAGAGATTTGGCTAAAAACTGGCTAGCATTTCACCATTTCGGTTTGTAATTGTAATCTTTAACGACAAGTGAACCCGCAATAATATCTGCATTTCTCAATAACAGGTCCCTCCTTGTCGAAGAGAGAGGGAAAGAAAACCTTGTCGCACGAAGCGATAATCTGAACAATGAGCCTGCTATCATACATTCTATCATAGATTTTAATTCAAAATGAGAAATTAAAATATCGGAAATTTTTTAACAATAAAATGACCAAGTGATAAGACAATAAAATTTCACGGTGATAAAAATGATAAATAGGAAAAAACAAGTACTATTTGGCAGACATATTCCTATTTGACGGCTTAAGCCTTCATTTATTTGATTTTGTTATTGTTTCATGTTCGTTTTTTTTTCTTGTTTGTTTTGATTTTATATAAATTTTTACAAAAAACAATTGTCTTTATCTCATTTTTGCTTGGCTGTGCTGGCCAATTTGGCCATATTTGGCCATATTTGACTGCGACTATCAAAAAATTTTAAAACTTTTCTGTCCAATGCCAAATATATCTTTTGAGCCCTCAGTATTATTGGGTTAGATTCGCTTCACTGCATTCCTTGTCGCATTGAACAGATATGCCTTAGGGAATTCCTTGGTGATAGGAATACAAGTAAGTCGGCGGCATCATTCGGGTTTACTCGTGCGATGAGTGAAACCACAGCGTCGGCTTCGAATTGAGCAAAAACCCACCGAACCACTCTATGCCCCATTCATATATATTTAACCACAAATAGTGTTCAGTCTAGCGAATATTTTGAATCGTATCAGTTCAGATTTTGCTTGGTGAATAATATTTTTCGTTAAATTTTAGAATGAAATTTGCTGTTGATTATGCGAAACGAGTCGCTGCATGTAAAAAATGTCGCCAACAAATTATGAAAGGCGTAAGTGGATGTCTTTAAAAATTATCAACTTATCACCAACTATTGTATTTCTTTATTTTTTAATTTTAATAGCTATAAATAATATTAATAGGTGCTTTGCTTCGTTGGCTTAGTGCAAAGTGATTATTGTCGGGAATCGAGAATGGCTCGGTTTCTTTTGCGGCCAGTGCACTACGCTTCGTTTGGCAAAAGTGAAAGCAAAAGGGGTTAGAATGACTCAATGGGTTGTTGCTCAGTTCGGAATGTCGAAGTTTAGGTTCTATAATGGGCAAGAAAAAGGTTTTTCTTCAGAAAATCTTGGTGATTCGTGCTTCCATTGCCTTCTTCAGCTCTCACCATTACTGGTTAGGCTGGCTTCAACGGCTACAATGGTAAGACACTTCAAAGCCACATGGTCTGATGCCATTGTCGACAGTAATAGAAGCCGTTCCTTTTTCCTTCGTCTAAGTGCATATATTGCTGGTCCATCTACACGTTCAAAATCTTTCCTGACCGTATCTTGATTGGCCCACCTCGCTTTTACACCATCCATCACACAGTTTAGCAAGTAACGAAATATGCGACAATTTTTGTGGTGGAGGACGGAGAATGTGATACCATCGAAGGCGAAGTGTTCTGTGATTATTAATGCAAGTGGTATTTGAACGAAGATGGATGCGATCATGTGATATTTGTGATATTTATTTACGCCCGTAAAATGTACAAGAGTGATCAAAGATAGATAGTTTTTTAATATCCTCCATTCTCATTGGCCATGTCTGAGAGCAATATAGCAAGATCGAACGATTCACGGCTATATAGCTGCGAACTTTCGTTTTAATGGTAATTTCACGACGGCTCCATAAAGGTTTCGTCAACCGGAAAAAAGCATTTCTAGCTGCCGTGATCCAGGCTGTAATATCGTTTTTTGCCTGGCCATTTGGTATTAAAGTGGACCCAAGATATTTAAAATCGATCCCTTCATCGATCACCAATGAATTTACAAAAAGAGGCATTTTATCTGCTTCTTGCTTATAATTTCGAAAAAAATTTCGTTTTGTGTATCCTGAGTCCCATTCTTGCTGCACTTTCTGATACGTTATTTAGTATTACTTGCATTTTGTTATAGCTGTAAGCAAAAAGGACTATATCATCAATGTATTCAAGATCTGTGATACGATGCTCTGGACACTGATTTGGATACCCCTTGAGTGCCGACAAGTGGTGTCCATTACCCAGTCTATCGCATAGTAATAATAATGTAAGGGAAAGGACATAACCTTGACGGAGTTCCCAGTTCTTATTTCGAAGTAGTCTGTCAATTCCTCATATGCACAAACAGTGTCGACGTACGCTCATAAAATGCCTTTATGAGTCGAATGATCTTCTCTGGAACACCGTCACGTTCCATCATCCTTCAAAGCGCCTCTTTATCAATTGAATCAAAGGCAGCCCCAAACTAGATGAAACACAACCAATGGGTTACATATATTTGAAGCGATGTTCCAACATCCTTCTTAACGTGAATATCTGGTCAACACAACCACCCCTCGATCTGAATCCAGCTTGATTAGGGTACATCCTGCTATCTACTTCCATAAGTCTGTTGAGTAAAAGAGAAGCAAAAAAAAGAAAAAATTTGATTGTTTATTCGACAAATCAGCGGAGTCAACTCTTAGAAAAAATAATGATTTCGTTATTTTGTAACTTTTTTTCATATAAATTTAAAGGAAATTCGTATGGCGAAAATTGTTCCAAATCCATTTATATCAGATTCAAATAATCCTGTCGATATGAAGCAATATTTTCATGTAGAATGCTTATTTGAGACATTTACTCGAGCTCGCTTATCAACTAAAGTTATCGAATCTTCCGATGACATTGAAGGTTCGTACTGCAATTTTTTTGTGAATACGAGCTTTTTTTTAAAAATAAATAAGTTTTTTATAGGTTGGAAAGTTATAAATGACGATGATAAAGCTAAAATTCTTGAGCAGATCAATAATTTGGATGAATTTCGGGTTGAAAAATTTGGTGAAAAAGCGCGATTCTCGAAGAAGGAAATAGAAAAAAATACTGGCGATGAATTATCAAATGTTTCGAAAAATTCTTCACAATTGGCAGTTTCACCTGAATTTCCAAGCAAGGAATCGGTTAAAAATAATGAATTGTATCGCCAAGAAAAATTGTCAAGGAAAAAGGAAAATGATTCGCAAAAGAATAATTTTAGATCGAATGAAAAATCAAACAAATCAAAATTTGATTCATTTAAAGTGTTTTGTAAACTTTGTGATGTGATAGCAAGAGTTTCGAAATGCTCAGATAAATCGACAGCAATTCATATGTTTATCACAAGAGGTAATAATTATCATTTTTTTTTTTGTCCTTTGTCTGATCACACCATTCCTGATTCAACTCATTCCTATAGTTTAAAATTCGTTGGATTGAGATCATAAGAGAGTTATTTGGGAAGAGAAATACAAGTGTAACTATCCGATTTTTTTTTTGTAAATTTATGTAAAAATCTTATCCACGACAGAATTCATTGCTTCATAATCCTTTTCTTAGCTACTCTCATTATTACTGCAGTGATTAAGGATAATGGTAAGAGTTTCCATATTGCCTAAATCGTGATTTACACTCGCTTTCCAGTCTCCCCAGATTATGACCATTTTGCCATAGAGTCACCGATATAAGTGCAGGAGAATCCCCAGCAGACATAAATGATGTATTAATTGTTTAATAAATTTATTCCCTATTAATTGTTGAATAAATTTATTAAATTTATTTATTTAAAAAAAGAGCAAATTTTTAGTAATTCATAGCTATTATTGTTAACAAATAGTACAGAAATAAATAAATGAAATTAATAAATATTCTTAATTATTTTTCATTCTATTTTATCTTCATTTTACCATAACCTAAGGTCTTTCTTGTTTATAAGTCTGAAGAAGAAGAACGAAGCGATGGTATAGTACTATAGTTACTATTTGTTACTATTTGAAATCACAGTTTAGTGGCCATTTAATTAATGAGTTTTGAGGAAATCCTTAATTACAGAAATCTGATAATTGAAAGGACTGCAGTGGAATTTTGAAGAGAATAAGAGTACAGTGTTTAGCAGGTTGATAAGACGATTTGTTGGTCATTTTATTTAGTTATATAGTTATTTATATATTTATATAGTTTTCACATTTTAAGGATTACTGCCTATTGCTTTTTTAAATAATGAAGACTTCTTAAATATGCATGAATTTTTTCTAAGCTTATTTGTTTTTTCGAAATTTAGAACAATTTTTTTATTTTATTTTAATTATTAATAAGTTTTATTTTTATTAATATTTTACTAAAATTTATTACAGATGGATATGACGGCGATCTTCTTTTACTTGTAAAATTGCTTATCCCATCGATCGACCAACGTATATATAATTTAAAGAAAAAACAATTGATTAAGTTATTTTCAAAGGTTCTCTAGTTTTCGTTCATTAGATCAATTTATTTTTTTAATGCTTATTATCATTAAACTTATTGTTATCTTCGATTGTATTTCGTTTTCTTTGTTTTGATTGATTGTTTGTTTTGCTTGTTATTTTTGTAAATTTAAAAAAAGGCCAAAGGAGATAAAAGGAACAAATTTCAGATTTTCGACAGTGACTCCGAGCAATTTAAGGAATCTTTTGATCAATCTGGCGATATATCGGTTGCAGTGGAAAATGCTTTGGCGCAGAAATGTGATACTTCTCGTAAATCTTGTTTAAGCAACCAAGAAGTAAGAATTATGTTGTTTTTTTTTATAATATTTATATTTATTTATGTACTTTATTGTATTTTTTTTCAATAAAATTCTTTAAGGTTGATAATTGGTTAAATGATTTATCGAAAATAATGGAAGAAAATGAGCGAGAATCACACATCAAATTTATATCAAATCTGTTAATTTTTCATTTTAAATTTTTTATGATTAACTTATTTATTTAATTATATTTATTTAATTGTTATGATTGATTAATTGTACCATTCAATTTTTTATCATTTTTAATTAATTTCAATTATTAATTTTTTTCTAAGAGCCATCACTAGGCTAATTGTACTGGCTTGTCGGACCAGGTGAATTTTGCCAGGAAGTTATTTGATAAGATACAGATATGGGTCGCCATCGGGGTTTTTTGAAAGATCAGTTAAATCTTCCAGTACAATTCTCACATTGGTGCTACGAAATAAACATTTCTCATTGAGCCATTTTAAAATTATTAATCTTTCGCGAGATACCAGATTAATAGTAAAAGAGAATAAATATTTTTAAAATAAATATTATATATATAAATATAAAAAATAAATAAAAAAATTTTTTATAAACGATTGCTTAATTTGTTTTTTTTATAGTGCAACTCCATTCGAAATGCGATACATTATACGGCTTATATTAAAAGATTTACGAATCAAAGCTGACGCTAAACTCGTGTTAGATTTGTTTATATACATATTTTTTTATTGTTAACTTATTTCTCATATATTATTATTTAATTTAGAATAACAATATTGGCTATTTTATTTTATAATAGATATATATTTATTATAGATTAGACAGCATAAAAAGTGGTGCATATGAAGAATTTAAAAGTACTGGCGACTTGAATTCTATTTTGTGCATTGAATCGAAACCGAAAAGTGATTTGGATCAGTCACCAGATGATAACATATCTTCTGCGAAATCGTCTTTAAATGAGTCAGAGATGAAAGATGATGAAAAATCCACTGAAGTTTTGGTTTCAACTATTAAGAAAAAAGAAAGGAATACGAATAAAGCAACAGAAAAAAATAGAATTAATATAACTGAAGAAATCGCCAAATCAAGTTCGGATGAAAAAAAAGTTCGAAAGAGGAAATTAAAAGATGAAGCACGTGAGCAGACTAAAAAGTCCAAAGCTGAATGCAAGTAAAAATTTAAAATTTATATTTTACTACTAATTTTTAAGTGGTGATTTATTAAAAAGTCGAAGAAAATGATGAAGCTGTTTGATTGGATAGTAATTATTTGTAGATTGAAAACAGATGGCCTGTTAGTAACTCCAATCGCATTTTTTAAGTTTATTTTTCGGATAGGTTTTTCTAACTATATTTTTTTTTCAGATATGGTGCCGAATGCTATCGTAAAAATCCGGAGCATCTAAAAAAATATCACCATGAGTGATTTTTTATATTTTTTTGTCGGCTCATAAATTTTTTTTGTAAATTTATTTGAATAGTTGGACAGCTCTTTTATTCTTCTTTATTAAATTACTTTTATTCATCGAATTTATTTTAATATTCCATATTCCTTTAGAATTTTAGTTAATGTTTTATCTTTTTTAATCACTTTATCATATTATTTTCTCATTTATTTCCTTGCCAATTAAATCTTTTAGAATGAAATTAATTAGAAAAAAATTTTTAAAAGAAAATGGATTATTTGGTTGGGAAATTTATTATTATTTTTTATTTTTAAATTTTTTAATTCAAAACTTAGACTTTTGCATTACTTATTTATTAATTTTTTTTTATATTTTTTATTTGATCTCAAATATTATTTTTTCTCATTATTTCATTCCATTAAATTTGATTTGATTGATTTAGATTTTTTTTTATAATAGCATAAATTTTATTCATTCGTTAAATTCTTTTTTTCTATTTTATTGAGATATTCACTCATCTCAAATTATAGATTGCTAGAAACTTTATTGTAACTATTGGCTATATTTTAGCGATTGGCGCTCATAATTTCTTGCCTCACTGGACTGTTAATACTGATTTTCTCAAGACAGTACACTTCGAGATGTAAATACAGACAGGTCTAACCATATTAAAAGCTTCGATGCTCGAGGCGATAAACTGAATCATCTGAATAATCTAAGAATGTTATGTTTGGCTTATTTACGGGCCTTGTCTTTTATTTTTGTCATTTTCTGTATTTCTATTTCTATTGGTAAAGAATTAAAAATTTACCTTGAATATTTAGATAGAAGTATAAATCTTATCACTTACAAAAAATTCTTATAGAAGTCGTTCATTGATTTTTGGTTTCAGTGTTTGCAAATTTTCAAAAATTAGCTCCTAGGACGATTGTTTGTTCGATTGATTACTTTGGTTATTAGGGTTATCGTAAGCACTGCTGAAGAGAAGTGGGAGTTATTATTTATGTGAAGGTTGGGCGGGGATGTGGGTGGGTTCCCTAAATCAGTGGGTTGTAGTTTCGAGTGGTACTTGGCCCAGTTCACAGGTATAAATTTGACTGGAGTAAATTTTTGCAGAATTTCATAAGAAATGAAATGACATCTTCATTTCCATATCCAGTTGATTCTTTGATTTATCCTAATAACTAAACGAAATTAGTATTGTTAATACTATTGGTACTATTTCGGTTCATATAAAAAGATTTTAACAAGATGAATAAATCCCGCGAAAATATGGTAAATACCTTGGTCATCCATTGGGGTCGCTTGTATGAAAATTGCGAATAAAGGAAATTAGCCCAAGCAATAATGATGAATCACAGTTATTATATTTATTCTGTGGAATTCTTGAAATCATGAAAATGATAAGACTACGGTGATAGGGCATTAGCTCCCGTTAGTTAGTTACGAAATAATCGGTGTAAATGACATATATGGTTAAATTCATAGTTGTCTGGTTTTTTTTTTAATGAAAGATTTTTTTGTTTCAGATGGCTGCAAAGAGGAAACATTATGTATCGTTAGGTTTGGCATCATTATACGATGATTTAGATTCTACGTCAAACGATGCGGAAAGCAGTAATAATGTAACAAAACTTGCTGACAATGATAATAATGATAATGATGACGATAAAGTTTTATCAGCTAAGAAATTGAAGGAAGATATGAAAAGCGATATGGCTGAACGATTTAACGCATCGAATTTGGGTGCTGGTAGGTGGACGATTGCTTCCTTCTCTTTCAAGGCGCGTTTTTCACGTCTTTTTCTTGGGTGTTGCCACTGATTTTTTTGTTCTTTAATGCCCAAGAAAAAAAAGAAATTAATCAATCATTTAAGAATATATTCTAATTGACATTAATCTGTTGATATATGCAAATCATTTACTTGACAGATTGTGGCTTTTGACGAAAGATTTAAAAATATAATATAAAATATTTGATGAATGCATAATTCTTTAACTGTTCCATTGCAGCCTGCAGCAAAATGTTGTTAAGCGTATGTGGATGGCGAAAAGGTGAGCGTGAAGAAATGCAGGATGCGCATTCACTGCACGATCATTTCGATGTTGCAGTTAACGATGTGTTAGTTCTTCATTATTTTTTCGTATTGAAACCGCAGATTTGGAATGAAGAATCGAAATTCGAAACACATTATTTTTAGCGATTTTTTAAGTAAAAAAAATAAGAGCCTTGTTCCCCCATTTTGTTGGAAATTCTTTAGTTTAAAAAATCGAAAAAAATTTCTGAAGTTTATCGAATGTTTCTGTGGCACCATATTCATTTGTAAGAAGCAAAATATTGCCTCTTTTTTCTCCTTAATGAAATTAAAGAGATAAATGGATTTAAAAAATAATAATAAATAATAATAAAGTAGAAGGAGAAATTATGAGGTGGGGAATTCTAGGTGGGAATCGGAAATTTATTGGTTCAAATTTTTGCTTATAATGGTACTTTCTTTTTTGTTTTATGCTTCAGGCTTGCCCTTGATTTTTTAGCTTAAATTTTGATTTCTCGTTCATAATTGCTAATTGCTTATATACATTTCAGTTTCAATTTCAGTTTAAAAAAAAATCAATCATATTTACATTCTTCTATTTTTATTAGTGATTAATAAGGTTTTAGGAAAAGATGTGCGTTCTACGCAATTTTCGATGGGCATGCAGGCCGTAATGCCGCTGATTATGCAGCAAAATATCTTCCTGAGAAACTTAGACGAAAACTCTCCAATTGTAATGTTATTTAGTTATTTAATTAAAAACTTATAAAATTATTTTTTTTTTTTCGAATGTTGTATGATTATATCACACAAATGCCATTAAGTAAAATTTGTCTTTAGCGATATTTAATTTTATTGTAAAAAAATAAAATAAAATGTGGTATTATAAAATAAAATGCCACATAATTTAACAAATGATAATTATTCGCAATTTCTTTCACTTTTGATAACATTTTTTACTTTCATTTTATAGGTTTCGATTTGGTTTCAATTGAAAAATCCATGAAAAAAATTTTTATCGAAACTTATAAACAAATTGACGAACAATTTCTCATTGAAGCTAGGAAAATGTAATTCTTGTACTCAGATTGATTGATATTTGAAGTTCTAATTATTTGGTTACTTTGCTTTTATAAATATATGGTTCACTATTTCTGGTTAGGCTAGCTCGACTGTTTTTTTAATACGACTAGAAATTTTAATAGGAGTAATCTAGCGATAGAAATATATGTGGGAAAATTTTTTAGCAGTTAAGCACGCTGCCATTATCCACTCGGTTATCGTAATACTTTATTATGTTAATTTATTGATCACTGTTTTGTAACTGAGAACCTGATATTTGCAAAATGGTAGAAATAATTAAAAATTTATTTATTTACAATTTTCTTTTTTTTCTTTTTGTATTTTTTTACTGCTTTAAAATTTAATATATACACATGTTTTATAGAAGACCTTCATGGAAAGATGGTACAACGGCAACTACAATAATCATTATCAATGATACAGTTTATTGCGCGAATATAGGTGATTCGAAGGTTTGTTTTTGCTTATTGCTTCTTGTTTCTTTATTTTATACATTTTTTTGTATTTTTTCATTGAAGATTTTCCAGTTTTTCATGAATAATTTATATGCTGCATGTTATATTTTTTAAAAAAAATACTACAGCAGTGGAAATATTTTTGGAGTTACAGGCCGTTGTTTGTCGCAGTAAATCTCCAGGTACATTTTTACCCTTACAGTTAACCGTTGATCACTCGCCTATACATTTTGAAGAACGTATGCGAATTCAAAAAGCAGGAGGCAATGTCAAGTTCGTAAAATCTATTTGTTTATAAATTTAAGTTAATATTTAGGGATTATGCATAGTATTTTGCTATATTAATGAGTGATTATTTAACGCTTCCTTTTCCGATACGTAAAATATATGTAATTTTGTATTTATGTAATTTTTTATTTCATTTAATTTTATCAAGTATATTTTGTGCACGCATTTACTTAAAGGATATCCGACTTTTCCACTTCTCTGTGCCACATTAAGTAAAGGCGAATTGTCTGGGTTTCCACATGAAACATTAAAAAGGGAATATAAATAATTTCTTTTTTTTTCGGTTTTTGTAAAAGTAGTGGCAAAACTAGTTCTTTCTTTTTAGTAAAGCTAATGCTAGTTCAATGGAAATGGTTGCAGTAATGGGTTCTCAAATTTACGATGAGTGATTCGCAGATTGGACATCCCTGGTTCAGTTCCTTCACTCTCCTTACTTTTTTTCTGGTCGGTTATAATCAATAAGGATAGCGTTATCTTAAGGTGCATTGTGCTTTTTGCCATTTTTTACTCCACATGTTAATGTTAACTAATATTAATACTTCCCGTTCTTTTCTTGAAGGTCCCGTCAATCTTACAGTTCATTTTTGTTATATTTCTGCTTATAAATTATAAGTTATGAGTGGTAAAGTGGCAGTGATTCAAATATTAGGTTAATAAAACTAGGAATGATGAAAGGTGGGTACAAGTTTTCACGATTGATGCTGATTTGTCGGGTTTAATAGGATTTCGTGAGGTTTTAAGGAGCATGAAAGGAATATAAGGATGGATTGTATCAGATCGAAGATCATACTTTAGGACGAGATATTTAATATAAATTGATGGCTTTTAAGAATGAAAACCCTCTTTTTGCATTTTTTAGGCTGATTTTTTCTTATTTTATTTTCTTTTTTTATTGTTTTCTTATTATCTATTTTTTATTGTCATCTTTTTTTGCAAATTTTGCAAGTTTTAATTTTAATTTTTTTCGAATTTTAATTTTAAAAATTTTTCAAATTTCTGCTTTGCAGTTATTACTATTTAGCTGCTTCCATGGTCTTAAAAATTTTCTTATATTGTCGTTATTGTTCTCCAGCTTACTTTTGTCTTATCCTATTCTTTAAACTGGAAAAAAAGAAATGAAATCATTGATTCCTTAGGTTAGTGATTTTTATTGATTAATTGCAGTTAACATAGTTTTGTGGCAATATTAATATGACGCATTCAGGGATGGCCGTGTGATGGGTATATTGGAAGTTTCAAGATCGATAGGTGATGGTCAGTTTAAAGCCTACGGTGTAATTTGTACGCCTGATGTGAAAAAATTCTCCATAACTCTCGATGATCGGTATGCACCAATTTCATAAATATGTGAAAGAATAAGAGAACGCCTTTTTCCTTCAGTAAAATATGATGTGAATCAAAGAGGAATATTGAGAAAAAAATTATTTGTGGAATTTCTGAAAATTAGATTTTTTTTGAGGTTTATTATCATGGCATGTGATGGCTTGTGGAAATCATTCAGCAGTCAAGAAGCGGTTGAATTCGTTATTAAAAAAGTTGAAGAATTAAAGGTTATTATTTCTTTCCATTTTGTGTTGGTTTCTTATAAAGAAAACTGGATTTTGAATTTTAGGTTGTATCAAAACCAGCCGATAAGGACAGTTTGGATGACCCACGATATTCTTTATGGGAGAAAGTTGCTGATCAGTTAGCTGCAGAATCGGTAAAACGAGGATGTGGTGATAATGTTTCAGTGATTATAATTCTTCTCAGTGAAATGCTTTAGGCAATGGAAGGATACTTCAGTTTTTTCAAAGTTGGAAGAAATTAGGTGCTATGGCATTTTGCGATCCGTTTATATTTCCTTTTCATTATCTGCATATTTATTCAAACATTTTTGCTTCACATCTTAGCTAATATTTACCGTCAAGTCTATGAGCTTTTGCTTTTTATGATTATAACTCATAGTTCTTTCATGTTGGGTTTTGGAGGATACGTTTCGTTTTCACCATTTTTATTGTTTTTTGACCTTAAAATTTTCGCTTTTTTTTAGCTGTTTAGTTTCCTGTACAATATTATCGTTTCAGTTAAATTTCTAGGGCTTCGAAGAATCGACGTCTGAATGGCTCACTAGTAAAAGGTTTTTACCATAGCAGTATTCGGTGAAATGATGAAATGTTGAACAATGCTTGTTGTGAGAAGGTAAAGAAATGGCCAGTATATCTTGCAAAATTTCATGTTGTGGTTTTTCATACTGTTTGAATATCGGGTCGTGGTTCGAAATAAATCTTCAAAAATTTCGTTACTCATTCTCATTTAACATAAAATTAAGGAGGAAATGAGGACTGAGGAAAAAAATTCATAGAGCAGTCTTTCAGATTATGAGAATTTTACTACAACAAGTTGCATAATTGATTAATACGAAAAATGATAAGGTTGGTGGCCTGAATAAATCTGGGGTAATAATGGAATTTCACCAGGTTATCTCTGATAAGATCGTCGAATAAGAAATAGTCACTATCATTGATTTCTTTTCCATCTCACAAGTGAACCTTATTTCAATTGGTTAACCATCGTTTTGACTTTTTCATTTCAAGTGCATTTTATGGCTGTGATCATTTCATCCAATTCCTTATCAGTGATTGAGACAGTGCGTCACCAGATTGGATAATAATTTTTTTGTGTGAGTTTCTAATGATGTTCATATTTATTTATATTTATATATATTGGTGATGTATTTCTAAATATATCGGGTTTGGTGCTATTGCTAGGTTGAGGAGATGGGGTGTTCAGATATGGGTATAGTTAGGTCCTCGCTTTGGTTTCACTTTTAATGATTGATTTATTCGAAGGAAATTCGGGAGTTGAAATGGCAGAATTTAAAGATGTCATGGCTTTCCGGTTTTTTTTTAGTTTCTTTGATCAAGCTAAAATAGAAATGGAAGACGTTTCGTTTGTGCGATGATGAGTGATATTAAAGGAAAAGACAAAAAGGGAAAAGAACAAAGGTGAAACGGGTTTCATGATGAGATCTCTAGTGGGCAATAATGGTTCGGGTGATTTAAAAGCGCCAAAAGGTCATTCAAGAATGGTTACTAAACGTATCACTTTGCTTTAATGATGAAAATTAGTCTCGACAGACTTCCTAAGTGTAGGCTAAGGCTTCTACGGGTTAGAAAGTGGTGGGAGAATAACCGAATAGAGGACGTTATTTAAAGAACTTAGAATTGATTTTGGATGAAATAGGTGTTTGGATCTTTTTTTTTTGCTATTAATTAGTCAAACTAGAAATTTTCGTTTGTGAAGAAGAAAAAAAAATCGAAAGGGAAAGAGATTTGTCTAAAATTTAGAATTTCAATTTCAAATCTGCAAGAAAACACTTCTAAAACGCTTTAAATAATGGTACTTTTGTCAAATAATAAAAAAATTTTATTGAAAGGGATGTAAAAAAAAATTTTTTTTAAGAATCAATTAATCAGTAAAGTAATGTCATTAATCAGTGAAGTGATATCAGCAAATCAGATAACTCAGATAATTTGGATAACTTGCTTTTAGGATATAAAACAGGAGTTTATTTTCTGACAGTTAAAATGAAGCAAATCTTTAGAAAATAGACCATTATTTTCTCCTTTATCAAATTAGAAGTTTGCGAAAATAAACGCATGAATTTTTTTCAAGATTTCATGGACCTAAATTATCGACCCCTTTAATCACGTATTTGCTCTCGTCGAGAAACACAACCAAATCCTCCAAACACTATAATCCGAACCATTATCGAGTCGGTTATCGTGGATTCGTTATTTATGGAAAAATTATCCATAAAATTCGTTTTAATTACGCACTTCATACGATATGATTGATTTGTTTTGGTGCCACTGAATAAGGGTAATAATTTAGCAATAATTCTATTTCGAATGGCCCATCGTATCCCCCTAATTCACTCAAAATTATTTAGTTGCTCATCTATTTTATAGCGTAGTATAAAATTTAGTTTTTGATAAAAATCGCTTCCTAAGGAGTGGTGCGGTGCTTTAGGGGATTTTTGCTAAAGGAACTCCTCCTAGGAAAGTAGATGCTAACCGGAATTTCGACGCTTGTTTGTTTATCAATATATTTTTTTTGAAAACTGATTGTTTCTTTTATTGCGTGGATACTCTCTCTTTCATAAACAGGTCATTTTTAGCAGAACACATTTCATCCTAATTTTCAGTTGATTTACCTTATTTTAGTTCAATCAACCTTCGAGCTAAATCTTCTTGCCTTACTGATTCGAGATAAATGAGCCTCATTTTAAATTAGAATTTCATGGCTCAATAATTCGAGATAAAAGGAAATTATCAATTTTATCAATGCGGATTATCAGTTTTATCGATGAATTTTAATAGATTTTTTTAAGAATTTAATTTGTGCTAAATATATACAAATTTGTTTTTGAAAATAATATTCATTTTTGAATTTGAAAAAAATTTTTTTTTTGGTATAGTTTTTATTGGAATGGCTAATTAAATCAGCTGTTCAAATAATTTTTATTGGATTTAAATTAAGTTAGTAAAGGCGAAAATAAAACACAGGTGTGTTGCCAATATAACATCGACCATTAGTGCTATTAGCGAATTTCATGATAAAACTCGCTCGGTTTATCAATATTTCCCCTTTATACGGCAAATGTTTCGTTAAGAATCGCTTCGCTAAAAATTGCCAAATTTAAGTTCAATCTAAGAAAAATTATCATTATCACTCTTTTCTTTTTTTTTCTTCAAAATTCATAATCCTTGAAATATATAAGCTTTTCTAGCAATATGTTTTATTTAGCTAAAATTCATTAATAGCCCTTATAACCTTGCAAATCTCGAAATTCGACGTTATTCTCGAAAAATCTTTCCACTGATTATCATGCATTTCTATCGAATGTGCAGCAATTATGCATATGCACAGTCATGCACACAGTTGCAAAAAAATGCACGCTGTTGTAAATCCCCTCGTAATGTTTGCTTTTTCATGAATTTGTTGAAGGCAATATTTGTTGAATAGTTCAGATGTTTTTTGCAATAATAGTGAATGAGATGCGTTTAGAAGATTTATATTTATCAATTATTTTATTAGATTTATGCAAAAAATTTAAAAATTCGATTAGAAAATATGAAAAAAATTAATAAAATTTTATTATCATAAAAATTAAAACTCAAACCACTTAATTTATTAGTAAAAATTTGTTACTGATAAATTTTTTTTCTTAGCAATTCCAACAATAAAATTTCTTCTAATGATAGGAAATCTAAAATGGCTGATAACTGATAATTAGGACGATATTTCTTCACGAGAGAGTTAGTAAAGGAAAGAGAGACTTCAGGTAGCCAATAAGATAATAAAATTTAGCCTCCAATATCGTAAGTTTACCCAAAATTGGGGAATTTTACCTTTATCTTTAGTTCATTACTTTTTATTAATTAATTGGTTGATAAAGGGCACATTGATTAAATCGTGTCGCTTGTCACTTCATATGTTTTTCTTTTTATCATTTTCTTCAAATCATCTTTTTGAATTGGAAAGTTGAAGAAAATAATGGATATGCATTTTTTTCCATAGAAATGATAAAATGATAAAATTCGAAAGTTCAAAATTCAAAAATTAATTTACAAAATTAATTCAATTCAATTTAATTTAAAAATTAATTCAAAAATTAATAACTTTTTAGCCTTATCATGATACTCGCATAATTTATTGCAGATGTGTCTAATGACTGGCACAATGTTAGTGCCAATCTGCCATTAGTACCAATACTATTGGAAATGCAAAATTCTACTAAATAATGCAAATACTAAATACTAGTACCAATATTATTAATAAAATCAATTAATACGAATGCTATCAAATGGTTGATAATTAGATAATTAGAAAAATTACAATTATCAATTATCATTTTTGCAAATTCTGATAACTGTTCATAGTATTAAATACTGATCCAAAATTTTTATTACAAATTTTGTATGAAAAGAAAAAAATCTTAGATTAGCATTTCATTTATCATTTCTTTGTTAACTTTCTTCCACTGGACCTGTTGGTTCTTTTTTTGATTAGAAATTTCGGCCACGAATTCAAAGCTTGGTAACTTGCTGGATTAATCGTGAACATAACCCGCAAATTTTTTAAAGAACAATATTATTAATTATCACGAATTTCTATTTAACACTGCTAATATAATGCCGCTTGCTTCTTCTATTATTTATTCATGACTCTTTTCATTGACTGAGTGGAACTTGCCATTGGAAGCCAGGTTGCACATTGAAAACTCGCCTGTTTCCGTGTGGTTCTCTAAAAAATTGTCACTATACCCAATTACTTAATATTCGCTCAAATAAACTTGCACAATTCGCATACTACAAATTCATATTAATATTCTCGCTGCGCCAAATATAAATGCACCATTCATTAGCATCCACGTCATAATCGTAATTTGCATAATTTGCGCGTTTCTCACGTTTCTCTTAGGCCTCACTCGCTCGTTTTGAATCGTTCTTGACGTATATTTGTTTGACTTACGTGCTTTTGCTTTAGATTAGACGTACCATTATTGTTGTGATTATTTATGATTATTTATTATTTTTAATGATATCATTTAATCGCTAATAAGTCCATAAAAAAAAAAAATTTTATCTTCAGGTTAGTTTTAATAATAATAAATTTTGTATTTTCTTTTTATTTTTGTTTTGAATAAATTTATTTTTTATTTAAATTTTGTATTTTTTTTTCATTATATTCTTTCATCTTTTCGAAATCCATTGCTTTGTTCTTTTAATAATCGTCCAAATTCCTTAATTATCCCTAAACGTCCGGCCGTAGGGCAGAGAATGGCTCAGTGGATTGTTGTTCAATTCGGAGCACTGATGCTGAGGTTCTACTCCCCGCAGGGGTGAAGCTGTTCAAAAATCCGACTGATACTGGCGATTTACTTCTATCGCTAAGGAATTCCCTACCATATTTGTCTAAGCCAGAGTAGCGAACCTAACCAATAATATTAGTGAGGGCTTTTAAAAAAAAAAGGAAACATTCAGTCATTTCTGGAAATTATCTTATCAGTTATCTCCATCTATTTTTCTTTCTTTACACTAATTCTGGTTAAGTACCAATGATCACTTAGGCATTTAGGCGATTTTTTTTTACTATTGAATGATTTTGAGAATTAAGAAAAGTGATCCACAGTTGAATCCACAGCAATCATCCAGATTTCAATTTTTTATTAAAGCCGTTAAGAGGCACAGATCGCTCTCTCCATATTCTTTACAGTTTTCAGGATATAAACTCTAATAAGAACGATTTGACAATCTATTATTTATATTCTTTTAAAATAGCGATTATATTCTAAAAAACTTCTGAAATAAAAAATAATAAAATAAAATAAAAATAATAAAATAACAAACAAAAATAGAATAAAAATACTAAAATACTATAAGTTATTATTTTAAAATTTTTAATTAATTGCAGAAAGAAACAGTCGGTTTTAACAGTCGAAACTGGTTAAGAATGGAGGATGAATGGTCGTCGCCTATTATTATAAAAGATGAATATCTTGTATCGGCTTTCCCTTACAATACTTCTTTACAAGAACATTGCCTTCAGGAAAATATGGCAATAAATTTTCAATTTAATAGTGGTCATATTCCTATTGTTAGTGATAATGATGATAGTGATGATTCGCGACAAACAAGAAATCATCTTGATACTGATAACGAATATCGTATGATGATTGCTGATAGCTTTGATTTATCAGGAATTAATTGTCTTGCAACACTTAATGACGATATCGAAAATTACTATGTCGCTGGTTTGTCGTTTATCCATTCTTAATCGTATAAATATTTTATGAGTTATTTGTAATTTCTTTCTTTCTTCTAAATTCCTTCCTCACGCCCTATCAAGTAGTATAGATTTTCCTCATTTGCTAGTCCTCCACCAGAAGTCTAGACTGAGGGCAAATTAGCACCTCTGGCCTACTAGTCCCTCTGGAAAGCAAATTCCGGCCATGATTCAAATCTCCGTTAGTCTTTTTAAAGGGATGGCTGGGTCCTTTTACTCACTGTTATTCCTTTTCTATACATATATATTTATCGTAGCAATACGAAAAAGTTACTGTTGTGAAATGAGTGGCAGACTAAGCTTAAGCTCATACTATGCCCAGCAAAATATATATATTTAACTACAAATATATGTGCAAAAAAGCCTCAGAAACTGTCCAATAGATAATGGCAGAATGGCACGAACAACTTAAAGGGATAACCAAGTAATCAGCAGTGTTCACAGGTATATCTGCCTAGTGTACTGCTTGGACTTTATTGCTTTTGGTGGTAGACAAGAACCAGAAATATCAGCACTGGTGATAGACAAAGCAATAAAAAGTGAAAAGAACTGGAAAGTGAAGGCCAAAGTAATCTCAATGGTGGTAGGAAGACTGAAAGTTGTAACCCCTAAACTAGAAAAACCGATTCCAACAGATTTCAGAAATAGAATCAGGAGATTCTAGAATAGCGTAGTGCTAGTAACAATTAAAAATATTGCGCAGACCTCTCAAACTCCTAGGCCTCTGATGGAGAATCTTGCACTGATATAAACCATTCACAGGGGGCGAGAAAAGGATATGCATGTATATATTTGTATTTGTCTATCCGAAATTATAAAATATTTTTACATTTTAGTAGTAAAGATAAAAGCTAATAAAAAAAGATATGCATTTAATATATATATTTCAGAATTTTTTAAAAATATAAATATTTTTTAGAATATTATAAATAAGTATTCTTTAATACTAAATAATAATAAAATATTTTAAATCACTTCAAAATCAACCTTTTAATTCTATTACTACCAAATAATTTATTAAATAATTATTTAATTTATATTTAATCGATGAAATCATTTACTTGAAGATGTTTTTCTAGGATATCAGTAAAATTTTATCTGTTAAGGGGAATATGTCTTTGTGTTCGTCTGTAAGTCACCATATATTCCAGTGGATGGAGATGAAGTATGCGATCAAATATTTTTCAGTTATCCCCAGTCTTCTATATTTTTCTCCTTTTTACCCCTTCCCTTTTTAGTTTGATACGACGACACGTTTCTTATCATTGCTTTGTTATGGTTTCCATTGATATAAAAGCCTGTAAAGTATGTTAATAAAGGCTTATAAATTGAATTAATTTCAAAATATTAATTAAACTTCAAAACTTCAGAAGAAGTATTTTATTATAGAATTTCCAATGTCACATTCGATGGCAGAATTAAATTCATCAGCTATATCGCTCGAATCATCGTTACATTCCAAGGATTTTAAAGATTTCAAAGATGGAAACTTTATGAAATATAGGCGAAAGTTTAAAAATGGTACTTCACTTTTATTACTAAGATAAATTGGTATTTGCTCGTAATGGATATATTTGTAGATTTTTTTAAAGTATATTTTCAAATTATATTTTTTAAAAATTTATCAGCAATTTTTAACATTTTATAGATTTTTTAAAAATTATTTGTTACAAATAATTCGATTCTTTTTATAAAATATTTTTGCTTTTTATAAAACTTTTTATCAAATTTTTAAATAATTCGAATAATCCTTTGTAATATTTAGGAATTTTTGATATATTTCTTATACTAGAAATTTTCAGCGGTAAATTTCCCATCACCAACATCTTCCGAACGATCATCGTCAGTCGAATTCAACTCTCATCTTGCTCCTTTAGTAACTAAGTCTCGAAGTAAAATGCATGAAATGGCTATCAAGCAAAGGCTTATTACTGATCAGGTTGGGTATAACAAATTTTGAAAATAATGGCCATGAAGGTAGAAATCCATATTCTTTCGTTTTCCTGTATAATTTCTTATGAATTTAAAAAATGGCGATTTGTGAAAATATTTCTTTACCGATTTGCTTTTAAAAGAAATTATAGGATCCTCGTGGAAATGGCTTTGTACAATTATCAGCTGAAGAAAAGCGAACATTACTACAAGAAGGATTTAATCTTCCAATTCATTTACCGCTTAGCAAAGCTGAAGAAGATGCACTTAAAGTCGTTCGAAGGAAAATTAAAAACAAGGCACGATTACCAGAATGATTGAGCAAATTTAAATCCAAATTTATTGTATTTTTTTAAATTTCATTTTGTTTGAAGGGAAGAAAAATTGAAAAATAATGATATTTCTTTTTTTTCTTCAAACAGCTCTCACCATTACTGGTCAGCCTGGCCCCGCTGGCTAAAGCAGTAAGATGTAAAAAATCAGTAAGACGTTTCCAAATTGTTCGATCTGATGCCATCATCACTGACAGTAATAGAAGCCATATAATAATATTTATAATAATTTGAATATAATTATATTTTTGAATATAATTTTGTTTCAAATTTAGTTATCTGCTCAAGAAAGCCGACGAAAGCGCAAAGAATATGTTGATTCTTTAGAAAAAAAGCTTCACGGCTATTTCAGCGAGAATTTATCGCTTCAAGCAAAAGTATTTTATATACTTCAAATTAACTTAAGAACTTAACTTAATAATTTCTTTATTTAAATTCACTAAGGCATTCACTAAGTTTTAATGGTTCATGAAAATTTCCCATAATTTCTATTTGAGAATCTATGAAAAATAAATTTTAAATAAATAAATTTTAATTTTAAATATTATAAATATTTAAATATTTTACAATTTTAGAGTAAATAATTATTTTTTCAAGATATTATATCAATTATATTATAAAAAAATACAATTTTTATGATAAAAAAGATTAATTAATTGCTTAAATAGAATTTAGCTTCATAATACGTTTTTCTTATTGATTTCTATTATTTTTATGTTTTTAGATAAAACAGCTCGAAGAAAATAACAAAAATCTCTTAATGCAACTTAAAATATTGCAAGCTTCACCTGATACTATGCACGGTTTATGAAAGTTTCTCATAATTTCGATTTTTATATATAATTAATTAATTAAACAATCGACAATCATCGAAACTGTAAAAATTTTTAAAGATTTTTTCTATTAGAAATTATTTAATTAATATAATAATTTAATTGGTATTTCATGTTATTTGACTTAGTGGAATTTCGTTTATTTATTTTTTATTTAATCGTGAAAAAAAAGAAATGTGTGAAAAAAATAAAGCTTAGACAAATGCTTAGATAGATATGAGCCTTTTTTTGTTGTTCATTGTTGCATAATTAAATTAGAGTATTGAAGTTAACATAGATGATCTAATGGTATATAAATATATATACATATTTAAAGACTTCCAATGACCACTTTATTCGGTTGTTTTAAAAATATTTTTATTCGTTTTAAATCATTTCTAACCTTTATTTATTTATTATATGAAATCGTTTTATTCCTTATTTATTTATCATTGTTTCTTTCTTTTCCAATGTGCATTATTATTTTTTGTAAATTTTACCTGTTTATTATAATTCGTTTTATTTATTACAAATTATTTTCTAAAAACTAATTAATTATTATGAATTAATTAAAATTATGAATTAATTAAAATTTACCTATTGTGAGGAAGGATAAGATGAAAAACGTTTTATTGTGTCAAAAGATATTTTCATTTATTCCATTTTAATTTGGCCATTTGCTCCTTCAAATAGTATTTATTTGTTTTCTCGAATCAGTTGTGTTTAGTTGTTTTTGTCGTCGTTCCTAGCCATTTCTTTAACGATTTGCAAGCGATATGCAATCTTCAATAATAATTTTATTCAGTATTTTAGCTATTTTCTTTTACTAAAATAGTTAAAATAATTAATTACCTTTCTTTTCGCGATATATATGTGGAAAAAATTGTATTTGAGAAAACCTTATCGACTAAATTTTCGTATATTATTTGATTATTTTTTTGGAGAATTTAAATAAAATTTATATCATATAAATTTATATTATATTTATATATAAATTTATATTTAAAATTTATATTTAATTTATTTAAGTTTTATTTATATTTAAATTTATAAGCCTATTATATTATTTTGAACGATTTCATCTATATTATTAAATAAAATTAAAAATTTAAATAAAATTGAAAAGATTAATTTAATTTAACTTTGTATAAAATCCTACATTTGCATTATATTCTATTAAATTATTATCTATAAACAGTTCTGCAAATAATAAAGTTTTATCATTTCTTATAATTTTTATTTATATTTAAAATATGCATAAAAATACGATTTCAAATATTTCGAAAATTCAGTGTTCATATTGTGGCTATGGCGATAAAAATTCGATTACTTCGTTCAGCAAACGAAATTATATAAATGTTCACCTTGTTTTTTCTTTTTTTTTCATTTCTATTTTATTGATTCTATTTGTTCATTTATAAATATTGCACCATTATTGGCTCCATTGGCAATACGGATGAGACGTTTTCAAGCCAAACCTCTTGAACCGACACCATATCTGAAAATGAAAGAAACAAATCTTCGTTCGGCTTTCTTACCTCGTCTACATAGCAAAATCGCCTATGCGTCCTTTAAGATCAATCTCAATCAATCGCATTAATTCATGATTTCTTTTCTTTAAAAGCTCTCACCATTAGATTCACTGTGCTGGCTTGTCGAACTGGACGAATATGCCAAGGAGGAGTCCTTTGGCGATAGAAATAGAGACGAATCGCCAGCATCACTCGCATTTTTGAACGGGTTCACTCCAGCGAGGAGTGCAACTTTAGCACCAGCGCTTCGAATTCAGCAACAGAAACCACTAAGCCACTTCTATTCTCCGCATCGCCATGTCTACGTCTCCTCATCTCTGAAGCATATCACATATCACAAAATAAAAATAATCAAAATAAAAAAACACAATGTAAACAAAAATAATGAAAAACTGTATAATAAATAGAAATAAACAAATAAAATAAAATATTAAAAAAGCGAATATAAAAATAAAATAAAAATAAATAAAATGAAAATAATAAAAAATTATACACAATAAGAAAGAACAACAAAAACCGAAGGGCCGCAAAAAATTTTGGTACCGCAAAATAAAAAGATGCGGCCGGGCCACGATTTCCGGTGAACAAAACTTCGAGTCGCAGATTTTTTCTTTTTTTTGCATTTGCATAAATGTCTCTTGCGAAGAATCTTCGGCCTATAACATCAGCAAAGCCAAGAGAGGTCGTAACGTGGGATCAATTTGAGCGAATTCGAAGAAATAAGGAAATATGGGACAATCCCGAATCGATCGTTCATCGTCTTCCATTACATTATAAAAAACGCTATTGGCAGGTTAATTAAATTTTTAGCGAATAAAAATCTTTTTTTTCTTTTCATGAAAATTTTCAACGAATAAATAAATTAATAAATAAATATTCTAATAAAAATTATTTCTTTTTCATAAAAATAAAAATGATTTGTGAAAAATAAATAAAAAAAAGGAAAAAAATTTTCGAATTAATTATAAATTTTAAATTTAAAAAAAAAATGTCAATTCGTTTATAATTAATTTATTTATTTTATTTATTTATTCAATTCATGAAATATTAAAATATCAAATTTTTTGCAAAAAAAAAATTTTCTCAGAAATTTTTATTAATTTAATATTTAATATTTTTTCCTCTAACAGCTGATTAAGCTTTCCACAGTGTTTGTCGGACTAATTTTGTGAGGGAGTCGTTTGACGATAAAAATGCAGGTGAATAGCCGGTATCACCCGCAATGACGATTTTTTTTTGTCGAAGATAGAAAATCTCGGTTGCAATACAATTTTATATTAGTAATATTTTAGAATGTTTTAAGTAAAGCAAAACCCGTTCATTATCGACCACCAGCCAATCGGTTTTCCTGGGATACGAAACGACTTGTTTTACATGAACATGAGGTTTCCTTATTTTTTTTATAATTCTTAGAAAATTATACTTTAATTTTATATTTTAGAAGCAATTTTTAATATTTCTTGGGTTTTTAAATAAGTTCAGCATTAAATTTTTTCTATGGTATCATTCATGAATATCGCTTATTTAGTCATTTAAAAAACCAATTTTTTAATAATAAAAAAACCTTATTGAGTTTTTTTTTATTGCCCTATTATTACTGGTTTAAGAAAATTTTTTGAATTTTTCAGTCAGAATCGTCATTTTCAGTGGTATTTTGGATAAATTTAAATATTAGCTCTTTTTAATTTAATTTTTTAATTATTTCTTTAATTAGTGGTACTTTTAATAAAGTAGGGCCGGCGTTTAAATAATTTTTAATAATTTTTTTCCATGATTCATTACTTTTTACCCGTTTATTTGCTTTAGGAATATCCAATTATCGGCATTCATCCGCCGGAAGCTGACCAAGCCTTATGGGGTGGTGAAACAGTTGTGAAAGGATATATCGAATCAAATTTCTATTTAAAGAAAAAAGTTAATTTTTTATATTTGGAAACTTAGAAAAATGAAAAAAATGATGGAGAACATTAAATATTTCGGTTTTTGTTCGGTTTTTGCTTATTGTTATTATTTTATATTAATTATATCTTCATTTTATTTTAAGTTTTTTGCAGATTCTTCCCCGACGTTGGATTCCTCATTTTTTCTTCCCTACTCTCAAATATTCCATTCAGTATTCAGAGATTCTTGATAAATATATGAAAATTACTGTCACCGAAAGAACATGCCGTTTAATCGATGATCATTTTGGGTTTGATTATTATATATTGGAAACTCCTGAAATTGATCTCGCATCCAAGTAAGATCTTCAGTGGATTTTATTTCCTTCTCTTCTCAATTTCAAATGATATATTTTGATGTTCTGTTGTGAAATAAATTCGCTTTAGATTGGGCAATAAATTGAAGAGAGAACTTTTAATCGCTTTGGCGAAGGAAGATTATTATCATAACGATCCAGATCGACATGATTATATACGTCGTAAATATGCTAAATTCGTCATACCTTTGGATGAAGCTGAATGGGTTGGACTAGATTTAAATGAAGCGTGTAGGTATGATATTTGAAGAATTAATCGCTGAATAATTTTTATTATCAAAGGTTATATTCATAAAAAAGAAAATTTATTCATAAATTAATTTTTCTGCAAATTTTTCCTTCATGAATGTGATTATTTAATAATTTATAATTTTAATAATTAATAATTTTAATAATTTTCTTCTCCATCTCCTGACATCTATCACTGGTTAAGTTGATTTCTGGCTATAAAACTCTGGCTGTAAAACATTTCCAAGCTGCGCGATCTGATGCCATCGTTGACAATAATAGAAACCATTCCTTTTTCCATCCTCATTGCCCATATATTGCTCATCCACTTATACAAAATCTTTCCTGATTGTATCAATTCAAGTCTTGATAAGCCCACCTCGCTTTTGATGCTACCCATCACATGGTGTAGCAAGTAATGAAATATATGTCAATTCTTGTGGTGGACTACGAAGAATGTGTCCTAATAGGCGAAGGCAACATTCTGTGATAATGCAGGTGGTATTTAATAGTTTTTCTTGATTGAACTTTTTCGGAAATTATCATCAAAAAATTTTCCAAATTTCATTATTTCCATCTTATCCAATATCAGTGGACACTCAATTCGCATTTAAATTTTAACAAAAAAAGGTTCTGTAATTTTAAAATTTTCCCATATATAGGAAATATATAGGAAATTTAAAATTTTTGAAAAATAATAAATAATAAAATCATATTTAAGAATAATTTAAATTGGAATTATTAAACTAGACTGAAAAAGAATAGGAATAAAATAAGAAGAATGGGAAAAAATAAGAGAAAATAAGCGTAAATAAGTAAGCAGCGGAAAAAAGTTTGAATTCTTCGCTTGCAAGCTGGAGCCTTCCTAAAGTCACAGTTTTTTCTTCTTTTATTATGAAGGATCCTTTAGTTTTATCTTGTCTAGATTCAAAATTTTGGTGACAAGTATTAAAAGTCTTGGCATTTGTGTCTTTTCAAAAAATAAGATCGAAATGTAGTTTTTTAATGGTTAATAGTAGTGATAGATATCGATTAGTGGGCATGCACAAGATTTGTTCATTTACTCATCAGCTTTGTTTTGTAGGAAACTTCAAGATTTGGAAGATTCCATCGCTCCAAAACCTCTAAAATATCAATTTGAAAAGGATTTAGTTGAAAATATTATTAAAAGAAAAGATGTTGTAATTGAGGAAGAAGAATATGCACCAAAGAAGACGGAAAGTTTATTTGGTGAAAAGCTCCTTGGTAAATTTTTCAGGCCCATTGAAAAGGCTCTCAAACGTTGATTTTATTTTCTTGTTAAATAATTTGATTATTTATTGTTTTGTAATTATTGCCATTTTATATGCCGTTATTTTTTCCATTTCTCGTTCATTATTCCATCTGATTTTTTTGAAAATTATATTTCAAATTATTTCATTGTTTTTAACTCTTATTTCAAGGAAATAATGGAAATGTGATCGGTTTTTTTAGTTTTTTCTTTTCTTGCTTCTTTTCGATGTATAGTTTTGTTTTTTTTTCGCACTGATATGCTGATTAAAAAAATTAACAGTTTTGAGATCTATTTTTATATGTGTTGAATCTTCAATATTTTTGGTTTATAAGCACTAAACAAAAGCATCAAGGGAAGCATCTGAATTTGACTTCAGTTTCTTGCATGTAATAAATCTCAAGAAAAATAAAAGACTAGATTCTAAGATTTGTACGGATAAGGGAATATTGAATATAAGTTTATGGATTCCAAAAATTATGAAAATAAAATTAATCCTTTATATGGTCTTTTAAAAATTTTTCAGTACAAATTTTTTAATGCTTTGAAAAAATATTTCCTCTTTTCGTAAGCCAAAAATTTGAACGTATGAAGAAGAAGTATTTTAAAATAATTTTATCGTTCCAAATATTTGTTTTTATGTGAAATTTTTCGCATAAGTGAATGAATTCCAAGTTTGTTAAGTTCGTTCTCATTCGAGCATTTTAGAATTTTTTCTAAAAAAAGGAAAATTGATTATGGATTTAAATGTGAAGGAACGATATGAAGAGGACGACCCTTTATTGTCAAAAAACGAATTACTCTTTGGTCGTGGAAAATCAAAGAAACAATTAAAAAGGTTTGGTGCAGATTGAAAATTAATAGGAATAAACGATTCATTTGGTTCAACAGTTTGGTTTGGTTTTTTTTTTAAAGAATATATGAATTTCTTCCGGAATTTTTTAATTTATTTATAAATTTTTATCATTGCAAATGGTTTCCTATAGCTTCAGAGAAATGAAGCTTCAGAGAAATGAAAAGGACTTTATTTTTGGAGAAAAGGAAAAAAAAAAGAATTGTTGAAAGGCAAAGAAAGAAGGCGAAACGTTTAGCTGCTCGAGAAGCTGGAATCGAATTACCGCATAGGCGAGGACGTCGTAGGTGATGTATACATTTGTAGTTATAGTTAATAAAATTAGTCAGTAGTTTATCATTTTATCAGTATATCAGTTTATCAATAAATTGGTCACTATTGTTAAGGTCAGTATGAATTCTTCCTTACTTATTTTTGATAAATATTATTTCTAGGTTGATGGTTGATTCTCATTGTCTCCAATCTGTGGCAATAGATATGTCGTTCGAAAAATTGATGTCTTCTAAAGATATGCAACGAATATTTGTTCAGTTATCTCATTGCTATGCCGTTAATCGACGTGCTGAAAATCCTCTTCAACTCAGTTTTGTTCATTTTACTGGAATACCACTGCAAGTTAACATTTAACATTTTTATCATTCTCTTTTCATTTTGTAAGATTATTGTCTTCCTCCTTGTCTCTTTTTTTTAAGATAATACCTTATTGGTTTAGCTATTGGTTTGTCTTAAATTCCATCTATTTACAAAAAATTTCTTTGAAATATAGATATATTGCTTTAACCAACGTTTTGTATGTCCTTGTTATCGTCAGTTTTGACATTAACAAATATCCTTCATCCTGGCTTAACCAAGTTTCAGCAGATGTTCATGAATGCGATCTGCTCTACTTTATCTTGTTTTTTAACTCGCTGGGTTACTGTTTATTAATAAAAAAAGAAATAAAAAAAGAATTGATTAAGAAAGAGAATGCATGAAAGTGGATGTTAATTACAGAACTCAGTATTTACTCAGCGTTCTAGAAAAAGCTCCTTGTCGTAATATTTATATGCTAGCTAAATTCTATTTTATTCGGGAATTTCTTGATCAACGATTCTATTGCAAAACTTAATACACGCTCCCAAGAACCGAGCCATTGCATTCAAATTAGGATCGTTTCACAACTACCCTCCAAAACACTGCAAAGTCATTCATTTGTTCAGATTTGGTCATGCTGTGGTACTTCAACTATCTTTCATATCAGGCATTCCTGGTGAGCGTATATTTTGCTGCCACCTAAAAGACCTTATAATTAATGCTGGCGCTATCGTTGCTTTTTCATATGATGTACAAAATACAAAATAAGTGTAGGTTGGGTGTAAATAAACAAAACATGTTGTTTGTTTTAGCCGATCTCATTTTACATTACCATAGTAATTACCATATTAAGAGGGAAATTACACCATACTTTTTACTACATTTCTGCAGTCTATGAATTCGGCGCTCAAGTTATCTTTGGCGTTAGAAAAAGCTCCTTGTCGCTGCAGTATCGACTCTCATGCATCATACATATTGATATCATTGTTCCTTATAATTTTATATCATATCATTGTTCAATATCATTATTCCTTATAATTTTTAGTTTTTTTCAGATCTTCACAAGTAATAGTTCTAATGAAAATTGGGATGTGAAAATTGACGAACGCCCTTTATGTGAAGTTTTTAGTAAAGAAAGAATTGTTTATTTGACAGCGGATTCAGATAATATATTAGAAACATTGGATATAAATAAAGTGTAAGTTTTAGAATATTATTTTTATTGTCTTTAATTTGAATAATTTTTAAATTATTATTTGAAATAATTAAAAATATTTTCAAATATTTAGATATGTGATTGGTGGTTTAATTGATCATAATGCTCATAAAGGTTATTGCCTTAAATATGCGAATGAACTAGGTGTAGGCCATGCTCGCCTACCTATCGATGAATATATTAAAGTTAAAACTAGAAAGGTTTTTTTAGTTCTTTTGTGGAAATAAATGCGAAATATCTTTATTTTTACTGCTTATTTTGGTATAATAATTATATTTTCTTTCATTAAATTTGGTTTTTCTAAATTTTTTAAATATACTTTTTATTTAAATGAATAAATTTTTACAATTTCTTTTTTTTTTAGGTGCTGACTATCAATCAAGTTTTCGAAATACTTCTACGATATACAGAAAACAATTGTTGGAAAGAATCATTTCTTCATGTAATTCCAAAGCGAAAGGGTATTGAAGGCATTGAAGAAGATATTAGCTCAAATGGCGATCTCGAAAATAATGGCAGCGCTGAACTTGATGAATGTCGAACCAATATAGATAAGAAAGAGATAAGCAGCGAAGAGTCTTCTAGTTTCGCGGTTGATATTGAAATTGAGAAAAGGATCACAGAGATATCAAATGGAAATAATATTAATAATTACAATTAATTAATTTGATAATAATTTAATCGAAATTTAGTCTTAATTATCAATTTAATCTTTATAAAATTATATCTTCTCGAAAAAATTAAAGCATAAATTTTTTTCTATAGTTCTTGCCTTTGAATATCAAATATAGGAAATATGTAAGGGAATTTAGTTAAGATAAGATCAGATTGTAAAATTTGCGAAAGAAAATTGGCGGATGATAAACCGATTGTTGATAAGATAAGAGGTAAATGATTTCGAAAAATAATAGTGGAAGGATGAAAAAATGATACGTTTCATTGTGATGCGTTTAGCTACGACAACTGCTATGTTTAAAATTTTCTTACTTTTATCAATTTTCGCATTAACATCAACTAAGGAAATTGAATTTCTTCCTGGATCTGATGATGTTCCAATCAATTTTAAACATTATTCCGGATATTTTAATGTTTCTAAGACCAATTTTCTTCATTATTGGTTTGTCTCATTGAACTTCGATTGAAACAATCATACGATGAAATAATCTAAACATTTGAATGGTGCACATATAATTAAATTGTATTCGGAGAGAGAGGGGAGGGGGAGGGAGGAGGGGGGGGGGGGGGGGGGGGGGGGGGGGGGAGAGGGGAGAGATGGAGGAGAAGAGAAATGCATTGGTGGTTCATTGAATATTAGATAGATGACTAGAAATATTTGCTAGTTGAAACATATGTCGTCAATTTAAATTCTAGTAAGTGATATGTAGGTTCGTCGAGTCACAGTCGGATCCTCGGAAGGACCCTCTTATTTTCTGGTTCAATGGCGGTCCTGGGTGTTCTTCTCTTGAAGGAATTCTAAAAGAAATGGGTCCTTATGTGGTCAATAAAGATGGCACGACCCTCAGCGAAAATATATTTGCATGGAATAAGGTTTCAAATTTCAATTGAAAAATTAATCGGTATAAAACTTTTTTTTGCAAAAAAGGAAGTTTTTACATTTATTACTAATATTATTATTAGCATCGTTATCCATTATTGGCGATAGGATGGTTCAGTAGGTTGTTGCTCGATTGGGAGCGCCAATGCTGAGGTTCGATTCCTCGCAGGAGTAAATCTGTGCAAAAACCCGGTTGACATGGCCACCTGTACTTCTTGTCGCCAAGAGACTCCCTGGGCATATTGCCCAATATGATAAACCAGTGGAACGAGTTTAACCAGTAATGGTGATGACTTAAAAAAAAGTGGAAAAAAAAATTATTCATTATTATTAATCACTATTGTTATTATTATTATTTATTGTTATTTATTGTTATTAATTATTACTGCTACATATTTTCAATATATTTTATTAATTTACATTATATTAACGAGAGAAAGGATTAAAATTTAAATAAATAAATAACATTTTAATATTAATGAATAAATAAATTTCTTAAATTTGAATTTTTGAGGTTTAAAATATTAAAGTTTTAAAATATTAACTAAATATTAAAAATTCGATATAATAAAATATAATTTTCAATATAAATAAATATAATTATATAATTAAATACGATATAATTAAAATTAAAAAATTCATATAAATAATATTATATTTAAAGGATAAAATAAATATTTTACTTTTTTATTAATTTTACGATAAAAATTTTAGTTTGCTTCAATAGTTTATACTGAATCGCCAGCAGGTGTTGGATTTTCATATTCAACAGATGCGAATGTAACCACAAACGATGATCAAGTTAGTATTGTTAATATACGATTTCATTATTTAGGCAAAAGCAAAATTTGTAGTTTCAAAAAAAAACTAAGCGATAATTTTAATCGAAGTAGAATCGCTCAGGAAAATTTTTGAACGCATAAAGAGAACCAGAAATATATGGACTTAGACGGCGGAAAAAGAAATGGCTTCTATTACTATCAGCGATGGCATCAGATCGAACAATCTTATAATCCTTGTAACCATTGCAGCCAGCTTAATCAGTAATGGTGAGAGCTGTTAGAAGAAAGAAGAACACTTATATATTTAGGGGAATAATTAATTTAGTTCCCAGCAGGAACTAATCCAATGATTCTCTTGTACTTCTATCGCCAAGTAATTTATTGGCGAAATTTGAGTCTGACCTGAATTAGCCAGAAAGCATCAATTTTTATCATTTCCATCATAGCTTGGCTAATCCCATTGAATAAGAATAGACATCATAGCCAACTGTATAGATTTTATAGATTCGCCCTCCTCCAATACGATAGTTCAGTTTCTCATCGAGTTTTTCTTAAAAGAATAAATCTTATTGGGCAGTAAAAATATTTAAAAAATTTATTTATTCATTAATATTAATAGACTGCATTGGAGAACTATGAGGCAATTAAAAAATTTTTCGTTGAATTTCCTTCATTTCGAGAGAATCCAACTTTTATAATGGGCGAAAGTTATGGAGGCGTATATGTGCCGACTTTAGCGTCCATGATCATCGACAATATGCATATTTTTAAGATCAATTTAAAGGTATTTTTTTCAATAGTACCATAAACAAGTAGGAAAAAGCATTATATGCATGAATATTAACAAGAATCGCCATGATTCAACAGCGATATTTATGGATTTATGGAAATAGCCGAATAGGTTTTTCTTATATTCAATTCCCGAGCGTCCTCCCTCCAGCAAACTGTCAATAGAAAACTGTCCTGGATGCTGGTGTTGACTCATTTCTCTAAATATTTCCCAGCAAAAACTGGCTTATCGCATAAGATTAAACAACCAATGGAGCTAACCAGAAATAATATTTTTTCAACAAAAAGAAAAGATTTTCCATATAATTTTTTGTTTATTCTTGGAAAAGTTGGAAATTTCATGAAATGAATTTCATGAAAAAATGAATTTTCCGCAATTTTTAAATTTTAAATTTTTTGAAATAGCGAAATAATTCTTGTGGTGCTTAAATACTGTCAAAAATAATATTTTTATGATAATATTAATATTATCACTAATGATTTGTGATTACACTAATGATTTAAATATTCTTACTGCTATCACAGACTGAGGTTAACTATTATTATTATCACTATTATCACAGATTGCGACTGATGATTGACAGAATTCTCTGACATGCAATTTCATGGTGCTACAATATTTGCCAGTGAAAGAGATTTTAAAATTGTTGGTTTTTTGAATTTTATAAAAAACATCTATATTTCTGATTTTTTTGAGGGGATAGCAATTGGAAATGGTTACTTAAATGCAATATTGAATGTTAATAGTTTAGTATCATTTTCTTATAACCATGGAATTGTAAGTGAAAAAATATGGGAAATTCTCGAAGATGAATGTTGCCGTAAATGTGTGGAAACTTGTAAATTAACTGAACTCGATCAAAACTGCTCAAAACTAGTTAGTTTTTTATTTATTATAAAATATGATTATTGCTTAAAATTTTTATATAATTGTAGCCTAAGGCTACTATTTAAACGAAGGCTCATTGCAGATGATCCTTTTATTTGTTAAACCATGGGATATACGGATAGCCGAATGGTTGTTGCTAAGATATTAAGCATCTTCAGAATTTGGATTCTGCATTCGACAGAAATAGATTTGCTATTAAAATATTCAGATAGCATAGAGTGGATAGAGAATTCTTTCTAACTAATAAAATTTTTTAAATTGTATTTTATGGTAACAATTAGTGGAGCGAGTTTTCCGGTCGACGAAATCTTCATGGAACCGTTGCAAAATCACCATAGAAACGAAAGAGCAAATCTATATAGCTGGAATTTGCTCAATCTTGCTATATGGCTGCGACAATTGGCCAGTAAGAATGGAGGATATTAAGAAGTTATTTGCTTTTGACCACTCATATCTAAGATATTTATGAGTCCGCCGAGTGGGAAAATATGATCCTCATGTGATAGCATCCACCTTCATTCAAATACCACTTTCATTAGCAGTGCCTTCACAGAACGTCGTCTTCGCTGGCTAAAGCACATTCTTCGTCCACCACAAAAGTTGACGCATATTTCGTTAACTGCTAAATTCTGTGATAAATAGTGTCAAGAACGAGATGGACCAATCACGACCTGGATTTTTAAAGTCAGGAAAGATTTTGAACGTATGGATGAACCAGCAATATATGGACTTAGACGATGGAAAGAGGAATGGCTTCCATTAGTGTTGACGATGGCGCCGCTTGGAAACGTATTACTTTTGTAGTCAATGGAACCAGCCTAACCAGTAATGATGAAAACTGCTAGAAGAAGAAGACGAAATAGAGCGAATTTAATCAGAAATCAATGAAAACTAATCACTTCTATAATTGCGTTTTGTGTACGGTATGGAAGTGAATATTTCGAGAAAAACGATGATAAAAAAAATTATCAATAATATAGATCGATTCGCATAATAAAGAGAAGAGATAATTCTAGGTGAAAAACTTTTAAGGGTATAAATTATTTATTTGGATTGAATTTAGGTAGAAAATATTTATGAATTCGTATGGTCAGGTGGTTTAAATGTCTACGATATGTATCGAGAATGTGATTTTTATCAAGGAATATCAATAAATCGCTTAACAACTGCAATTCGTGGATTAATACCGAAAAATATGAGAATCGGAATTAATCGAACAAAATTACTACAACGAATTTATGTGATCCTTTTATTTTTACGATTTTTTAAAAATATTTTTCTAATTTAATAAATTTTTATTAAAAAATTTCTTAGAAAATTAACGTTAATTCGATATTAAAAATTATTTGATTGGTGAAACTTATCAAATTATCAATTTTTATCAAATCTATCATTATTTTAAAAATGATTGATTGATAAATGAATGATAAAAAAATTACGAAAATTTACAATATTATTTTTAGAAAATTTTATAGTTTTAAATCATTTATTGAATAATAATTTTATAGTTTTAAATCATTTATTGAAAAAATTTCAGTGGTCAAATACGATGAAATTGGATCCTCCTTGCCTTCCCGACAAAGATTTAGTTAAATATCTACATAGACGTGATGTTAGAATGGCTATACATATCCCAGAAGAAGTTCAGGCATGGGACATTTGTAATGAACAGGTTCCATTTACAAAACGTTACTTGCTTTTACTTGGAAAAATCACATGATATTTGCGTGATAATATGTGATAAAGAATATATATATGATAAGGATGATAAGATATATATGATAAAAAATGATAAATGATAAATTTAAAAAAAAACATTTTACATGTATATGTTTTGTATTGAAGATTTAATTGTTTGAAATTGGCCAAAGCTATATTTTTAAGCTATAAATTTTTTGAAAAAAAGTATCGCTAAAACTGGTCGATAGTTTAAAAATATATTGAAAAGAGACTATTGATCTCTCCTTCTTTCTTTCATTCCTTCTTTACTTTTCAAGATTTATTATTGTTTTTATATTTATATTATTTTAGATAAATATTTTATATTAATTTTTAGAAATATTTTACAATATATATATGTGGCTGCTTTACTTTTACACGTATCTTTTACAGGTATCTTTGAATTATAAAATGCAATACAATGATATGACACCTTTTATAAAAAAGATTCATGAAGCAAAATTGCGAATACTTTTATATTATGGTGATACGGATTTGGCTTGTAATTTCTTGATGGGACAACAATTCACCGCGAATCTTAAACTTACAGTATGAAATTAATTTTTTTTATTTATTTAAAATTTATATTATATTTATTATTGAATATTGCTATCTTAAAATTGCTATCCACGCGATTCTCTAATGAATTATCAACACTTAAATGATAAGAAAAAATAAAAGATAATATTCCACGCGTTTATTTCATTAATTTCCAGAGGACATTCGACAAAAAACCGTGGAAATTTAATGGACAAATAGCGGGATTCAAAACGATATATGAGGATAATTTAACATTTTTGACAATAAAAGGAACGGGTCATATGGCACCTGAATGGAAACCATCGCAAATGCAATATGTTATTGAGCAATTTCTTTTAGACCGACCTATTTAATTCGCTATTATTTCGTTTCAGTAAATTAAATAAATTCTTATATTTTCTCAAATATTTTTTTTTCAAATATTATATTTTTATTATAAAAAATTTGGGAAGAAAATTTATGGCAATTTGATAAGTATTGAAAAAGAATTGAAATTTTTATCATCTATTATCGATAACAGTTCAGCGAATTTTATCATTATCATGATGAAATAATGAAAAATAGGGAAAAAAATTTGATTAAATTTGATTATTATTGAATTATGTATTAAAATTATTGCAAATAAAATTTATTGTTTGATGGGTTTGGCGATTAATATCAAAAGTCATACGCATTATACGTAATTTATTTTATTACTGAATTATCAGAAGAACTAAACATGAATTTCAACGCCGTTTTTCCATTTTTAATTTTTTTTTTAGCAATATCCTAATTTTTATATTTTTAAAATTTAGATTTATAATTCTGATTTTTCCTTCGAATCGCTTTTCACTTCATCTTCGACTTTCATATTTTCTTTTTCTTCGCTCTTTCTTACTTTTAATTTTTCTCCTTTCTTCATTTCAGGTACCTAAATTAAATTCCTTTAATTATCCTTTAATTTCAAGAAATGAATTAATAATATATTAGCATTAGCAATACAGAATCAAAATAAATAACACGTTTTTGGCTCCATTTTTATACTAAATGGCCAAGCAAAACACGAAATTCCCGTCGGCAACTAGGAATGCATTCTTATCATTCAGCCAAAATCTCTACGAAATTATCACTATCCGAACGAAAATTCGCATCTACCTAGCTTCGATTTACAAGAAATGACGCTTATATCGCTTAGAAATAATAATTAGAAAAAAAAGTAAAAAAAGAAGTATTAAAATAATTTCACATAATTATTTTCCATTAAATTAAATTATTTTAAACTATAGATAAATAAATAAAAATAACTTCAATATTATAAAATTTAAGCACATCCTTCATCGAATTCAAAATATCAGCTGGCGATGAATAATAATATCCATAATTTTTATATTCAGCCTTTTTGTTCTTAAATTCAGGAAGTAAATCGCCATTTTTGTCTAAAATTCATTCATTCAAATTAAGCGATTAAGAAAAATTGAATAAAAAATTTTTCTCTCATCCCTTGGTGAATAGTGATGGTCATCCTTAATTCCTCGTGTTCTTCTCCGTCTTGGAGAATGAGCGTTCTATGCAGTATTTTAGCTGTTTCTAATAACTGCGCTCTTCAGGATATGCATAGAGATGTTAGGGATGTTGTTCCTGAAGTCACTTTTCTAGTTTGGGATAAACATGGCTTCAATTATCATTGGGATTACTTTAGCTTTTACTTTCCCACATCTTTCTCTAGCTACTATTTCAACCTTTCGTATTCCTCTAGCTTTTCATATTCATTCTTTTTGACGTTCCTGATATATTAATAAATTTGACATATTATTGGAATAATGAAAAATCTAACCAAGGAATAAAATTCGTGGAATATATTTGCCGTCAGGTCGATACTCTTCTTCGAATGGTTCTTCATCATCTTCAGCATTAACCATAACAAAATATTCAGATAATTTTTTAAATGCTTTCCTCGCATTTGACTGTTGAAAACTTTTTTTCAAAGCTTAAAATTGCTCATAGATTATTTAGTGGAACCAAATATGATTGGTACTATTTCTAAAGATTTCATTCTAAACACATTCAATTAGTTATAAGTATGATGAGAAGAAATTTTCGGCTTGAATATCGTTTGGAAACAGGAATATAAGTGAATCCAATCTGCCAATCATATTTTTCAATAATAGGTTTACTCGTATCGAAAACAGGAGCCGAGTTGTGATATTCGAGGCCATAATCTAACCACCAACAGCCACTCGGCTATCCTCTCCTCTAAGTATATATAAATATACTTATATATATGTAATGATTTTTCTCATAAATTATCTAGAAACAGTTCAGTTTTCATGATTTATCCATCAGCATAATCTAAACCTAGTACGAGCTCTATTTGAATATTTTGATATAAAAATTTTGATAACGTTATCAATAAAATCAAAGTATTTGATGGGATTCGTCTAAATTTTTTTCAGTGATAAAATTGTTAATTTCCATTATTAATCAATGTAACCTGATAAATTTTCAGCCAAACAAATTTTCCATAGTGATAGATAAAATTTCAAAATATCCAAAAAATATCTTGCTTTACCAAAAACTATCATTATGCAAAACGCTTTAGAGGATTTTAGTTTATTAAAAAATATCTACTAAAATTAAAAAAAAAATATTTGATACTTTCATTTACCTTTTCATTTGGTTCGTTTAAAAAGAATTATTTAAATCTATGAAAATGCGATTTTTCTTTATCACGAAATTAAGAATGGTGTATTATTTCAAGCCTAAAACTAAGCTATAATAGGCTCAGTTCTTCTTGGAGTGCACTAATGCGAGTAAACCTGTCATTAAAAATGAAATCCAGATGGTACTCGTACTTCTTTTTCCACGTATTTCTCTAATCTCTCTAATAAAAAAAACATCATATTTTATTAGTTTATTAGTTCAATCGTTCCAATCAAAAATGGTGAACATTTTTTTTTAATTAAAAGAGAAAGAAATAAGAACTAAGATTTCTAAGAACTTATTTCCTCTTGAAAGATTTTCATGGAACAATTAAGACACAATAAAAAAAAAACAAACCTTTACATGCATGACACCATGATTTATGTATTAACAAGAAAATAGGTTTATCTTTTTCTAAGGCAGTTTCAATAGCGTCTTCCCATGAAACCCAATTAATGTCCTCACCGAAACCTGACATTTCTCATTTCATTTTTGGTTACGCTTCAGAAATTTTATTAATTAAAAAATAAAAAAAACTGGATTTTCATCTTTTTTCAGGCCAATGAGAACAAATTCAAGTATTATTATCAACAACTAATTCCAACTAATTTTTTAGTAAAACTTCTAGAATTTTCAAAATCCTACGATATAATAAAAGTCGAGCAATTATTTTTTATTCGCATCGGCAACTAGAAATTGAATTCAAAATCAATTAATTAATCTATACTATGATAAGATATAATAAATTACAACTGATATGATATGATAAAGAAAATTTAATATGAAATTTAAAAAAAAAAAATTACCACGAGAAAGAGGATTTTTATAAATTTTTTCGATATCAACTTTACTAATAGCCTTTGATAATAAAATGCACGTAATAATGATAAATAAAAACATTTCTTATCAATGGATAAATATGGATAAACGAAAAATTTATCGCCGATCGACTATTTGGTCGACTAAACTGATTGACCCACAAAATTTCAATAATTTAAGACCTAACAAGAGTCCGAAATTCGAGTTATGAACGATGAACGAAAACGTGTTTAAAATCTTTCGATCTACGAAGAAATATTGATTCGTTCCACTATTTTAAAATTTCATAAAAATTCACTATAATAATAAAATTTAAATAAAAAATGTGAAATTCGAAGGTGACAAATCGTTAAACTAAAAATACTACTTTCAATAATGAACAAAGCCTGGAATGATCTCTGAATGGCCCATTTTCTTCCACGATCCACAAATAGAGACAAAAGAATTCACTCTAATTGTTGGTGGTAATAACCAAACCAGGAATTGTGAATGCAAGAATTATCTTCGCGAAAAATATTTCTCCTCTAGCTCCATTTCAATGGTATTTTCCTTTAGGTATTTCTCGTCGCAGTTCCCAGTGTAATAAGAAATTCGTTAAGTTTTATTGAGAAAAATAAACAGCAACAAAACATAAAAATCTTCTAAAAGAGGATTTCTCAGAAATAAAAGGAATGTGAAAAAAATTGAAAAAAAAAACTGAAGAGAACCTCTAACAATGATGACACTGATAATCAAACAATGATAATTGTGATAGCTTTATAGATCGCATATAACGCTCACTAGTAATACTCAAATAAAAAAAAAAAATATGAATTATAAAGCAGAGAATAAAATCTCCAAGGGCGATATTTCTGAGATCGTAATAACTATGATAAGAAACAATAAACAATAAAACCAAATACAATGCAGAAATGAGGTAAAAAAACTAAAACTGGTTAATTAAAAAACGAAAAAATCTATTCAAAATTTAAATGTTCGAATTTTTCATCTTGATCGACCATTATTGCTTCGCGAGCAATTCTCTGAAAGCACTTTTTACATAAAATAAATAAAAAATAATTATAAGTTATGCAGAATAAAAAAAACCTTTGCTGCACGAATTTCTTCAGACCAATCGATTTCGCCGATTTTTTTTATTGCTGCAGCAAACAGTTTCTCAGTTTTACTGACATTTTCCTCCAGCATTTTTGAAACAACATCTACAGTGACCTGAAAATAATTGATTACCTAAAAATGATTTACAGAATTATTTACGCAAAAGAATAAATTTTAAAATATTGGAAAACAGACAGATGGAACGAGAACAAAATAAATTTAAAAATATGAATATAAAAATAAAATTAAGTTAAAAATAATTTACCACTCCGAAATCTTCTTTCCAGCAATCGTAATCGGTAACTAAAGCCGTTGTTGCGTAAGGAATCCCAAGTTCTTTCGCTAAATAGACCTTAAAAAAAATAGCTTATAGACCACATTGCAGTTATACATCTACAATATAGAATTAATTAACCAAAAAAATTTCAATCCAATTTCCATTGTGGATTATGAAGACTTTGAAGATAAAAATTATATCGATTAAATTATATTCCTTAACTTTTATGCAAAAACAATTAAGAAATTGATAAATATATTTTTTAAATTATGTGAAATGAGGTCAAGAGGACTGTTTAATTTATCTGATGCATCACATGTGTAGATGAAAAAAATGGTATAGAATGAGGAAGAAAAATAAGGGTGCAAATAAATATATAGTCAATGCTGTACTAGATAAGATAGAAAAATAAAAGTACAAAATTTTTTTACAACATGCCTCAGGGCATAACGTCATATTTACTATATCAGCATTCCATTGTCGAAAAAGTAAACTTTCAGCTTTTGACGAATATCTGGGACCTTCAATGCAGATACCAGTTCCACTTGCACAAAAATCCAGTTTGAGTTCTTCGGCAGTAGTGATTAATACCTAAAAAACAATAAAATAATGAAAAAATTGAACTGATTTAAAAAATCTAAAATCAAATACAAACGATTAGGAAAATTTTAACGTGTAATATGTAAATCAATAAAAAAAATTTAAAAAAATGATTTACATGATAATAAATTGGATACCTTTCGTAGTTTTGCATTGAAACTTGGATGAGATGGAATATGTGAAACACCTTTCGGATGACCAACAATACCATCATGAAAGGTTTTTTCTCGATTTATGGTTCTAAAATTAAAATAATATATAAAATTATAAAAAAGTCAATAAAAAAATTTTCCGAGTATTCAGCTCTAACACAAATAAATGGGAAAAAACTTTTATCTTAAAATTGAAAAAATAATTTACTTATCAATGAATGAATCAAGAAAAACAAGTGAACCAGGTTTGATTTGTTCTTTCAAGCTACCTGAGGCTGCAGTAGCTAAGATCACCTTCACACCTAAAAAAATAAGAATAAATAAGCTAGTATCTTGTTAAAATTTCCACTGGTTTAAGGCTTTGTAAAATGAGATAAGTCATATATTTGCCCTCTTGGTTTATTTGCTCTCTTATTTACGCTTATTTCAATGACAAATACTATCTATAAGAATATAAGTATTAAGGCCTGTGAAATACCTGAGAGTATAGATAGTATTGTGAAAACACGAACAACTTTCAGTATTTAAAAATTTTTATAATAAATAATTTTAAAAAATTTTAATTTTAAAAGTAGTTTTAAAATCAATTTCGAAAATAAAAACGAAAATGTTTTGAAATTTTAAATTTTAAAAATAATCTTAAATAATTCTGTTCAACTATAAATATCCATCTTCCATAGAAAACTAAATTTTATGCAAATCAAAACTCAGCAAACAAATAAGCATCCAAAAAAACTTGACCTTTACTCCTACTACTAAAAAAGTAGAGAAAATTATATATAAGAAAATCACCTGATACCATCATCGCCCATAAATTTGCTCTAAAATTAATGCGCGATGGTGATATATTGTGTTCAGATCCATGACGAGCCAAAAATATACAAGGCACATTGCTAATATGACCAACATGAAGAATCACTTCTTTCTCATCAAATGGAGTTATAACACCAATGCTTTTTTCTTTTTTAAATATTGCCGACTTCTCAAAGCCCGTTCCACCAATTAGACCAACCTATAAATCCTCAAATTATCAGGCTTGAAAGTGAAAAAGCTCTTTCATTCTTCATTCACCGGAATTCTGTAGGAAAGAAAAAATTTACTTAAAAATTAAAATAATTTTTATAATACATAAATACTAAATAAATATTAATATAAATAAATATATAATAAATAAATAAATATTAAATATTCTAATATTTTAATTTTTATAATAGAAAATTCATTTCCCAACTGAATAAATCTTTTAAAAAATTAAAATGACAATTAAAATAATTAAAATATAAATATAATATATAAAAATATATAATATATAATATGCTTGCAGAAAATAATAATTTTTCTTTCCAAATTTATACAAAACTTAGATATTTTGCAATTGTTTTATAATTTTTGCATAAGCTTATTCTGCTATTAGAATGGAAAAGATATATATGCGAGTGAGTCGAGTCATTTGGACTTTTCGAATGACAAGTTTCCCGGGAAAAAGGAATCTGAACTTTGTACGGGAACTCGAGGCAATACTTCTAATAACGCTAACTGTTCCATTCCAATGAATTGGCTGAGAAAAATCAAATTGGAAAATTCGGTTGTTTTAAGAAGAAAAATAAAAATTAATAAACTAACGTAAAAATCGCGAGAAATCTTTTGCTGGTTTGCCATTCTGAAAATTAATTTTTTAAATTTATTGTTGAATTAATCGATTAACCATAAATAAAAATATTTTTAATTAATAAATTTTAAAAATAAATATATAAAAATAAAGAAAAATTTAATTTGTAAGAAAAATTTTTAGCGAAAGATTTGAAAAAAAATTTTTCATACATAATCTCCATCGCATCTGCCACCAGTTTTCATTCCTTCTACACCACCCCCCTCCCCTCTCTCTCCCCTTCTAATCTCTGAAACCATTTCCCCTATTTCCTTCCCACCCTCTCCACCACCCTCTCCACTCCCCACCCGCCCCCGCCCATCTATCCCACAACTTTTTACTGAAACCTCCATCCACCACACAACCACCCCGCATAACGGTAAATAATTTAACTGACAAAATCGATGAATTTGAGAGAGAATATAACCATCTGCGTGCGTATCTAATTTCGCTTGCCGATATATCATTTTTTGTTGACGACTTGCCGTAACCTTCCAGTAGAACTGCAAGTACCTTAGGCCACTCTCTTTTGCCTATTTTAGGTTTCTCCTTTGGCTCCCATAACCTCTCTCCAAAATTCTCTTAGTTATCATTAATACCGTATTTTGTATTTTGTAGAAATTCTCCTGAAGCTCTCTCTTATATTCGTTCCTTTCAGGTTCCCCTACAATCCCCTCTATGGTGTCCAAATATATCTCATTTGTTACAGCCTACCTACTGGTAGTCCAATTCAGTGCCACCTGTTATATTCTTTTAATATTCTTTAGTACTTTTACACTTTATAAAACCTCCCCCCCCTCCTTAGTTTCTGATTTCTTACCCAGTAAATTCCTTTAATTTGCCATAATCAATTGAATTTCATCAGTACCACCAGCCTCTACTCTGTTACCTTAGCGCTCTACTAAATAGTACAATCTCTTCATTGTCGCATGTCCTGACTAAATTTTCAAAAATCGCGAAAACCGAAATAGGCTTGTGGAAAGAGAATTTAAAGACGTTGAAGAAGGCGAGTACCACATTAATGTTCGCAAGTGTTGAGAAAATATCAATGCGTAAAAGTTAGAAGATGACTTTGCCGATTAGCAGGGTCAACAATTGTATCCCATAGCTGTGTCGGTATACTAAATATTTCTTAGCGCTTAATATTTTTAATGATTCTAACACGATTCTCCGATTTGAATTTGAACAGGCGGTATCTCTTCTGGTTTTCATTAAGTACTTTATTAAGTACAATTTTTGTAAACAAATATTGTGGGGTTGGGGTGGGGGGATGTATTGTTATATTTTTTTATGACAGTGGGGAGGGGTTTTTCTCAATTTTCTAGAAGCTTTCGCAAATAATTTTTCAATATGATTTCAGACAATTTTATCAAAAATTTCCTTAAATCTTAGCATTTTTTATTTTATATTTATATTTATTTATTTTCTAAGTTTATTAAGCATTAGGCTCGTTTTGTTAATTTATCATATCAGACGAATTTCGCCGAGCTATCATTTGGTGATAAAAGCACCAAAGTGAGACACTAAGAGCAATTCAAATTTTTAAAAAAAGTACGTTTTTTCTTGCAAGCAATAGAACCGCTGCATCGGTGCTTCGAAATATTAACAGTAACCCACTAAATTATTTTTTTAATTATTTTTTTAAAATTAGTTTTTATTAATTATTACACTTGTTTCTAACTTTAATTTTTTAGTTTAATAATAAAAATAATTTTATAATAATAAATAATTATTGTATAAATAAATAATTAAATTAATAATTATAATGGGTTTGAAGAGATTGCTGATTAAATGCGATTGGGTTTGAGAGGATTTTAAGGCAGCAGTTGTTTTTTAGAAATGAGGTTTCAGTAATGAGGCTTGTAATGAAGAGCCAAAATGATATCGCTAGCGACCTTCAAGCTATCCCTTCGCAGCTTTATAAATTTTCGACCTTCAAGCTATCCCTTCGCAGCTTTATAAATTTTTTTTTGCTATGACACAAGTACTGTATAAATGCAGAATATTGAAGGAAAAAAATTAGGGTGGATGGTACTGATTATATAATTATGTAACTAACTTAACTTAGTTTTGGAGCGTTTAAAGCTGCAATGAGGCTTTGGAGTTATTAAGAAGGTATTTGACGAGTTTTTGGAATTTTTCACAAGAAAATTATAGGTTTTTATAGATGGGTATCAAGATGGTGGATGGTGGTTTGATGGGTTTTCAACAAAATTAGAGTTTATAGGCAGTAATGGAGGATTTTTAAGGAAAAATTGGAAGATTATAAGAATGCAGTTTTTTTCTTAGTGCTATGCTACCATAGCAGCGAAATGTAAAGAAGTTCGAGGTTCTGGTTTTGAAGAAAGAACATGATGCGGTCTGATAGAGATTAAAAAAAAATTTGGAGATTCGGAAGATTATAATAGATTCTGAAAAACCTATCATGCAAGAGATCGTTCAATTCGAGTTAAGAATATTAAAGTTCTTAAATTTACTATTTGATTACGACAAGTGCCGTAAGGTTTAATAGATCATTAATGGAATACAATGAGGTTTTCAAAGATACTAAGGGGACATAACAGGAGGTTCAAAAGGTAAGATAGGATTTCAAAATTTGAAGAATTGCGCAAGGACACCGTTGTTTCACCATTTATGTGCTGATAAAAGAGGACCGATTTCAAGGACCATGATGTATTTAACGGAAATAATTTTTTTAAAATAATTGGCAATCTGGAGAAATTTGATTTTTTAGACGTACATTGTACTAGCTATTACAGCAAATAGGTTATATTTTCGACATACCTTGAAATTGAAACTGTAGAACTATAATCTCAAACATGGATTTCTAAACGTTCATCTGTGTTGATATAACGTTATGTTTGCTTATGTGCGCCGTTATACGTAAAGCAGCACTTCGATTAATGAGGGAATCTTTTATCAGAGTCATTACGATGGTTAACAATACGGCTAACAATCGTTTTGAAGATTTCGGTCCGTTATATAATTATCAGTATCGCATAATAATAATTGGTGACACAACAGTTGGCAAATCAAGTCTGCTGAGGCATTTCACTGAAGGTCGAACTGCGGAAAAAAATGAACCAACTGTTGGTGTTGATTTTTATTCGCGAATGGTTGAAATCAAACCGGGTTTTCGCATTAAATTACAACTTTGGGATACAGCTGGACAAGAGAAATTCAGGTGATTATTTCTTATCAAAGGTCTTCTTCCTTAAATTTTTGCTGCCATTATTTTATTAATTTTATTAATTTCTCGAATTTTGCTTAATGCTTATTTAAGCAAACAAAATTTTATCGTGGAAAAAGAGGTGGCTGAGACGTATGTGGTCAAGAGAAAATAATTTGGTTCGATTTTTCTTCATTAAATTAATTAACCTGTCAAATAATCAAATCCATATGATAATTCCTTGAATCCGTTTGTGCTAATTATTCTTTGGTGAAAACGTCTCACCTTAATAGTTAATAGTGGTGCTAGCAACAGTGGAAATGGTGCATTTGTTGAAAGAAAAAGGGACTTTTTGAAATTAATATGTAAATAAAAATTGAAAATGTTGTAATTATAGTAAGGTTCTATATTATGTGGTTTATTTTTATATTTATATTTTATTTGCCTTCATTCATAAAATTGTCTCATAATGGTTCACTTAACATTCCTATCCTTTGTTTCGATTCATATTTCTTGGTTTATGGTCGCGTAATAGCACTTTGCTTTCGCTTTTCAGCTAAAGATATATTATTTTTCATTGTTTACCGAGTCTTAAAATTAATTTTTCTATTTTATTTTCTATTTATTTATTATTTCTAGTAATTTAGATCGATCTATATCAACTATTTTATATCTTTCCATTTAGATCTATAACAAGGTCATATTATCGCAATTCAGTTGGTATAATTATTGTGTACGATATCTCAAATCGAAAAACATTTGAACATATTACTCAGTGGTTGAATGAAGCGGAAACGAATATAAATGATTCGAATCACTGTGTAATTCAGTTGGTTGGCCATAAAGCGGATTTGGACGCAGATCGTCAGGTTTGAATTAATTACGTAATTTCTATGTTAAGTTAAAATTTTCATTCTTTAGAATTTCTGGTATATTTATTTTATTTCTTTTATTTTATTTCTTCTATTCATTTTGAAATTTTTAAGAAATTTGTGCTTTTTTTTATTCGATTCATAAAATAAAAGTTAATCCGTTAAAAATATTAATGATCACTTATATTTTATTTTATTTTTTTATTAGTCTTTTTTTTGAATATATTTTATTTTTGATGTTTGGGAGACAGGTTAGGTGAGTGGTTGTTAAGGTTATTGTTTGGGGCATCAAGCTTTGGACTCAGCAAGAGTTATCATTAAAAATCCAAACAGAATTTACGACTTATTTTTCGCCAACTGAATCGTTAACAAAAATTTTGCTTTGTGACATATTGTGACATACTCTAAGTGAAACAAATCAAAGTAAAAAGGGGCCATCACTTACTTTGCTTATTACAACCAGTGAAATAATGAATATTTTAACTGCAGGTAATGTATGAAGAAGGTGAATATTTTGCGAAGTACCATAAAATAAAATTCATTGAAACATCAGCAATTTCTGGCGAAAATGTCCAGGTAAATAATAAATCAGTTTGCAGTTTTCAATCACTACATTTACTTTTCGTGCAATTATTTCTATCCCAAAAATTTTTAAAATCCTTTAATTTACCGTTGATCATTCAGGAAGCCTTCGTGATGTTGGCACGAGAGATAAATAACAGAATTGAAGATGGTTCTTTGCAAATCATTGAAGGTTGGGAAGGTATTAAAAGTGGGGTGACGATGACACTGTCTTTATCAGAAGAATCTTCTCGCATTCCTTCGCCATCAAGTTGTTCTTGTTAATATTTTTGCATAATTATGAATTTTTTATATTACTGTACATATTTATTTGTATTATTTTCCAGAATTATTGTGAATTGTGAAAATTTTAATGCAATTTGTAAATTAGAGATAAATTCGTAATTTTTTTATTAATTGTGTTCACCCTTCGTTATTCATTCGTTATTCGATATTTTTTGTAAAAGTACGAAGAATAGCTTCATTTTTCCATGGTAATTTTTTCATGGTAAAAAAGTGGTATTCGCTCAAGTCGCATTTTCGTGATTACCACTTTTATTTTTCTGAAATGTAAGATCTATGAACTCGCTAAAGTACTAAATCTAGAAATGTTCAATAAGTGAATAAATAAATAAATTTCTTGCCTTGCATTTATTATTAAAGGAAATATTTTTCTTCCTTAAAGATAATTGATTTTAAAAAATTAAAATGGTTAAATTTAAAGTGAAGTTTAATTTATGGCGTGGCTTCAGTATTAAATGGTACGAGGAAAACAAGAAATCGGATAAAAACTATTCGAAGAAATTTGAGTAAAACGTAGAAAAGATTTGGCTAAAAAATTATAAAAAATAGTATAGTAAAAATAGTTTTGCAGTAGTATAGGTTTCATTGAATGATAAAAATGATAAAAAGATTTACCGTTGCAGAATATTTTGAATAAAATGGAAAATGAAGAATGCGAAACAAATATGGTGGATGGAAGCGGTTTTTATGAGGCAGAAAGCATCTTACAAAAGCGGATATATGGGCGGCAAGTATACTATTTAGTTAAATGGTCCAATTATCCTATGTGAGTTTTTTTTTATATGGATCAATTTGTGTTTGTCCATAATCTATTGGCTATTATATAAGATAGTAACAAAATTTTAAAAAATTACTTATCCAGAGGATTGGCTTGTTCAGACAAATTTTATCACTTGGTGATAAAAATACGAGCGAATCGATAAATCATGTGAACTTTTGAAAAATAGATTTATTCCTGAAGGTATCACCATCGACGCTTGAAAATGAATGCCCACTGAGCTATTCATGATCAATCATATCAATTAATTAGGTAGAAAACCCTGAAATCTAGCCTTCAATCGTTCTTCATATCTCGATTAGCATCTATTGAAATCATACTTCCTTAAATTTTGCTATATAAATATATTGTAAGCCCTTCGTGTTGGAATCCTTTCAAGAGTTTTTCGTGCTTATATCCCACGTAAATATCCCACGTAGGTTCTTTTAGGCTCTGTGACCGTCATTATCTTCTTACCTTTGTACTCCACTTTTTCATTAATATCTTCCTAAAACTCTGTGCTGAAATGGACAGTCTCTTAAACTCTATTAGAATCTTTTAATATCTCTTTGTTATAATGGTGTTTATTTGATCAGATTTAGCAATATATTTTATTTGAAGTCATTTTTTTCAGAGAAGAAGCAACTTGGGAGCCGATAACAAATTTGGGCAATTGCAAGCGTTTGATAAAAGATTACGAACAAAGAAAATCTGAACATTATAAGGTAATGTGGATTTATATTTGGCACTTTGCAGTAGTATAGTTTCATGATCGTTATCTGTGGCAAGGCAGCAAAAAAGTACACTTTCGCACCATGCTTTCCCAGCATTCGAACTGTTTCACCTTCAAAAGCAATTTGGTTAAATCTTATCAACATCAACTTTTTTTTTCTTTCATCTTTATCTTACCCATTGCCACGGATCACTTTTATGAAAGCGGCCAAAATTGCTTATTGAGCGATGTAATAATGGCTAATAATTGAAAATGCTGTTTTTCTGTCCTGTTTTAAATAATTTCAGTGCAATTATTTATAATAAAAATTCAGCATAATTTTCATTTTTTGTACAATTTTAAAAATATACGTAAAAATTTCATGAGGAAAATTTATAATTTGTAATTTCAAGTATTTGAATATCTGCGATGGCGGAGAAATATTAAAGATTCTAGTAGAATCAGATTCTAGTAGAACTCGAATCTCTCGAACCCAAAATTCGACTTCTTATCCATAGAGCCGCATATTATATGACGTAATTGATTTAAGACACATTTTTAAATGTTTCCTATTTATAATCTAAAATGGAAAAGAAAATTTTTATCAACTGGAATTTTCGATAAAATTTTACAATATTTCTAAAAACAGAGGCACCATTATACGGCATTTAAATTAGAACTGAACAAGCTGAGATAGATTGCCGGAATATTCGCTATTACTGTTAAAATCATATTATCAGTTCCGGGTATTGAAAAATGGTTAGCTTCCACCAATTGCTGCTAAGCTAATAAAAAATTTTCATGAGTTACTCGCCACAACCACCCGAATTTCTTTATTGGCTCCTCTCTGGGGTAAATTCCGATCCCTGAATCCAAAGAATCGTTTGAGTTTTATAATTTCACAACATTTTTCAAATTATTTCAAATTTTGGAGTATTTCCATATGTTTAGATTTGTGCTGAAATACACTGGATAAATCATCGAAATTAAAAAATTCCCTTTTTTATTTATTCTTTTCGCATAATTTCCTTAAATTTAATATTCTTATATTTCTTATTTTATATTTAAATTGTTTTTTCATTTTTTTGGCATAAAAACGATTTTTTTAAGGACATATTAAAGGAAAACGCAAGTACAAATCCACAATCATATTGCGAAGTTGAACGAATCGTATGCATGGATTCGTCAGAAGAAAATACGAAACCGTCCTATGAAATCGAATAGTAATTGTTATATTTTTATTATATTTATATTTATTATATTTTTATATTTTTGCAATTGTAATTTTTTCTATTGTATTCATTTAATTAAATTCAATTAATTAATGTTTGTCACAAATTTTTGAATTTCTCTGCTTTTCAATTATTAATTTTTAATTTAATTTCTTTTAGCAAAGATGGTCGAAGACGGTGGGTTGATTATGAAATTGCACATAAATACTTAAAAGATCAACTTATTACATATTACGAATCAATGATTATTTAATTCTTATGAACTTGAATTGATAAGAAATCGACTTCTGATTCTCATAATTCTTTCGTTATTTTGAAGATATTTTTTCGCAGAATATTTTCTTGTTATATTTCTTTTATTTTTACATGGTAATTCATTTATTTATCTTTTTTTCTTTATAAAAATTTCATCGAAAATTAGTTCAAGAGTACAAAGAAATGGGAATAAAACAATATTTGGAGCTAACATATAAAAAAAGCTTACAACAGATTCGCCCATGGAGGTACAATAGGTTGAGGATTTTGTAAATAACTCATTACAACTGCCGAAACCGATAACCTGAAATTTAAATGATGAGTGACAGATACGTTTAGGACATAGTGAGTTCAGCTAGCATAACTTCGCTTCGCTTAATATTATCATGAGCCAGTGGTTCACGGAACATATGGTTCGGAAACAATGAAGATCTACAAGACTTCCAAGGGTAATTCACTTTTTTCTTTAAATCATGTCAAACTTTAAAAAGACCCGGTAAAGTGTAAAAAAAAATCTACCACCTTCCTCATGAAATCCTTTTCATTTTAAAAAATTTAGCCATTTTTCACTCGGAAAAACAGATTATTAACCATGTGGTGGGCCACTTTTTTAATATTTTAATACCACAGTTTTAATTTCCAATAGGGCGAATAGATATAGTGTACATATCATAAATTATAAATAAAAGATTCTCATAATTTTCGAGAATGCAAAGAAGGTTCCTAAGCGGAAAGAGCACTATCATAAGTTCTTGATAAAAAGAAGAGGGTAAAACTTACATAAAACTACTAACGATTTGTTTAGCATCATCATTTGATCGTGCATTTGCAAAACTAACACATGAACAAAATAAAGCGACCCAAGCAGACCATTTCATCTAAAATTTTTCATTTTTATTGCACCTATTTATTTAATATTTAATAAAAAAATAAATCTAAAAAAAACAATACCCTCATCATAAGGCCACACATGCTAAATATCATACCAAGTACATTCATATATTCAGGAATTGGATCATTCGCTAAAATCGCTGATGTGTGTTGCATATCAACTGCTTTATATCTAAATTTAATTGATAAAATTTATAGAAAAAGATTCATGAAATAGTTAAATTGGTATTCATATATTCAGGAATTGGATCATTCGCTAAAATCGCTGATGTGTGTTGCATATCAACTGCTTTATATCTAAATTTAATTGATAAAATTTATGGAAAAAATTTCATGAAATAGTTAAATTGGTATTAAAGATAATAGTGATGATAAGGTCCTAAAATCTGCCAATTTAAAAAATGGTAGCCAATTTATATATTTACAATTATAAACAGTGTTGTCCTCTGGACGAACAAAATTTTCCTTTCATTTAAGAATAAGTACAAATATATATTTGCATAAAATATATAAATATTTACAATATATAAATATATATACTAAATTAATAAAAAAAGGCATAACAATGCTATATTTGCTTAAAGGTGCCCCATAAAATACTCTCCAAACATCCCTTCCGATCTTACTGCTTTCATGAATACCGATTACAATTCATATAAAACCAGTGAAAAAAAAAACTATAAAAAAACTATCCAATGGAAAGGACAGCACCATTATTCAATTAAACAGTTTGACAAAAAATTATCGGATGAAAATCAATGTCAAAATTAACTTCCCAAGCTTGCTTGGTACCATCCACGTTCTGGTATATGCCCCTCAATATTTCCTCAGTTCTCATCTCGTTCTATTAGCTCCAATTCCAACCTCTCTTAATTTGCTCTCATATTTAGTCGCTGAATTCATTTAACATCCTAGGATCTAATAAGATTTCAATGTTAAGAGCGTTTTTAAGAACCACTGGTGAGTCACAAACGACAGAACGATACAATGAGGTTTGGCAACTAGGACACCATGACAAATCAGTATAAGATAATATAGTATAAGAGAGCTGAATAAGAGATCGAAGAAGAATATTAGAGAGATAAAACACCAATGGAAATTAAAGGATAGCTAAAGCATCTCAGATTCCGAGGAAACTGCCAAATGGAAAAAGAGGCCTAATGATGCAGCACTCAGAGAATATAACGCAGCCTCGACGTGTTTTGAGGCAACTAAATGGAAAAGAAGGGGAAAGACCTAACAAATATTTTGATAAATGGAATATCTAGAAGGGTTTTCACCGACTGTTGCAAAGATCACAATAGGAATGCTGCGTTATTGACGTGGAATTTTTAGAATTTGCTAGGATTTTCATGAAACATAGCGAATTTCTTATAAGAAATTATGCATGGATGTTGAAAATTATGATAAAAAATTAAAAGCAAACCTCACAATTTTATTCGGCCTTTTCACACTTCCATTTTGCATTTTTAATTGCTTTTCAAAAAATAAAATTCAATTCTATAAAAAATAAATAATAAAAGTAATAATAAAAATTAAATAAATAATAAAAATAAATAATAAAGATGGCTTGACGGCTCAATTAAGAGACGGCCAATTCGGAACGCCGATACTGTGATTCCATTCCCTGCAGTAGTAAACTTGCCCAAAAATCCGAATGATGCTCACCCCTCGTACTTCTATCGCTAAGGGGCTCTCCCTGACATATTTTCCTAATGCGATAAGCCAGCGAAGCGAATTTACCCAGTAATGGTGATGGCTCTTAAATGAAGACGGCGGCTTAGTGGACTGTTTCAAAAAATCGAAAATGCTTGGAATTTAACTACAAATAGGAATGAATAAAATCTGTAATTTCAAAAATCCGCCTGGTTCAAAATTTTTTTATTAGCTATATAATTGGCTTCCAGCCCACCCCCACACAAATCGTTTTGGCCCTAAAACCTGCACAGCGAATTCAGTCAGAAATGGTGAAGGTTTTTTTAGAAAAATAAAAACTAAAAAATTAAAAATTAAAAAAAAATTTAGAATAATTTTAATAACTTCGATAATAAAAATAAATAATAATCTTAGATAATTTTTTAATTGATAATTTGCTGATATAATTGACAAATTATAAAACTACACTTTAACTGTTAATCAAAATTAAAAAATAGAAAAAAATTCATAAACCACAAATTTTCTCATATCACAATAGTGATAATTTCCCAAACGGAGCTGCTAAATAGATAATGGACTGCAAATTAGTAATAGGTTAAATCTGCGACCCTCAAATTATGAGCATTTTTTCGTTATCGTTTTAATAATTTATAAAAATTTTTAAAGAAATATTTCGAAACTCTTATTATTATTGATTATTCAAGTTTTTTTTGTTTGGCAGAAGAAAATTTCAATAATTTCAAAAAAAAATTTGAAAAATTTTTTTTATTATTAAAGTTAAAATTATTTGAAAATTTATAATTTTAAAAAATTTATTTTTAAAATAAATAAATATTAATTTTATCAATGAAATTAATAAAAATTAATCAGATAATGAAGAAATATTTTTTTGAAAAATAAAAATCAAAAAAAATCTAAAATAATTTTGATAATTTCGATAATAAAAATAAATAATAATTTTAATAACTACGATAAATAATAATTTTAAATAATTGTTTAATTGATAATTTGTTGGTATAATTGATTAATAAAATTTAAAATTTCAAATTTAATAAAATTAATTTTATAAATTTTTAAAGAATGGAAAAGAAAAGTTATTTGCCGGCTATTTGGTCGGATGATTTACAAATGGCCGGTTTAATGGCAATGAATAAAGTTTGTTTTTTTTTTATTTCGATGATTTTAATAATTTTAATCTAATTTAATAGTAATTTTATTTAAATTAGCAATTTTATAATTTTTATACTTTTAATATATTATTTATTGTATTTATTTATATTATTTTATTATATTTTATTTATTACTCAAGCGACAGGCCAGAAAAAAGGAATTTTTTTTTAATATTCATAATGATAAATTTCACAAATTTCATCTTCACAACATTTTTTTTTAAATCAGCTGTTTTTGTGAAAAGTTTATTGGTTTCAGGCACGTGCAATAAATCCATATGATTTTGATCGGAAAATTAAATTTTGGACTGAAGTAATTGGTAAATCATGTGAGGAAGAAAAAGATTGTACAATAAGTCTTGAAAGGTTGAAGAAAAGATTCCGACGAGGTGATCAAATCCCCGGTTGCTTAGAAGATACTATCAGCAGTATGATTAAGTAAGTGTGCAGTTGTTAACAGTTAATTAGTTTAATCAGTTCCGATTTGATTGTCTTCATTGGCTACTGGCTTGAGGAGTGCGCTTTGGCCATAGAACAGATTTCGAGAAATTGAGATTGATCATCCCATTAATAATGTCATTAATTAAATTTTTTTTTTAAAGAGTCCTCACCATTACTGTTTAAATTCGCTCCACTGGCTTGTCGCATTAGGCAATATGCCAGAGAATCCCTTGGCAATAGAAGTACAGGTGAGTCGCCAGCATCACCCGGATTTTTGTACAGGTTTACTCTTTCGAGGAATCGAACCTCAGCATCGGCGCTCGCTTGAGGAAAAATGCACAATTAAATGCAATTAGTGCATCTTTATCGAACTCTCCTTTATTTTTTGCATTTGATATTGAATCTTTTGAATCGTTTACTTATAGAGATGGTGAATTAATGAGATTAGAGGATTTCAAAGGTCGTGATCAGAGTTGGGTACAATGGGGTTATTCGCGAATTATTGGAACTTTTTGGGGTGGTGAAAGCCGACAAACGGTGGAATATGTTCATTTACCAACCATTCGTGTATGTTTTTTCTTTTTCATATTAATAAGATCAACTTGTACTCGCTTCGAAATCATGCATTTTTTAGCAGGTTGATTTCTTTCTTTTATTTATTTCTGTTATTATATTTTTTTTATTTTATCAAAATAGATCTTGCAGAAACAAGCGAAAAATATCATAGAATTCTATCATTCAGACTTTATTGGTGAAGAAGATGATATGTCGAATGAAATTGTTGGTTTAAATGAATTTCGCGCTAGATGTTCACATCTAGTAGCTGACGATCGTGTTTTCCAGTTAATTATTATGGAATTAGTGCATCAAGGAGAGGTTATTTTTCGCTAATATATAAATCTATCACTAATATAGTTTTTTTTAAAAATAAACATCTTCATTCTCGAGGAATTTTCTTTTTATTGTTTTTGAACTTTCCAACTTTCCATTTTTAATTTATTTTGAATTTCTTTCTGGCAGAATATGCAAGTGAATTTTGCTTTTCTGTATCGCCAAAGCTGAGCGACTTTTTACTATTTTTTTCAGTTAACTATTGGTTTATCAAAAGTGGGCGAAAAAGTTTTAAAATTTCGCAACGGTAGTATACGTGGTCCTATCCAGTGGACTGAATCAGATGCTGGACTTCATGATATGCGACGGGCAATGAGCAAATTAGAGCGAGAAATTAAGCGATTGGAAGAAAAAGCTAAAATGTTGGTTATAACATTCTTATAACATTTTCGAAAAATTTTGAAATTTTTCCTTCTCTATCCTATTGTTAATTTTAGCGCTGAAGAGAATGCTCGACTGTGCATTCGTAAAGGTGAACGAAATAAAGCTGCGCATCACCTTCGTCAGAAGAAACGCGCACTTAGCGAAATGAATGCGAAAGATGTACAATATCAAAAACTGCTTGATATGTTGTATCAACTTGGGCAAACGAGGCAGAACAAACAAATTATTGATGCATATAAAGCAGGAGCAGATGCATTCAAAGCAACTCTGCATAGGCAGGGAATTGATCCTAACAAGGTAAATACAGCTTCAATAAAAGCCAATTTTGAATTTGTTTTTATGTAAATATTTCTTAAAAATATTTGTTTAAATAAATAAATTTTTCGAAAAATAATTTTAATCACTACATGGATTTAGATTGATGAAACGATGGATAGTATTCATGATGCGATGGTGACTGCAGAAGAAATTCACGAAGCTATTTCTAGTGGGGTACCATCCAACAGTAATTTAGATAAAGAACTCGAAGCAGAATTGAATTCTATCCTTGCTGATAGTGGAAGCAGTAACTCTTTGTTGAATGGTTTACCTGAAGTGCCAAGTGATGAACCTGAAATATTTGAGAATGAATTTGTGAGTGAAACTTTAGCTCGACGCTTAAGGAAATTGCGCGAAACTAGTTAATTTCTTGTATCTTTTGGTTGATTGTTTTTCAGTGTTGTCAGCAATATTTTGTACATATACTCCATGGTCGTTTTTTTTTCTATTATTACCATTTTTACATACATATTCATCCTTCTATTTTTAATTTATTTTTTATTTGTGGTTCTTTTATTTTATTTTTTATATATTGAGCACTTAAGCACTTAAGCACTTTAGAAAATTTAAATTTCTTCGATAATAGTTGAGTACTTAAAGGAGAGGGAGCCTTTTAAATCAGTTAATTCATTGAAAATTATCAGTTATGATCAATTAAAATTTTTTCAATAAAATTTTGAATTCTTATTCGTCTTATCAATTAATATAGATTGAAATTATCTAAGGTGAATACCAAAGCATTTCACCATTGATTTTGCCATCTTATCCGTCACTACATTTTTAAAATATTTTTTAATAATTTTTTCAATTTTAGAATAGCTTATCATTTTACGATTTATCCTTTAAAATATTTCTTTTGGGAAATATTTTTCGTTTCTCATAATTTTATTCAACAAAAATTTTAAAATTTTTCTTTTATTGGCAAATAAATTATCCTCTTCCGCAATCTCCGAAACTGCATAATACGCCGAGTCTGCTTTTCATACGAGGTCGTAAATCATCACCAACCTGAAAAAAATTTAATGTTTTAGAGAAAATAATTTTAGTAACAACTTTCTCTCAAATTTCAAACGATTATAACCTTTATTTTATGAAAAATTTAAAAAAATTTCTAAAGAGTACTTTACGAAAATAGATTAAAATAAAAAACTTGTAAGAGAACATATTGAATTAATCTTTCCTCGAACCCCTCCACCGCCCCCGCCCCAAATTTCAATCCCTCGGGGTTAGAAGAAATTAGAAGATATCAGTTTTTTTACAGCCTAATGTATTCAGTCCAATTGGAGCAAGGATATTAGCCTTAATAGTTTTTAAAAATTAATGAATTCGTGGTGTACTTTTTTTTAAACAACAAATACAATCAATTTATTATTATCACCAATTTCAGTTCACTGACTGTAAGAGTGGAATTCTTTCCGCGAAAAATAGAATATATAGGAGTGGAGATTGATCCGGACCATGGGGTTATATATATATATATATTGGTACCATGGGGATTGATCGGCGGTGCCATGTGCTGGGATTGTATCTACTGGTACCAATGTTCCAAGCACAAGTCTATATTCTATCTGATTCTATGAATTTTTATATTTATTAATCTTCGTTCGTGCGAATGAACCTATTTAATATCTCTGAAATTCTAACGGAGAATCCTTTTATAATTTTTTGAAGAGTGCTCACCAGTACCGCTGTTATTTTCCTCTGCTGCCTTCTTAGACAAATATGCCAGTCCTTTGGCTATAGAAATACAAGTGAGTCGCCAGCAGTCACCCTTATTTTTGAAGTATAGATTTACTCCTATTGAGAGTAGATCCTCAATATCCGCAACAACCTACTGAGTGATTACCACCCAACCTCGGTTCTCGGGGATATTTATTTTACCATTTATAGCCACAGATGCACCATATTCCTATTGTCATTCCTATTTTATGCTTTTGTTCGAATTTATATCGTTAACTCAACTTACCCTATAAATTATACTTCCAGTTCCATCTAGAAAACTTGATGTTTGAAAATGTTCCTTTCTTTGCAGTCCGTCTTGATCTGCATAAACTTTAACGATTGTCGCTTTTATGTCGCATTTCTCATCGGATATATCGAACATGGCTTTTGCACCTTTATTTGGCAGTTTAATGCTGCAAATTTATTTGAAATTTATTCCTCTAGGCGGATTTGTATTTATAAAGGAAAATTATTAAGATAGGTGCGTGATTCTTGCTTAGATCCATCGCTTCAGATGTGTGGTTCTTGCTTAGATCCATCGCTTCAGATGTGTGGTTCTTGCTTAGATCCATCGCTTCCAGGATGAAGATTGTAGTTGCGCGATTTACAGGAATGAAAACGTGTATTATTAAAAAAATTCGGATGGTGTAGAGAGTGTAGTTTTGTCCCCGTATGGCCAAAATTTCTAATTATTCTAGCCATTTATTTTTACAACAAAAAATGAAAATAAGAGAAGCTAAATGGCTTATCTATAACGAGAAAAAAAATTGGCTAGAAAAGAATGAATATTTCAAAAATGAAGGATCTTACGGAATAGTTTGCGTTCCATTATGAAAAGTTAATTGAACATGTATTGTTTTAATGGTATCTGAGATTACAGTGATGTTTATTTTGCATGTGGTACTCACCATCGCTAGTACCACGACTAATAGAAAGTAAAAAATTTGCAAAAACATTGCAATGAATACGGATCGAATACGAAAAAAATCGTAAAAATACTGAAAATAAACTAAATTAAATTCGTAAAAATCCTTCTGATTTTATTACATTAGCGTTATTGGTTACTGATTCTTGCACCAAATTATTGCTTGGAGATAGCGTTGAATAAAGATGAATCCCCCATGATCGTATGAATTTTGAGTACGTACGAGGGAAGGATTTAGATAAATGGAGTAGTTACATTTCCTTTTAGGCGTAGCTTGGTTCGATATGCTTGGGAACGTTTTATGTAGCAATTCACCAGTGTAACAAATCAAACCAGCACTGTTATTAAAGAGAAAGAGAAGAGAAATGTGTCGCTTATTCCTGTAAAAACAAATTTTATCATTTAGGCCATCTTTCAACTGCTGATAACTTCTGATAATCTGGCTGGTCTACTGAATTACAGGTCGTCAACCTACTTTGTATTTCGGTCAAGATCATATGCGAATTTATAGAATTTAAATATCGTAATTATTGGAAATACGCTATTTAAAGACATCCATAGGATTAAAATTTAAGTATTTTGGGCGATCTTTTTAAAGACCGTTTTCTAATAATCAACATCATTATTCTAAGCATTACTGGTTAGGCTGATTCGCTGACTACAAGAGTAAGGTTATTTCCAAGCTATTCGACCCGACACCATCATCGACGGTTCTTTTTTCCATTGTCTAAGTCCATATATAGCTATTCCACCTATACATTCAAAATTTCTTGAATCAGTCCATGTCTTGATTGGCTCGCTTTTGACGCCATCCATTACAGTTTAGCAATTAACGATATATGTGCCAACTCTTGTGGTGACAAAAAACGTGCCCTGATCAGCCTGTACGAAGTTCTGGTATTGCATTGTTATGTGATATTTGAGCGAAAATGGATGTAATCACATGAGATTTTAGTTGCTCGGCGGACACGTAAAATGTTTCTTAGACTGAGCTATTAAAGTCAGATAGTTTCTTAATATCTCACAGACCTCCCCTTCCTACCCCCCCCCCCCCCCCCCCCCACTCTCATTGGATTCCATATCTCACGGGCATATAGTACATAGCAAGACCGCGAATTGCAACTAATATATGGACGCATACCTCCATCTATATGGTGACATTATTGTCCGGCCATTTGGAATCAAAATGGATCCAAGATGAATTTGGTCATTTTCTCAACTAGTAATGAATTGATAAGAATACGCATTATTTTATCAGCTTCTTGTTGATAAGATGTACATAAAATGCTTAGCTTCTCGCTATTGCGATTGTAAACCAAATGCACTAAGGTAATCTTTATTTTTATCTTTTAATTTTTATTCTATTCAAACACATGAAATTTAACTCGAAATTCTTTTAAATATAATTTCCTCCATCTTTTCGTTATTATTGAATAAACTAATTAATAAATCTTCAGACTAAATTTTATTTGCTATTAAAAGAAAAATAAAAGAACCAAATATCACCGACAGTGAAGAATGCTTGAAATACATAATGAATGAACAACGAATGGATCAACGTAAAATTAGACAGAATTGTTTCTTTTATACACAGCAAAATTACCTAAATTCTTAGAAATTCCCAAGCAAATGTGAACAATTTTGAAGAATTTATCAAATTTATTTCGGTACCAAAACTACTTCAAAGAATCTGAATATAATAAGTGATAAATGATAAATGCTATAAGTGATAAACTTCTTAATCAATTAAATAATATTGAGAACCTTTTATTCGAATCGTTATAAGCGATTAATTTCTGGCGACAATAATCTAAAGTTAATGCTAAATAAAAAAAAAAATAAAGATAAAAATCCATAGGATCAAAAATTAAAATATAGAAAATCGTCCCGATATCAAATTATTACTGCCAGCAAATTAAAATATGGTACCACAGAGGTAAGTTTCTTCCTATATTAAAAAAAAAATTAAAGTTAGAATAAACCAATAAAAGAAATGCTAATACAAATGGAAAAGAACGAGATAAACGCGTTAAATGATTAATGCAGAATGTTATAGAAGAAATTATTTCAAACCCATAAAGCGAATAATAAGATCAAGTTAAATGATTTTAAAAATTGAAAATTGAAAAAAGCCATAAATAATCAAAATTTTTTTATAAATGTTATAAATTTTTTTGTAAATGTTATGTTATTATTTATATTCACACCATTATCAGAAGAATTGACTGATTAGAAAGTAATTAATTATAAATTTGAATAAAATGTGGTATATAACATTTTGCATATTTAAATGAAATGGTTCATCAAATACAAAAAACAATTTCGAATGTGAAGGAAATAAAAAATGATTCAGAAAATAGGAATTTTGCTGGTAACGAAGGAAAACGAAGAAAACTGGGATAATAAATTAATTAGCCAACGCAAAATAGAAAAAAAACAATTGCATGCTACTTACGTATTTCTGAAAGGCAATAAGGCAATAATTTTTTACAAAATTCAAAAATTTCTAGAACCGTATAATCAAAATTTAACAATATAGAAGTATCGATTTAAAAAATTTTGGAAATATGAATCAATATTAAAATCTACACAAATCTTTCTGCCTACTGCTACCCCACTAAACTTCATAAGAATTTCGAAAACTCATGAAAAATTTTACTATTAAATATTAAATATAGGATAAAAATAATATAGATGAAGCCACATATTAAATGGCATAAGCAACATGGCAAATATATCATCCATCGACGAACTTATGAAACAAATAAATAATGCAAACTTTCAATATGAAAAAATTATAAACAAATTTTCGAAGGAGCATAAGGAATTGATGTAGATATGCCTTTTGACTTGTTTGAAAAAAGTTAAACTATTACATGACCATGGATGATGTAAGAGGCGCCGTCATCGATTCCGTCTGAAATGGAAATGAACAAATCAAAACAGTAAAGATCGAAACTCATTTCTATGACATATAAACTGAAATATGCTGAATAAAAAATGTTAAAAAATTTTGTTGGAGTGAAAGAAAATTTCTAATATAGAGAACAACAATTATATTCTGTAAAAAAACCGGAAGCAGTAAATTTGAATCATTTCTCGTTCAATACATTTTTTTTGAAATCTTACATGTATTGAAGAGCCTGTAGTCACGATGGAAGGATTTACGATAGGTGGATTGTATTCAGTTTGTTGCTTGTCCATGACAAGTTTAACACTGCGCGAACCATTTTGTGTATCCGTTCCTATAAAGCCTTATTATACTTACTGTAATTATAGAAAAATAGTTTTTTGATAAAATTTTGAAGCAAAAAACCTTCAGCGAAAGGATCCATATCAGCATCCATTTCTTCCACTGTACGTCTATATACTGGATTATCAACATGCAATACGGCGAAAGTGTTTGAGCGTCTTCGGTACCATAGATATGCCTTTAAAAAAAAGAAGGAAATGCATCCAAAAGAAGCAACTGGAAATATAAATGCGAAATAAATGCGAAAAAAATTCTATGCAAAATATTTTCATAAATAGGCTTACCATAATAAACATTAAAGATAGAATAAATAGGAAAAGAATGCTTGTCATAGACAAAGCCGGCGAATTCGCATCGGCTATTCCTGCAATAAAAATAATAAAAAATGCATCTGCATATTTCAAATAATAAAACCATTGTATCTGCATTTAGATTACAGATTATATAATCAATTTAACTGCGTCATATCCATCATGATTCCCAACTATTAGAATTCAATTTATCGAAAAAAATTTGATCATAATTTTAAAATTCCAAAATTATTCAATTTCTTGAAATAAACCGCTTAATCCGCTTCGCTAATATTTCTTCTTTTTAAATTATATTCAATTCAAAAATCTTCCAAATAATTCAATTATAGTTTATTATTATTAATTATCTAATAAAAATATGCTAAATATGCCATACCTAATATCAAAATCTAGCTTTTAGCACCATTTAAATTCTCATAAAAAAGACTTTAAAATATCGATGAAAATTTATTTTTAATATATTATCATTTTTAACCGGCCAATTAAAAGCATTTTCTGAGATTTAAATCAGCATTCATAAATGTATTGTTTAATTAAATAGAACCTGCAGCTGTTGCATTCTGCAGCACACAGTAGTTATGATTATTCAAATTCACAACAAAACCATTCATACAAGCGCAGGTGTACGGACGACCTTTCAATGTGAATTCAGCATTCTTCTGCGGTGCTATGAAAAAATTCACGTTATTAAATTAAACTAAGCGTAATCGAATAATCGAATTATTCAACAAACTGGTGATCGAAAACCATCCAATGAACTCAAAATCAAGCTAAAAACAAACCAAGGTGAGCTCTAGGCAAGCAAATATGTTCACAGTTATGATCGAAACATTTGTTTGGATGTTCTGGCTGGGCCATTTCGTGGTAAACTCGCACGGTCATTGGGCCAGATACTCCATTCATAACCTAAGCATACAAAAATGTGGATTTTTAAACCAAGCATAAATTATCAAAGTTCAAAAAAAGTGCTATCATAATCACGGTCAGCCTATTAGGTCAGATTTTGAATGGAAATTTTTATATTTTTTTAAAATTTATTCAAAAAATTTATTTATTTAAAATTTATTTAAAAAATGAACTAAAAATTTCTATTTACTAATATTTTTTGAAATAAAGTTTCTACTAACCGTTCTAAAATCATTTCCAGTGAATTTATTTGCAGTAAGAACACCTTCATGGTCCCAATCGGTCCAGTATAAACGTTCTTCGAATACCGTTAATGAAAATGGATGCTTAAGATATTCCCTTGATTTGAGAACAAGTCGAACACTATTTCCCCAATAATCGCAAGACATTATAAGCTTGACTTTAGCATCTGCCCAATAAATTCGATGTTCTAATATATCGAGAGCTAAGCCATTTGGCCACTTGATAGTATCTCCCGACACAATAACCTGGAATTTATAACTGTAACGAGAACCTGGAATTTAAAAATGCACATATAAATAAACTTTCTTTACAATAAAGCATTATGAAACGAATAAAAAAAATTATATAAATAACCAACTATTTAATTTAAAAAAATTGATGAAAAAGAAAAATGAATTAAATGAATGATAAGATAAATAAATTCTTGTAATAAAACTTCACACCGTACGATCTTGTCCATCCATTCCAGCCCTTTCAATGCGAGCGTTTACACCCCAATCAGTCCAAAAAATCAAGCCCCTTGATGGATCAACTGCAATAGCACGAGGCTCATCCAAGCCTTCCGAAAAAATCGTTTTTCGTCGACGACTTACAAGATCAACGACATTAATCTAAAAATTTGTTTCTCCTTTCATATAAAAAAAATTTATTTAAATTAAAGAATAATTCATTTCACTAATGAAACTCTGACTAAAAAACTGTGGCAATTTTTAATAATTTCAATTTTTAATTTTGCTGCTGCTGTGTCTTGTTCAAAGATGTAGCTATTTTGCATTGTTCTGAATTTTTTTCCCTCACATGTTCAATATTTTTAATTTTTTTAATTTTTAATTTTTAATTTATCAATTTTTTAGTGGCTTTCGATTGAAAGAGTTCATTGAAAAACCTGGTCATAGCCTGTATCAGTCCAAAACAATAACTGATGCACCCAATCCACTGCTAAGCCATCCGGTGTTGAAACGTCTTTTTCAACTAAAGTAATATTATCCATACCCTCCGCACATTCACCAATATCATTTAAAATCCGTAGCTTTTTACCCATGTGACAAATCATGATTTTCTCTTGAGACACATCTGACCAAATTAACGTGTTATTTCTAAAAATATTATATTACTTTTTCGGTAAGTTTTATAATAAATATTGATTACTATAATAAACCATACAACTATAAAATCGTTATATGAATTAAACCTATGCAAGAAATCCATTGCAACGGCTGAATCCAATTTAACGACAAGTGGTTCGTATGTTTTGGTAATTAAATTCAATCGACGAATAGCAGCACGATTCGATAACAAAAGAGTTGGATCACTGCCTTTGGCTCGACAAACTTTCATATTTTCAGGCATATCGCTTGTTGCTCTAAAATTCATTTGAACATATCATTTAATTAGGCATCAAGTTTAAGATTTGAATAAGAATTTAAAAAAAAAAAATCATAATAGAAACAGAATACAAATAAAATACAAATAAACGAGTTTTTCTTTTTTAATAGAATTCAAATGTGATACTTTCCCATCGTTAAATGATATCCAGGATAGCATTCACAAGTATAGCTACCAGGAAGATTTATGCATTTCTGTGGACATTTTCCGACTTGTGCACATTCATCGATATCTAAAAATAAAAAAATTTAAAATAAAAAACAAATACTGATCAGAATCATAAATTCATAAATTTTAATTCATTTTATTACTGAATTGATTTTATTTTATTACTGGCTTCAATGAATAAAATTTTAAATTGCCAACCAATACAGCGATCGCCTTTTACTTCAAAACCGCTTGGACAATGACAAATTAAACCATTCTGCAACGTTTTCCTGCACTGACAATAATCGCTGAATGTAGAATTGCATAATTCTGAAACCAAACAAATCTATATAATTATTTGCTTACATATGGAAAAAAAACTCATCCATTTCCTCCAGATCTGCCAAAGTCTATCAAAATTTTTTTCAATGTTTTTAAATATCACTCTCCTACCTTCTAAATTTTATTATTCCTTTTTCGAACTAATACACCAAGGTTTCCACGTTATTCATTTCTTTTTGGTAATATTACATAACTATTGGTAGCAACACCATTAACTAGCATTAATTTTACGAACACTACAACTGGGGATAGAATGGCTCGGTGGGTTATTGATCGATTGGGAGCACCGATTCTGAGGTTCGATTCTCCGCAGGGGTAAATCTGTCCCAAAATCCAGATGATGCTGGCGATTCACTTGTACTTCGATCTCCAAGAGACTCTGGCATATTGCTTAATGTGACAAGCCAGTGGAGCAACTTTAACCAGTGAGGACTTTCAAAAAAAAATGGAAACTACAATAATACTCTGATGGAAAAGTTTGTCAGAGCCTATAATCCTGTTGTAACCCATCAAACTTCTAAATTCCTCTTAAATCTTTTCAAAACTTATTACACCATCCCTTTTAAAATAATATTTTAAATTTTCTAATATTATGCTAATCGAATATTTAGACTATAATAACCCAACTCAATCGTACTGTAGTATCAAAATTAACTTATCTTTTTGTTATTCATTAATATTACTTTAAAATTCGTCCCTTAACATCCTCAAATCCCACCGTGCTCCTAATCCGTAATCCAACTTAATAAATCCTTTTTGTATTCGTTCTTAACCACGAACATTGTGGGCACTTACCACGAAATCTTTATTTTTTCTCTTAACAACCCATCAAATTTTGCGCTATAACAATTGCAAAAATTAGAGGAAATGGGCATATAATACTTCGATATTTCCAATTCACGTTTTAAAATTCTCAAATCCACATCGAAATCAAATTATATTCCTTTATCATTTCTCATAATTTCTCATTTCCTTCGCCTTTTCGCTTTGAATTCCATTATGCTATCATAATCTCCCTTAACCCACTAATTTCTCCCACCAGTTCTTCTAAATTTTTCAATGCAAATTTTTTTTTGCATTTTCAATCCCCTTTAAATTTATAGCAGCTATTCTCCCAAGCCATTTTATAACAAGCATAATATAAAAAATAAACTTTTTTATACCCTCTTAACATCGAAATCGAAACCCTGCTATTTTCCCTAAACATTCTATCAAAAGCCATTGGATTCTCATTTGTCATATGTATTAAAAACATTCCTTTAACTACCTTAGAACATCCTCTTTACTAGACCCATTAAACTTCCTCAAAATCTGTTTTAATTAAAATCCACTGTGTCAGTAATGTTAGACTCCACAGCGATGATTTCTGCAAAAAACCGTTATAATATCTGCTCATAACATCAAAAGCTTTAATTTTATTTAATTTTGATTTTCTTTAAGTTTCTTTGCCATGCAGAAATATACTTGCACTACAATACCCTCTTAATATCCCTAAAGATATGTTTTTTGCCACAATGTATAAACGACATCATTTTCATTGCCTTAACTCTTTCTCAACTCAGAATGACGCAATTTTAAGGCAGTTAAAACTAAACTGCAGATGAAGATTTAACTGCGAGTAAAACCATGGAATCAGAGATGATAGGAGAAGTATCAAAAATTTAAAGTAGTTTAAAAAATAATTTTGCTGATAAAATAAAAAAATAATTTCTAATGACAATGCCCTAATATATTTAATAAGAATAAAGAAAATTTTGGCCGATTTCCTATTTAATTGAAGATTCTATTAGTTTCCTACGATTAAGCGAAAATATGAAAATAGCTTACCTATTTTGCTGGAACATACAGATTTAGCACAATCATTGTTGGATGCATTTGAAACACAAAGATCCTTATATGGAATGCAATGAAGAGGCGATTCTTTACAATCATATTCTTGATTTTTATCACAGTTATCTTCTAAATTTATTTACCAAAGATTAATGGAGAAATTATGGGTAAAAATTTGAATATTAAGAATAAATTTAAATTTAAATAAAAATAAATAAGATAAGAATAAATAATAAATTTAAAATCTGAAAATGGAAAAAGAAAAATCATACTTCTCATGGGATTAAGAGAACAATCATTTTCGTCTGCACCATCAATACAATCTTCAATTCCATCACACCACTTTGATACTGGCAAGCATTTACCTAGGTCACAAGTTTTTTCGGTGGGACCACAATCTCTATGGTCGCCTATAAAAATTCATTGTCGCGTTAAAATTATATTATTATTTATTTATTTTTATCTATTATATATTATTTAATGTTTGATAATGACAGCTTTTAATTCGTTCGACGAAAATCTTACAATTAGATAAATAATAAAAAAATAAAAGATACAATTTTCTTCATCCGAACCGTCTGGACAATCCAATTCTCCATCACATTTCCAAGCATTGTTAATACATTGCCCTCCAGTACGACATTTAAATTCCTTCAAAAAAAAAAGATACAAGAAAACACTTTATTAAATGTAGAAAATAAGAAAATTTTCCAGTCTCTGAACTAGTACTGTGATAATAAAAATATAAATAAGTATGTAAAAAATGAGTTTCTTTTCTCAGTTTCTCATAATATGAGGATACATCATACATATTGATGATGACAAATAACTGGATGGGGTTTCTTCGCCGACTGAATTGCTGAATCTGTACAGTTCTGTTCATCTGAATGATCTTTGCAGTCAGCTTCACCATCGCATAGCCATGAACGTGGTATACAAATTTTTCCGGTGTTACACTTAAATATTCGAAATAATTTCTAGAAGATATATAAAATAAATGTTAATATTCAAATAAAACCATAAAAGCAATTTCATTAATAAATAAAGTAGTAAAAATTAACAGAAATAAATACCTGGAATTTTTCTTGCAGATTACAAGTAGAATTCGGGCAATTTTTTTCATCAGATCCATCACCACAATCATCATCGCCATCACAAACCCAACTTTTAAAAATACAGATGTGATTAGCGCATCTAAAATTTTACCCAAACATTATTTGGACATTTAAAACCAACAAAATAATGCAAATAAATTGAATCCACTCAGTTTAGAAATTAACAACAGCGTAAAGTATTACTGGTATTCATTATGGCCACACGTTTGTTCAGGATTGCATCCTTTTTCATCAGACAAATCAACACAATCATTTTGACCATCACATCTCCACGATTGTGGAATACACATTTTTGGATGACCACGAAATTCTTCGCAAACAAATTGATCCCCAGCACAAGTAATATCTTAAAATCAGTACGAAAAATATGGAATCTCGCGAAACTGAATCATATGAATTTCTTTTTAGATGAAATATTTTAAAATAAAAAGGGAATGGAGAGAACTCGAAGAAAATCAATCAAACTAAAAAAAATATAAGGAATAAAAAGAACTATGGCAGCCTTTTTCATCGGAACGATCACGACAATCAGCTTCGCCATCACAAACCCATGAACGAGGAATACAACGCGCGGGGTGATCTCTTATCATAGATGTGTAAAGAGGCAATGATGATTCGCTTCCACATTCGAATTCATTAACCAAATTACAAGATACTCGTTCTGAAAAATTTTGAAAAAAAACAGCTGAATATAAATGCCAATACTAAACAATAAATGCGAAATATTCCGATTTTTCGGAACTCAGCGAAATAAATTTTATAAATTATATCAAACTTCTGAAAAATTTAAATTCTAGTGAATTTTTATCATATTAAATTTTAATTTTATCATAAATAAAATTCAGATAGATATAAGTATACAAAGCAGAAAAAAAATTCTTGTTTTGCCATGCATTTTGCTCATTTTACAATTTCAAATTAACTAGTAAAAAGATAATCTTCAAACCACAGCACACCTAATGACTCCCTCGTCATATTCGTCCCTTAATATTCTTCCTTCGCATCCTACTTACTATTCAAATCATTTTACTTGCATAAAACTCGTCTTCTTCCCTTCACACTTCCTTCAATTCCAATTATATTCCCTTGTTACCTCAAACCACGTTATTCTTTGTGATTTTATAAATGTTTAATTTAATTTTTTTTTTTTTAAATTAGCAGGACGAGAACGTACTGCAAAATTTGATGGTGTATCTAGCGAACAAGACTGGAATTAATTAGATTTAGATTTCATTAGCATTAGATTTCAGTTAGATCTGCGAGGGCTTAGGTCTTAAAATGGAATTCAAAGATTTAAAATTACGTACCATCGTGATACTGAAGATTTTTCACAAAACATAATAATTTTATGGGAATTTTAAAAAACTTTAACATGGGCTTTTTGGATTCGCATAAAGATACAAAAATACGCCCACACACATATGAGCATCCAAGCAAAAACTATACTGATATATACACACTATATACACAAAAGCAAATATGTGTATATATACAAACATCGATTTCGGAAACAGATGGTTATTTTTAGATATATCTGAATGCTTCCTTCTTTTCGATAAATTCATACATAAATTCGCTATTCTCAAATAAAACTTCATTTTTTATATCACATCCTAGGGTCCTACGCGCTCTAATATGTCGTAATAATAAAAGTGGTTGCTGGGTATAGTGTGGCTCTGGGAATAACAGGTGGAAATTAAAGATTCGTTGAATTTTCCAGTCCTCATATGAAAAAATGGAAGATTGTCATATTATATTTTTCAATTCGTAGTAACATTCTCCACGTGCTAAATACAGTACCCCGCTGTATTACAACATATATACTTAAACCAGGTTTATTTATGTGCATATTTTATTATAACAAGTACATAAACAGAAATATGCGCACTCATAGGTTCAAAATAAGTTCTATCGTAATAAATTGTATATAAATTAATGCATGCAAATTAAGTGTGAAAAAAATAATGAAATAGCTTACTACAATCAAATTCATCATCACCATCAGGACAATCTTCATCATGATCGCATCGCCATGACAGTGGAATACATTTACCAGATTTACATCTAAATTCAGTCTCTGAACGGCAATCTGAAATCATTTAATGAAATAATTTTAAGCGAAAAATTTTCTTAAAGTATTAATTGATTCAATGCAGTAAATTAATTTGAGAGTTAATTTAAAAATGATGAATAAAATTTCAAAAAAAAAGTCGCTGAAAAATTATAAATAATATAATAAATAAATAAAAAGAAATTATAAAAATATGAAATAAAATTTTAATACGAAAGAATTATAAAAAAGTTTGTTACCGTTCCATTAAAAATTTTCGAAATTAATTGCCCAAAGCTGAACATAAAATTTAAAAAAAAATTGTTATATCGATTGAACAACATTGAAATTATTTTTAATAAATATTAAAATATTATTAAAATAAATATTGAATATTAAAACTACTAAGTTCAATCATTTAAGCTTTGAAAATAAGAAACCGTTTTGAGCGAAAACATTCTGATAACCCGTAAAGGTAAGCAAATGAATTGTGGCATACAATAAATGAAGTAAATGACGCATTAGTAATTATCTAAAACATTATAATCATTAAGAATTTGAAAAACAATAGACCAGCTATAATCAATCAATTCAAAAATAATAATAGTAAATGTCAGAGATTAACAGCTGATAAATATTAACTGATAAGGATGTGCCGATGAAAAGACTTTAAAAACCGATCAGATTTAAAAAAAAAAAAAACTATTACATCTGAAATAAACAAAGAAAAAAGAAAAATATTAACTGATAAATGATTGATAAAAATGAATCATCGCAAATGAATTCGCAAACAATAAATGAAACTTTCATTTTGAAGAAAAAAAAATTAGCAAATATTTCTAAGCGGACAACTGATAAATTCTTTGATAAAAAAAAAGGTGAACATTTTCAGTATTAAATTTATGTAATATTTATATGAAACAAAAAAATATTTTATTGCAAATCCTCTTATCACCGATGAATATCACACTTCTTATCATTGTCAAATATTAAATATTTTATTGAAAATTTATTTTTTTTTTAATCCAAAAAAGAGATAAATTTTGCCGATAAAAGAATATTAATATTAAATATATACTTAAATATAATAAATGGTATAAACATTATTGTACGAGAAAATCCCACTGAAAAGAATAAAATGTGGGAGAAATGAAAATAGAAATCTCGATAATCGCTTTCGAAATCGACTTGTATTTTTTTTTTCTTTCATCTGTAAACGATTCACCAATGAAAAATAAAAATACAAATTTAAATATATTTATAAAAAATAAAATTATTATAATAAATGACAAATAATTTAAAAAAATAAAAAATAACTTAAATTCACCGCCAAAAGCAAAAAAATCTAAGTTTTCAAGTCGGTCGCCTAGTCGAATTTCGCCCCGCCGGCGGGGTTTTCTCATTTTCCCCTCTAAATTCCCATTCTCGCTATTCGGCGATAAAATTCTTAACGAAAAAATAATTTTGAGAAAGAAAATTACGCAAAAAATGAAACTTTTTTCATTTTCAAAATAAAATAATCGTCAAACAATAAAAAAATATTTAAAACCGAAAATATTTTAGTTAAACTAATTTTCTAATGAATCTCTTCGATTACACAAAAAAAAAAATTAAATATAACCATTAAAAAAAACAAACCTACAAATTTCTTTTTCTATTTTATTATTACGAAACAATGCCAGCTGATCATTTTTTTTAAATAAATACCGTAAGCTGATTTTCCATTTAAGATGCAAATTGATTTAAACTGATTTTTTCCGTCTCATAAATTACAATTTCTTAAACTTCGACACAGGTAACAAAGATCTTAGTAAAACAAATGATGAAAATGCCGCCGAGAGCAGACAGATTAATATTTAAGCGATCAAACAGAGACGAAGCTCGAGCTCAAACTCTTCAATAATAATAAATTAAAGTACAAGTTCATGATCAATTCATTTACAATTTTAATATTAGATTAAACTTTTATTTCTCACATGATCGCATAAAATAGGCTATGCACCATTAGTTGTTTTTAGTACCACTGAAATGCACCGTTAATTATTTTCGGTACTACTGAAAAATTATGCAAAAATTATGCACAAACTTTTGTGTTAAGAAAATAGATTAAAATGAGAGGAATCACCAAGGGTTTAAAAATGAACGGATTAGAGGTGGAATGGCGCAGTGAGCTTTTACTCAGTTTGGAGCTCGGATGCTGTGGTTCTATTCCCCGCACGAGCAAATCTGTCCAAAAATGCTGTGATATGTTGGAGACTCATGTGTATCTTCTATCGCCAAAGGACTACCTAGCATATTTGTCTAGTACGATAAACCGGAATGAGACCAACCAGTAATGGTTGAAGGCTCTTAAAAAAGCTAAAGGAGGGGATTTAAAATTCTGCGAAGGGAGCAGAGTTTGGTGAGAAAAGGCAAAAGCAATCTTTTTGCTAAATGATTGCTAAGTGATTGATAGTGATTATTCTTAAATTAGTGATTTCGACCCATCATAGAAGCTATTCATTTATGTCAAAAGAAGGAGAGGTCAGTCGTTAATCCTAATTTTCGAATAGGGATTGACCGCAGCTATGAACGAAACATTCCACCAAACAAATCAGTTTTGTCGTTTTGGGGACCATTGTAACGAATCCCTACCCCTCCCCCTCCCCTCCCTCTTCCCTTCCCCCCAACGATTGAATTTTTAATTTTTTAGTTTCTAATTTTTAATTTTTATTTTTTATTTATTTCTATTTTCATTAAATTTAATTAGGTTAATTAAGTCAATGTGAATCATTATTCGAATTTCTCCCCTTATTATTTTGAATTTTAAATTTAAATTAAATTTAAATGTTCTTTAAATTATTATTTTACCCAAATTAGTCATTTACCAATGAATTTGAAATAATTCTGAATACTCAGCATAAAATTTCTACGGTAAGAATGGTGACTTGTTACCTTCTAAAACGGTCAATCACCAACATATATATTGCACTACAAAAGAGAGTCCTGCTTATAGTGGTACTCTTATAGCCAACATAAACCATTTTAATAATATTGCATGCTGGAATGATTCAGCATTAAAAAATCTCGACTAACATGGGTCATTCTACGAGCCAATATCGACAGATTTTCACGATAATGAGAATCCTAGGAAATCATCTGGGTATTAAATCTTTTTTAAAGATCTTGATGCAATAAATAAACTTCAAAAATCAGAAATAACTCAGGTATTGAATTATTTTAATGACCTGAACATTAACGGTAATATTGGAATGGCTTATAAATACTGGTCCTAAGCAGTCCCAAGTAAACCAGGTACAAAGAAAGGTGTAAGTCGAATTTTTGAACCCATTTCAAAAGACTGCGATTAACTTGAGGTTTAATTTAATATTAGGTACCATAGTACAAAAAAACGGTATAGAAAAAATGTATAGGTAGCAGAGAATTCAAAAAAATATTTTTATTTGACCTGACCATAATTCGAGAGATGGATCAAAAAGCGTAAGAAAGTTTGCATCTATCGCGATGCATTGTGCATAATCATCCGCATTGCTGCAAGCTATCGCCAATGAGAGTCGAAGATATCAAGAAATTACTTCTGTTTGAACATTCCTGCTTAATTCCTGCTTAACGTTCCTATTCTCCTCATGATGCGAAAAATATGTGAAGTGGTATCCATAAAGAGCACGTCTTATGTTGTCATCTTCCTCCAACTCCAGGAATTGATGCATATTCGGTCAAATGCTAATCCTTGTGAAAGCTGGTTTCGAAAGTGTGAAGGATCCCGGTCATGAATCAAGAGATATTTTGAAGTTATAAGCGACCTGGTGATCTCAGTGGAAAAACGAGTAGATATGACATTTGAATCGTGAAGCATGGAAATATCATTAGTAGTCAGTCATCTTAACCAGTAACGGTGTCGAAATTTAAAAAATGATAATAAAAAATAAAATAAAAATAAAACAATAGTAATATGGTAAGTATTCATTAAAAAAAAAGAATTCATAAAATATTTTAAAAAATTCATAAAATAAGGAAAGCAATATTTTTAAATAAAGCTTTTTCACATTATAAGCAGTCAACTAACTATTCAATATGCAAATCGCAGAAAATTATTTTTCTTTTTTTTTTTATCCATATGTTAGCTAATTTCATAAAAATCATCGTATTTACATTTCAAAAAAATAACTATGAGAAAATACTTTTTTCTCGGATAAAAATAAACTAATTTTTATGTAATTTTTTATCGACAAAATGTTTGTAAGCCCAACCTAGATGGACAATGCATGGAAACAATGCAATGATGTTTTTTTTGGAGCAACTCGTCTTATCCTATCTTTGCTGTTCTCGTTAACCATATTTGCTGTTGTTTTTTGAAAAATTATTAATTATAAAGTTATTAAAATTAAATATTTTCCTTAACCACATTCGCTTTTTACTTCGATTCTATTAAATGACCATTTTCATTTATTATCGTAAATTATATTATTAAATGAATATTTTCATTCATTCGCATGTACGCAATTTTTTCCAACAAATGGTATTTATTTTGCACCAGAAAAATGCTAATAGCATCAATTTAATCCTTTTTTTTTGAAAATTAATATATAATTATACAAGTAAAAAACTTCCGAAATGGCGAAAATTATTTTATAACATAAAAATTATTGTTAAAAGATCTATTATCATAAATATTGAATTTTGATAAATCATAAGTATCAAATATTAATAAATAAATATTAAAATAAATATTAAAAAAAACGTTGTTCAATATCTTTTTTGCAATTAATTACTAAAATGCTCATGTAAAACAAAAAAATTTTTAAAATTTTTTCTAAAATTTTTTTTATTGATTTGAAATTTTTAGAATTGAATTTTATGAATATATTTATGCTTTTTTGAAGCAGTATTGATAAGTATTAGTAATCATGAAATCATCGTTTTATAATATTATTGTATGGCTGAAGTGGCATAAAACAAGAAAAAAGCATAACTTCATATATTATCGATAAAGACGATAAAGAAAATGATAAATATATTATCAGTAAATTAAATTTTTCCAGATTTGCCTGGCTGTGGATTCATTAGATTTGCTTTGTTCTCCTTGAAAGTGAAATCATTATCAGTATTTTCTACGCAACACGCTTTGTATATGATAAGTGCCCCAATTAACTGAAAAAGAAATTCCATATGAAATATAAAAAAATATTTTAAAAAAAAAATCCAGAAATTAGTTCAGAAATCATTAAAAGTTGCATTCCAAAAATAAATTAAATATTCTAAAAACGATATTCTGCTGAAAAATTTTGGAAAATTATTTCGACAGATACTATCATATTTAGAAAAAATTAGAAAGATTAAAACTGAAAATGGAAATGAATGGAGAAATTATCAAACCAATATGGTAATTCCTATTTGAGCTACAAGCAACGTTACCAAAAACTCGAGACGTTCAAGATGACGACGAATCCATGAAAGATCTTCCATAAGAGACGACATCCTAGCTTGATCTTCCATAAAAAGGCGCAGTCGTGCATCTCGATCCATATTTTTATAGACTTGCACAACAAATAAGGAGTCGTGGATATAAGAATTAGGAAAAAACCTAGAACTAGCGATTTCTATATGGGAAAAAGAAGATGACAAGAAGTATGAGTTAAAAAAATATATTTAGTACCATAATTGCCGATACTTCTCCGAAAAAAAAATTCATTTAAACAGTTTTTCACCATTTCTGATTAGACTCGTTCCTTTGGCTTGTGGTTTGTTGGAGCAGAAACAATTTAAAAATTTCTTTGCCAGGAAGAAATTTTCGTGATAGAAGATAGTATACCTAGAATTATGGATGGGACTTCAGCTTCGATCAGATTGTTGAAAAAATTTCTTTGCCCTGCCGGGAGTGGAACTTCTATATCGTCGCTTTGAAAAATCCTACCTTTGTACTTTAGATATTAGTAGATCAAATTTTCAAATGAGAATATTTTCGTAGTACATACTATTTCTTATAATTCTCCTCTATCCTGACGCATTACTAGTAAAATTGAAATCTATGTGGCCACTGTGATCATATCAGCATAACTTTTCTATGGATAGTGGGATAGTGGAACCAGTCAGATTGGAAATGTTGTGTGCTTTTAGAAGAACAAAAAGGATTAGCATATTGCCCCGAGGCTTATAATATTGCTGGATAATACGCGGAAATTACGTTAATATATTTGCATTTCAGTCTCGTATCATTTTTATTTCTGTTCATTTTTTGCCTTTATATATGTAGTTTATTTATTTGAAATTCCATTTATAATTATACAAATTTAAATTAAGTCGATTAGTAAAATTATTTAAAAAAGATATATAGTATATAATTTTTTTAGCAAAAGCAAAAGCAAGTTCAGCTATATTTCAGAGCATTGTTAACGACTGAAGCGTATTATCCAATTGTAGGAATTACAAGTACCGCAGTAAATTTAACCAGAAATGTTGGTGAGTGCATTTTTTGTTTTTTTCATGGAGCCCTCACCATTACTGGTTAAACTCGCTCGGCTGGTTTGTTGCACTGAGCAAATATGCCAGGGAATAGTACATGTGAGTCGCTAGCCTGATTACCCTGATTTTTAGATAGGTTTATCTCCCTCGCGCCTATATTTATGAAGTACAAAAATGTGATTACGAAGTACCAAGAAAATTGAAAAACTGGAAAACTGAGAAAAATAAAAAAGAATAAATAAAGAAGAAATAAATGGAAGAGCAGAAAATAAAAACTAAAAACTAATATATTAAACTAACTAAAATTAAAATAAAAACTATAATAATCATAAAGATTTAGTAATTGTTTTCTAAAATATTTCTTGACGAATCCAAAAGAAATTTTTCCACTTCATTCAATACTTTAATCTTTTTCGATTTATTTTTCGCATAAAAAAATTTTAACCGATTAAGAAATAATTTTCGAAAAGAAATATTCTCGTCAAAGAGTCGAAAAGCAATAAATTAAAATCGTTTTAATTTATTCTTTTTTTTTTTTCACTTAAATAGTGCAAATTTTTTTCAAGAAAAATTTGAATAATAAATTTTTCATTATTTATTTTTTTTTCTCGAAATTTTCTTATTTTTACAAAATAATCCACGAAAAATCGCATGCTATTCGTGATTTTCTTCTTGGAAAGTTTAAATTTATTCGATGAAAATTTGAAAACGATTTGTGTGAGCGAATTCTGGATAAATCTATCAGGTAAATATTATTTTTAAAATATCACTTTAGTTGCTTATCATCCTTCTAAGCATATCACGCGATAACAATCTGCTGATAAAATTTTTGTATTCAAAAAAATAACATTGTTATTTTATTATTCATAATATTAAAAATATTGTTCATATTTTCATAAAAATATATTTTTATGTACTATGCTATGTTTCCTCGTCTCATTTCGAATATTTATATTATATAATTCATATATTATTTTCAAATATTTTGAAATATTTATTATTATTACTATAAAATATATTAAATAAAATGTATTAAATTTATTATTAAGTATTATATTAAAAGTATTATTAAATGTATTAAGTAATTTTAAAATAATTTAGAATATTTACATTTTATAATATCTATACTTTTTTATTAAGGTAATATTTATATTATGTTATTCATAATAATTTTTATTATTTTAATACTAAATATTTCAGAGAAAATTTCTTTAATTTCTAATGCTTATATATGGAAATGAATAGCTTTTTCATCTCAACATTATTCTCGCTAAGCTGATTCAACTGAATATAAAACTTCTGGATTATTGAAGAAAATAGTAAAAATATCAAATTTTATTTTATTTATTAATATTTTTAATATTTTAAAATATTCTCATTAAAATAATAAAATTAAATTAAAATGATAGAAATAATTTTTGAAATACATTGGAAAGAAAATTTTAATAAATTATGTGTACTATATTCTCTTTTTTTGGTATTCTATGTTTTTGATTAGTTAATAAGTATAAAAAAAGGTTAAATTATAAATTATAAATTATAAACACTTATAATTTCTGGTTAGATTAGCTTCTTATGCAAAACTCATTTAGGGATCGAAATAGAAATGGGTTGCCAGTATTATTCGGAGGCATTTTTAGAAACTTTAGGAACTTAGCCTCTGCTGCCTAGCATGACAATCTGAGCCATATCCACTCGGCCATCTTAGGCTATCTATAAGCAAAAGTGTGTCCAGCTTATTCAAGCATATGGTATATCCATTTTTACTAATATTTTACTAGTATAATTTTTTGAATTTTTGGACAAATTTTTAAAAGCATTTTAATCACAAGATTAACAATAAAATTAACAATTGTAGTTGCAAGAATCTTATAAATTAATAAAATGTCACCAAATGGGTGACACAAACTTTTGGTGCAGAATTTTGTGTGAATATTTACTAAAACATTCGATCATGTTCGTTATATTTTGTTGAAAATAGAAAATAATAAATTTTATATTTGCATTTTATTTGAATATCCGTAATTGTTCTCAATATGATAACTGATACACATAATTTCTTATATAAACAGCAAGAAAAAATCATGAAAATCGAGTATGAAAGATGCTTGCCCAATGGTATTTTTAAAATTATCGTATCATAAGGACGATAAATTTCATTTATTGTTATTGATGCTTGCTAAAAAATTGCTCAGTCCACCAAGAATTGTTGAACCACCGGTTTTTCGCTTATAATCAGCTGCTTCCTCTTGAAATCGTTTTTCTTGTAATTTCTCGAATGCCTCACATTTCTTGTCTTTGAAGATATTAGGCAACTAATAAAAATATAATTAATTACCTATGAAATAAAATATAAAATTTTTCGAAAATAAATCCATTCATTAAAAAACTAATTCTAAAATAATAAATAATCCGTATGAGATGAAGAGATAAGATAAAATTTTAAGCGAAAAATTAAGGAAACCAACTGAATTTGCAGTTGTTGCCGCTTCAAATAGAAGATTTGTTTTAATTTTAGCACCTTCAATTTCAAAATCAACAACGGAATGTTCGCAAGCCAAAAGGCGATCGGGATTTCGCTTCGATACCCAATATTCCATAAGTTCGGAATTCGTCGGTGTATAAGATCCTTGCTTAAATGATTATAAATTTATATAACACAAATTTTAAAATTCTTTTTTTTGCAATTAAAAAACAAATTTTCATGGAATTTAAAAAAAAAATTACCGTACCTTTATACTATTCGCCGCCAACCATTCACCAACCATTGCTAATTTAAATGCTTTTCCAAGTAATGGATTGTCGATTTGATTGAAAAATTCTTTTTCAAGCTATAACGAAGTCATCTAAAGAAATTGCTTCTCAAAATGCATAGAATTTTTTAAAAAAATAAATTGAAAATAACTTGGAATTAAAAAAAAAATTATTACTTCATCACGAGTCGCGGAGCGTTCATAGAATTTCATCCATATATCAACAGCTCCTTGTTTTTGCCAATAATCTTTTTGCCAAACGGATTTTGAGAATGCTGAACATAATGTGAAATTGGGATCCTCTGGAGGAGGGCATACTTTGACAGTTAATCGATATGTTCGTTCTTCAGTAGCTCGACACAAATTGCTGTCTGTGGTCTCAAGCAATTTTAACTTCCTAATAAAATAATTAATTAAAATTTCAATGAATGCTGGCGATTCACTTGTCCTTCTGACAAACCAGAGGAACGAATGTTACCAGTGATGGTGAGTGCATTTAGAACAAAAAAACATTAGAAAATATTAGATATTCTATTACACCACTTATTTTAATAATAACCTTGAGCTTTTGCACCAATCGCAATAGAAACACTCTCTTCCACAAGTTGCAACATCCATGCATCGTAATTTGCCAATAGGTTGAATCATGACATCAAGCTTCATTGCAAGTCGATTAATATGCACTCCTCAAAAAAACGTTCTTTGACCAATTTAATGGTTCACATGTTTGGTGTTATCACTGTTATCACTATTTTGCCATTATGAGAGAATCATAAACGATTTATCAAGTGTTCAGCATTAATTCACCGCAATTTAAATGGCATCAAAAAATAAAAAAAATATGATCAACGGGGGGTAAATTAATTTGTTCATTGCCGCAAGGAATATATTTAAGACTTTGAAATTTATAAATTAAACAATGCTCTAAAGTATATTTTATTTCTTTTATATTTCTAATTTCTTAATCAAAAATAAATATTATTTTTAAAATAATAAATAAAATAAATAAATACTTATTATTTTTTGGCATATTTTGTAAAAATAAAGCCAATTTCAAAAAAGAAAAGCACTTGGAGGAAGAGTGACATCAATAGACATATCGAAGCAATCCGGCCAAGTAATCTTCAATGTGCCATTTTCATCTCTCTGAGATGGATGTGAAAACGATGGATTTGATAATTTTATCGGATCGGTGCAATTTTCTCCAGTTAGTTCCACACAGCATGCAGACGTACGCGCATCTTTCAATTTTGCGATGAATAAATTCTTGCTGATCACAGCCTTAAAAAATTTTTAATTTTTTTGCAGGGAAACTCTATTTTTATTTGAATTTTTTCTTTAAAGAGTCCTCATAATTACTGGTTAAACTTGGCTCCACTGACTAAAGTCGCATCGAGCAATATGACATGGGGTCAACCTTGGCGATAGAAATACAGGTGAGTCGCCAGCATCACCCGGATTTTTGTACAGGTTTATTCCTGCGGGGAACCGAACCTCAGCATCGTCGCTCACAATTGGGCAACAACCCATTGAGCCATCTTATCCCCATTTATACTTGAATATCTAAGAAATAATTTTAATTTTGTATAGAATAACTGATGAATAACAGCCAAATTCAATTTCATTAAATTGCTTATGAAGATTTTAAACTTAATAAGTGGCAATTTATCATTTACAAGAATTATAAATTACAGATTTTAAGATCTCACCGAAAGTACGCATTTGATAAGTCTTCAATAAATTGAAATAACATACTTGGTACGAACGATCAGAAAGTTTCTGTACAGTGCCAGTAGCAATTGGAACATCTTTATCATTGTATACAATAGTCTGACCATTTTTATCTGCGACAACTTTACCCGCACTTCTACCCTGAGCGTCGTAACACTGCGAAATTCCAGGTGTCTCTGCTATAAATCGCTATTGACCTAATAGATTAATAAATAAACCTGGGCCAAGGTGGTCAAATGGTGTGGTAAATGGTGTGGTACAATTACAATTACTGAATAAGGCCAAGGCGCAACAATTCGATTAGTTCCAGAAGTAAACTATTATTAAAAGTGGAGTAGGAGTACATGAATGTATGAATGAATGTATGAATATATTTATGTATTTTCCATCCTTAAGTGTTGCTTCATCAGAGTGCTTTGAAAATATTTTGCATAATAATCAGTGATAGAGAAGATGTATGGTGCATGCCAATATTCAATACCTAATAAGAATAATTACTTTATAATAATAATAATTACAGAGAACTTTTAAACCTGTGCATTGATATTTTTCTGAACGACGCGAGAAAAGTGAGTCTGTGAATTCGTCACCACTTCTATTGTTGATCGCTGATAAGGTAGCGCCAGTTTTCTTACCATTTTGAGTGATTGTATATTCGTATTCTTTCATTTTATCTTTTTCCTTGAAGGATATTCAAAGATAATAAAATAACAAATTTATAATTTTGCAAAAAAAGCTTATGAAATCGTAAAATATTCGCGACATATAAATGATTTTCCAGATTATTTTATAAGGTAGCCAGTGATAAGCCAATTATCAAGTAAAACTCATCGCTTTGTCATTTATCTTACCTTATCATTAAAGGCTATTGTACCACTTCCTTCATTGGTATCTTGAGCTGCTGGATTTAATTTAAAATCAAATCGATCGTTCACAGCTATGAATTCAGTATCCTTCGCGTCCTTCAACGATCCTTTAGCAATAGTGTCCAAAGTATATTTACCATTCGCTTTTAAAAAGGCCTTACGTCCTTCTTCATCTTCTTTCAGTTTTATTTGCGCCCTAAATAAGTGGCTTAGTGGGTTTTCTTTATTTTGAAAGTGGCGATGCTGGGATTCTACTCTCGGCAGGGATAAACCTGTCTTTCAAAAAAAAACTGCTGGTGGTGCTGGTGACTGATCTGTGTATCTATCGTTAAAAAAAAGACTTCCCGGCGAAAAATTGTCTGGTTCAACGAGTCAGAAAACCAGAAAAAAAGAACATTTTTGTAAAAAATTTAGAAAAAATCGCACAATAATTCGCGACATAAAAATGAGCTTCCAGATTATTTTATAAGATAGTTGCTGATAGGCTAATGAAGTTAACTATTATCGCTCCAATGCCACCCGTCATTCCGTCGTTTTATTTTTTTCATTAACAGGATTTTTTCCATTACCAAGAAATCACCTGAGGGTAGAAATATAGGTAATATAGATCAGTATCAGTACCATACGAAATATAGATAAACGATCAGCATCAGCACCACCATCATGCAATCAGTTATCATAATTTGATTGAGAAAATTTTTGGAAGAGGAAGTAGAGGAAATTAAACCATACTTATGTCCTTCAACTTGAGCAATGCCACCTTTATCACCAAATCGTTGAACTTGGGCCCGATTTCCATCCGATATTTCAGCTGCTGCTATATTACCATGTGCTGAGGCACTTAATTGTTTTCTCGAATTTATCAGATCAACCAAAACTCTTTCCGTATCACTTGCGTCCAATCCTACCTGTAAATATCATATCAAAAAAGAATTTATTGATTTCTTTGTCTGATCCTTTAAAAAATATTTTCAGGCATTTAACGACAAATCCTCATCATTTATTGATTCATCACCAAATTAAGCACAAAAATTCATTACTAAAAATTTTGCTGAAGAAAGTGGATTGATAAAAATTATATGTCGTATATTAAATTGATAACATCATGTTTCAATTCATAACTTAAACCAATCACCATACATCGATTTATACTAATGATAATCACATTAGAGGGTTAATAGAGTGGCATGTGGGTTGTTGTTCCCATTTTGGAGCGTGGAGTGCTAGGATTCTGCTCCTTATGCAAGCAATCTTTCAAATCCTATCCGAATTCCGGCTGATACTGGCGGCTTCAACTAGATTTTTTTCTCTTATCAAATAAGTTCTTTAAAATTCCTGACAGTAAATTTATCAGTGAATCTAACCAAAGATGGGTGAGGGTTTTTCAGAGCAAAAAAAATTTTTATATGCATTAAAATAAAATATGTTAAGTTTTTTCAATATGAATTAAAATAAAAAGTTATCATACTTGTTGTACTTCTTTATCATTTTTATCAAGCCATGACGATTCAACATCAATATGTTTACGCAATGCATTTAAAGCGACCTTATTCGGTCGTAATGTTTGGCTTGAAGTAGTAGCAGTGAAAAGGACTAATATAGAAATTAAGATTTGTCGTGAATAGAAGAACATTGAATGGGCTTAAAAAACGATGAAGAGATCGGTTTGGAAATCGGTTTGAACACTTTACATAGACAATAGTCAATTACCACAATTAACGCCGCCATCAATCAACCGGTTAAATTTGCCTAAAGGCAAAATTCAATTTCAGCTGCGTTTCATCATGTTAAATGACTAATAAGAAACTTGAAAATTGCCAAATTTTAAATAAAGAAATAAAAATGACAAATTACGATTCGACTTGAAATTCTCATTTTTAGCTTTTCGAATACTATAATTTTGCATAAAATTTATAAAAATCATCAAAATATTTAAACTATTCACCAAGAAAAAGATAAATTTCGAGCATTTAAAAATAAGAAAAAAATTATTTATTCAAATTTCTTCAAAATTCATTTTATTTGCATAAAAATGAATTGGTTGAATTTGTAAATTTGCTTTAAAATTTCTGAAAAATCTGAAAAAAATTTCAAATATATTTTTATTTTTTCGATCAAAAACTGAAAAAATATTGAAATCCAAAGAAAATTTTTAATAGAAAAAATTTTTCAGTAAGAATATCTCATCTAGAAGTGAAAATGGTTCTTTATGGTCTTTTATGAACTTTAGTGTTCTAAAGTTCATAATTGATAACTGATTAGATTTTATTAAATTAACCAATTCACTCCAATTTTTTAACGGATACCAAATTTGGAAAAGCTAAAAAACGGTTATCCTGGACGTTGTGGTACCATAAAAAGCTTTTTACCTTGCAAGACACATCGCAACATGAATGGAGATCACCGATTTAAATTTTGCTCTTAAATGCTTGAATAGATCATCCGCATATTACAATAATAATATTTGTTGAAATTTAAGCATGTTCAATTCAGAAAATTCTTACGATATGTGGTTTGGATTTCTGTTATCACTTGGTTATCATTAAATTTAAATTTATTGAAATTTTTTGGTGAAATTTTTTTTTTTTTGCGGTAACAAACCAGTCCAAGGTGACTGAAAGATACTGTGAGGTAAAGTCCCTGGACCAAAGGCCGAAAGGGTTGTCGCCAGTAGTAGGTGGAACCGGCAGAAAATAGCGGTGAAGGTCAAGATAGCTAGTTTGAGCCGCAAACCGCGTAAAGTTGGATGTCGTCACAAGCACAGTGTAATGCTCAGTAAACGAACAGAACAGGTCTTATTTGCATTGCGCGCTATAAATGTGCATAGTAGGAAAAATCAGAGAGAAAACCTCAAAATCATTAGTGGAAAGTTATAATAGAAACAAAAAAAAAGCTGTTGTATAAATGTAATTATCGCGAATAAAAAATTTGTAGTTTAATTGAATAATAAATTTTTATAATAAAAATAGCAAACATTTTTTATTCAATTTAGAAAAAGAAACAAAAAAAGCGAAAGAAAAATGAAAAATTTTCATATTTTCTTTGGAAATTTGAAAGAACTGAGGTATTTAGAGATACATTAAAAGTTTCTTGCAAAATTCATTATAATAATTTTACATCAAAAAAAAATAAATTTAAGAAAATTAGAGAATATTTCGCAGTTAAGAAAAATAATACAGAAAAAAAAGCAATATAAAGTTTAACGATCTTCGGAAAGACTCTCAAAATTTTCTACTCGGTACGTGGCAGTTGATATGTCGTAAAATTTCCGAAATTATTTAATGAATACATTGAGATATTGCAATTTGTTCATTGTTAATATTAATGACAGTTCATCCAAATTTTTTAACTTTTTTAGCCTATTTACTTACTTATTTTAAAAATTTATTATAAATAAATATATAATCACTAAATTTTGAATTTTAAATTTACGACAAATAAAAAAAAATTTTTTTGGAGAAATGCATTAATTATTCATGTACTAAGTAAGTACCAAAGGCAGTTTTAGCCAAATTAGCAAATCGAATAATTTAGAAACTTGAAAGTAATAAATTTCAGAAATAATTAATTGAATGAATGACAATATTATAAAAATAATAAAAAAAGGACCCGAAATGTAAAATTATAGGAAAATATTCAAAAATTTTTGAAATTTGATTAATAATAAGCATAATACCTATGTGAATAATGGTACCATACTGAATTTCTATATTTTCCATAAACTAGTAAACTAGTAAAATTTTTTGATTTTGAATGAAATTCTATCAATACCCTCGAAGTTCAATTTAATAAATTCTTGGATTTTACTGCCAATCTTGAGGAAAATTCTTTTTTTCTTAAAAAAAGTACATAAAATCTTTTTTCTAAACCATTTTTATATGAATTTCATATTTTTATATGAAATTCATATCCAGCGACTCAAATCTCGATATTTCCTGCCACGAAACCATTTCTTCCTCACCATCCACTGTTCACATGGCTTAACATTTCGTCCATCTATTGCATTCGCCATTAAATCCATGCGTATACCATTCAACGTTAAATCGCCTATGCAGCCAACGAAATTCTCTTCATGCAATCCACTAGTCATGCCTTCTAAGTCGGGAACACCTCCTGTAAAATAAGGAAAAAACAAGTTGAAGTCATTTTATAGAAGATAAATTCAAAGACCGTTTAACAGAAAAAAACCGTTTCTCTCTTATAAAACATAAACTCACCAACGTATATATCTCCATCAACATTAAGCATCGCCAAAATGCCCGAGGATACACCTTCGACAGGACTCGAATAGTCAACTTGTAAACTACCGTTACGTCCTTTCCTTAATGCTTTTAAATGATGCTCTTTACCGTCATTCACGGCTTCTACACTCGTAATTTGTGCAGCTCCTCCACCCAACTCAAATCTTAAAATAATCCTTCTTTCTTTCAGTCATCACTAATCAGATATAAAAGCTGATAAAAAAGACAATAAAAAGTAAATTTAATATTATTAATTTCGTTCAAATAATATGCAACTAACGTATAAACTAAATATCCATCGTTTAAACCAATTGAAAGATAGTCTTCGCCAACATTTGTTTTTCCAGGCTGTTGTCCTTGCCAAAATATCAACTAAAGCAAAAAAAAAAATTGATAAATTATTCAGACTTTCATCTTTTTGCTTAGAAACACTATTCGATTTTCACGCCGATCCTATATTTTTATATATTTTTTAGAGGAATACAAAATTAAGATGTCAAAGACTTTGAAAACTTTTTTAGAATTTATTAGCCAAGACCTTTTAAAATTTTGGTTTTATGGGATTAAGGTTTGACATGTTAAGTATTATTATCACTTAGTACCGGCGACATATCTATCAAGTATCTGCCTTATCAACTTTCGATGGTAGTTTATGTGCCTACCATGGTTATAACGAGTAACGGAGAATAAGGGTTCGACTCCGAAGAGGGAGTCTGAGAAACGGCTACCACTTCCAAGGAAGGCATCAGGCGCGCAAATTACCCACTCTCAATTCTCACCATTACTGGTTGAATTCTCTCCGCTAGCTTATCGCACTGGACAAATAGGCCACGAAGTGTCCATTGGCCGTAAAAGTACAGATAAGTCGCGAGCATCATTCGGATTTTACTCCTGTGAGGAGTGGAACTCCAGTATCAGCGCTCCGAACAGAGCGACAGTCCACTAAGCCACTTCTTCTCTTTCAAAATTTTTAGCATAAGTTTCATTTATTTATTTGTTTTACCAAAATTTGTCCATTGAAATAAATAGTAAATATAAACGATATTTCCACATTTAACAGAATGCTAATTTATTTTGTGAGCGAAATTTTTTTTTTGAAAAAAATTATTTTAATTATAATAAAAATTATAATAATTATTATAATAATTATTATTACGCCGAAATCAGCCGTTGTTTTGAAACGTAATTCAATAGTTTCTTCTTTTTCGGACGTTAAATGTGGAAATTCATCGGTAGAAAATACTATAAAAGCTTTTCCATCAAATTGTGCAGCGTGTTCGATTGGTTTAACTAAAAGTTAATAATCGACGATACATTTATGCTACAGTCGAAAAAATAAAATCTAAAAATATATTTAAAATTTAAAAATTTAAATATTTAACTTATTAAAAATATATTTAAAATGATAAAAGTCATTTAAAAAAAGGAAAGAATATTTTTATTTTGTTTTGATAAAATTTTTAATAAAAATAGTTTTTAATAATAGATTTAAGAAAAAGTCATATAATCGAACGAGGAAGGGAAGAGATTAAAAATAATAATAATAAAGTAATAATAATAAAAAATTGAAAACCAATATTAATAATAAAGAAAATAAACAAATATTTTTAAAAAATAACATAAAACTAACATATTTCACAATTTGGGCCACTATAATAGTCACGACATGAACAAACGATATGTGTTTCATTAACAGTCTCACAATCACCATGCTCACCACACGTATTTGGTAGACATTGTAGTTCCCTTGCACAATCTGTTAAAAAATGATTTTATTAAAAAATTAAAATAAATTTAAAAATTTCCACAAATAAATTTTTATAGTTTTTATAAAAACTTATACCCCCTAGTAGAACAAAATCATCCATTATTAAAATTATCGAAAAAATATTACAAATGCTTGCTTGTTTGTTAAAAGTATAGGAAAAAATATTATTACCAAAGTTTGTAGAAATATAATAATGGTTTTTAAAAATTTAAATGAAACTACCTTCCCCTTCGCAAGAATCGGTGATTCGGTCTTTCGAAGTGGTACGAGCAGGTGAAAAAGTCGTTTGAGTTGTAATTAATTTTGTTTGCTCAATTTGTGAAGGTAAAATGCTTTTGCAAGCGGAAATTGCACCAGAGGATCGCATTGCAACTTCTTTCAACACGATTTCTTCACCGCCATATATTATCTTAATATAATAAAGGGTTATTCGCTATAATAGAACAAAAAATTCGTTTCATTTATGGGAAATTTTGAATTATTAAAAATTTGTTTGGACATTAGATTGGCTCACCTTTGAAATACATCCATTCAGAGGAGTGGTAATATTGAATTTGCTATGGGGAATAATTCCAGGTGGTAGACCACCGATGAATAATTCTGTTGTTGGTATGAATAAAGAAATCATTCGTATATGCGGTCCTTTCACCCCATTTATATGAATTTGTATTGTTTGGTCATTTTCGAGTTCGATTTCCACAACGTAAGTGAAATTCGGCAAAACTATTTCTTCCAGTTCAGCTTCGAAATTCCCTAAATTTATAATTTTCAGCTTGAAATTCTTGTAAAACTTTCTTTCCATGGACACTCTAGATAATTCCGTAAAAATTCACAGATCCAATGCACTTTTATTTTTAAGATTTCAAAATATTTAAAATATTTTAAAATATTTATTTAATTTTCCAACTAAGTTCTAAATAAGTATAAGAAACTGCATAAAATAATCACTGGAAATGACTTGCTACCATTCGAATAAAATAAGAATACATAATTCTCGTGAAGTTTTCAAATTTCCCCAGAGGATTAGCATGGTTCTAACGGGACCACATGTGCCAGTTTCATCACTAATTTACACTTATTCGTTTTGGTTTTCTTTTTTATTTTAATTTTCATAAATTTTACTATATTTTTGAAAAACATTGGCAGAAAATATTAAAATAGAATGAGAAAAATGAAAATTACGAAAAACGACTAACCATCTCCATTATTTTGCATGTAAACAAATTTTGTGTTGCGAACTGCAAATCCAAGAAAACTCGTTTTCTTTGGATCGTATTCTGATCCAGTATAAAAGATTATTTGATCACCAATACCATACAGTTCGAATACCAATGATAACTAAAATTTAGACTTAGTAATTTGAATTCTAAAAATTCCCTTTATTAGACTAGAGACCTCTTTTTCACGAGTCCTTGTATGCGATACTATCCTGGTACCATAACGAGAGGTGAAAAAAACGAAATATTCCAGCGAATATTATGTGGCAGTGCATGCACAGGGTTTAACAACGAAAAAATTTTTAGGCTTTTTTGAAACAAATCCTTGTTTTTTAAATCCTTTCTCCTTCTCCCTCCCTCCTTCCTCCACTCTTAAAAATAAATGAATTGCTATTTTTAAATGAAAATAGTCTTTAAAAATTCAAACTAGGTGGATGAACATTTTACTTTGAAATTTCTTAATGATTTTGGAGTTAACAGCGATAGAAAAGAAGTTTTGCCATCAAATGCTAATGAATCCAAATTTTCATCAACAATTTGCTCGCAAAATTGGCCTTTTCTGCCGAAAGGACATAAACAGTTGGCATTTCCATCATTATGTCTTCGGCAAATTCCTTCAACGCACTCCACACCTATAAATTCTGTAGCTACTGGAAAATTGAAATAAAACGATCATCCTAAAGTTTTATAAGGCATGAAAATAGTGGTAGAACTCTGCACCAATTCTTGTTAATTTTTTATTACAAGCCTCAAAACTAAGAATACTACTCGACATTCAATAAATTTGAATTTATTTAATAAATAACCTTGACCGCATATTTTGGAGTTCCTCTCACAAAATTTGCCTTCATAACCGCTTGTTTTTGAGCAGTCACATTTGAATCCTCTAAAGACATTTGATGGGATGCATAAACCGCCATGCTGGCATGGCTTCGAGCTGCATGCATTATTGTGTTCCAGTGTTTCTGATTCTGCGATCTTTTCTTTTCCTAGGTCAACTGAATCGCCGGACAATAAAACTTGACTTACAATTCCTAAAAATATTAAAGATTCGCCAGCATCACCCTGAATAACTTTTAGATTATTCCTATGATAATTGAGGATCTTAGCATCAGCATCAGCGCGCCGAATTTAATAACCCACTCATTCATTCATTTTCGCATAATTTGAAATGATAATGAGTACCAGAAAATCCACGGTCGAATCCAGTCCTCGCGAGTAATTCATCATTTTTGACACCTCCTATACTCATCGGGATTTGTGTCATTACTGTATAATTTTTCATTGAAACCATATGCTTCTCAATGTTAATATCATCTGCATCAACCATTAATACAGCTAAAAATATACTCAAAACGTATTTACATTTAGTAAATGTATAAAATAAATAAATATAATAGTTATTTATGGTCGAAAAAAATTTAAATTTTAACGAACCGCTGCTTTCGTTATTTTTCACACGAATCGTATGCCATTCATCCATTTTAATAGGATAAGTACTGATTATTTCAACTAAAATTGAAAAAAATTCACACCTTAGTGACAAGATGATAAAATGATAAAATTGCCCAATCCTGAATTGCTATTTGATAATCAAGTAAGATATTCCAATGAAGAGGAAGCGAAAAAGCTTGGCAAGCCAAACCAGAAATGGTTTAAATTATTAGAAGTTGAAGAAGAATTGTAGAATAACGCGTTTATGCCATTTTTTGTCATAGATTCCAGATTATTCACTTTAAAAAAAGATTATAAAGAGAATTCACCTGGTCCATTACCCATATCGTATCGGTACACGATATTACCTTTTCTTAAACCAACACTAATAAAATTTCGACGGCGCTCATCTTCATTCTTACTTTCCATATATAATATTAAACCTAAATATTTACTCTTAAAATTTGTTTTCATATTCAAAAGCATATAAAAAAATTTTAAAAAATTTGCATTCATATAATTGATAAATACAAATAATTATGATTTTTATAGGCTGATAAGCTAAAATATTTTTAAAAAAGAAGATGATTAAAAAAGCTTGTGAGCTTGTAAAATCATTCTTGATAAGATAAATTTCACCATCGCTATTTTGTGGCTTAATCGACAATTCAATATCAATAGCTTTCAAATTTGATAATTTAGTTGGCTCGATTTCAAGGAAGTCATTGCCCTCAAACATTGGCACAAAATCTGAAATCATTTAGCTTATTTAATTCGAAAATTCATTTTTTTGGAACTTTAAATAAATCGATGATCGAAATCTTATGATTAGAGTACAAATAAATTTAATGGAAAAATATCGCATGATCAAAAAAAAAAATTTTGATAAAGTACATACCAGAAACTTGAAGATTAACATGGGTAACGATAGCTATGCCTTTATCAGTAGTCAATGTGCACTTATAGATACCGGCATCTTTTCTTTGTAAATCTTTAAGAACGAGAACACCATCGCTAACAACGTTTGCATACGGCAAATCGCCATCAATTTTTTCCCATTTTGCGGAACCAAAGACTCCCGGTGCTCCTCCAGCATGACACGGAAGGTGAACCTGTATTTACATGTGAAACATATGAAGGTAAATAAATATCTATCTTAAATTGTTGAGTTTTTTAAATTTTAAATCAAGGGAAAAAAATTCGTTAATATTTTCTATATTGCAAAGTAAAGAAGCCGGTAGATTAGTGGCCATCAAACTGGCTTTGACGGGTCTCTAAGGCCACTCTCATGGGATGCATAAGAGCCTTATTTTATTATTATTTTATTTTTATTATTTTAAATTACATATTCTTATTTTATCTGAATGGTAAAAATGATATCTTTATCATTTTCATGATATGATATTTATCGTTTCATGATTATATTTTATTATAATTATTAAAACTCTTAGAAGGGAAAATTTCGGAACTTGAAAATGTTTCACTTGGATTCCATGTATTTTTATTAGATCGTCTTGGAATTAGTGGAAAAAAAGATTTGATGACCACCACTTTAATAGATAACAGCATTATCACCGATTATTTCCTCACATTTTACACACATATCTATATGATTGAATAACTTACTTCCTGTCCAGCTACCCCAAGAAAAGGTTGTGAATTTTTGATATGTAGCATATTTTCATTCAAATCCATACCTAAATAATCTCTCTTATCATTATCAATTTTTGTTTTTTAACTAAAAATTATTTCTCGTCTATTATTCGTCTAGACCACGCAAATTTGTATTAATCAATAAATTTATTTAATCAGCCAAAAAATAATTCATCATTTCGAACTTTTAACTGATAAAAAATTTTATAAAAATTATTCTTTACTGGTAATCAAATAAATGCTCAATTTTAAATTTATATGATAATTTTAAAGTATATTTAGAAAAAATTTTGCGCTTATTTTCTTAATGAAAAAAATAGGAAAGATTTTTTTCGCAAATTGCGAAACGATAATTGATAATGAAATGATATGATAAATCATTTTGAACGGCCATATCCATTAAATTATCCGACAAATCCGATGCACCTTCTTTTCTCCTCAATCCTTCGTAAACTTTTTCATAAAATTGTAATATAGTCGTGTTAGTAGTATAATTTTAACTGGAAATTATACAAAAAATAAAAAAAAAAGAATTTCCAGTGAATAAAAACATTGAAAGTGTTATGTGAATGGGAAGAAAATGAAACGAAACAAACGAAAACATTTATTTTTTCCTTTTCGAAAAATTTTAACATATGAACATTTAACGTGTTATATATAAGAAAATGCACTTACAACGAGAAAATATGCACAGCACCAGTGATAGAAGAAAGGGCAGTAAGTCCTAAGGAATAAAAAGGGCAGTGCAACAAGAATTCACATCACAAGGAAATGGGTGAAACATAGAAAAAAGAAATTAGACGACTTAGATTTTTAGGAAGAGCGAAAAGTTTTGAAGGTTGAAGGAGATAAAGGCGCACCGAATATCTTTCTACTCGGGCTCGAATTCGAATTAAACCAATCTCCAAAAATTTTATGTTTTTTGTTAATCGCTTTTTTTTCAATTTTAAAATGTCTCGGTTTATTAGGTAAGTGTTTGCGCTTGCGTTTAGCGGATCCAACGTTAAGAACGGTTCGAGTTTCCAGTGGACCAGCTTTTGTTTTCGCATGACATTTATAGATACCACCGTTATCTTCTTGAACATTGGTAAATAATAAGCGATTTCCTGTCACCTGAAAGAAGAAACCACAGTTGTTGTGATATAACTGCTTTGAAAGGCCTAACGCCATCCATTGATAGTTAAAGACCTTGATGCAAAGGGACAGAAAGATAGACTACTTGACTAGCAAAACTATTCAACTGAATAGTCTGTGAACGTAACAGAAATTATCATCATGCAATTGCCCTACATTGGAATCTTTAACTCACGTTTCCGCAGATCGGATCATATTTAACATAATTCTCGCTCAGCTGCAAAATCCGATAATTATCGATAATTATCCAGAAATTCTATATTTTAAATTCTTTAATAATTTTTATTCTACTCATTCAATCTAAAAATCTAATCAATTTCGTCAACTGCTGATAATTGCTCATATTCAACAACTTTTTATAAATCTTATAGATTTTCCATCATACAACATTAATCCATTAATATTTCAAATCTCCATTTTTCCATGATTTTCGAAATGCATTGAACATTTGCAGAGAAAATGCAGACAAGCAAGCATTCAAACAATAATCAAACAATATTCAAACAATATTCGTCAAATAACAATAATAATGCAGTGTTTTTCAGAAAAAAAAATTTTTTCACCTGTGCATTATCTGGTAAGTCTTCGCCTTCTTTTGTCCATGTAATTTCTGCTTCAGGATCACCAGTGACTTTGCAGTCAAACCATGCTCGATCACCAATTGTAATGCTTTCCGACGACGATTCGAGTAATACTTGAATAATGGTATCCGGTACTGGAAATTTTTTTTCTATTATTCGAATAATAATTTTCTAGTTGAATTGAATGAGTTCCACAATCCCCTCACCTTCCACAACCCTCAAAAAAAAGGAGGAAAATTTTTTATTAAAATTAATAATTATATTGAAATGTACCATAAATTTGGGCGCGAACATATCCTTCAATTTCACGACCTTCCACATCCATTTTACATATATAAAGTCCAGCAGTTTCGTCATTGAATTCTTTTATTCTGAAAAAAAACCTGGTTGCCTTTAAAAAATTTCTACTGAAGAATATTTTAAAATTAATTCAGACATTTGTGAAGTGATTTATGAAATGAATATATATATATATACTAACATAAATTTATTTCTCGAGGGATAAGAATCGTCAGGTAAGTCGCCATCTTGTTTTTCCCAGGTAATTTCCGCACCTGGCACTGCATAAAGAGGACACATGATATTCGCTTCAGCTTTATCATCGAATTTAACAATCTGCGCACCTAAAAATTTCCGCAATCAACATACGCATCATATAATCAATGAGTTTTTTTTTTTTCAGTTCCATTTTTCTTTTCTAAGAACTGTTTTTGTTAAGTGTCCGTTCCATCGATTCCACCGGACTAGACAAAATTTTCCAGAAAATTAATTGGCGATAGAAATGCAGACCAACGCCATTTCTAGTTCTATTTTTGAATAATCTTACATTCTTACTTTACATGTAAAAAAATGCCCAAAAAAAAATTGGCATGTAAATTTATTAAATTTCAAATTAAGCCTAATAAAACTAGAAAAACAAACTAGAATGGTTGGCATATCCTATCGTAACGGCCGTATATGCAGTACCAAGAAGTTCTCCATCTTCATCCTCAACTTCGCAGCGATAGACGCCATAATCATTCGATGGATCTGCATTCTTAATGGTCAAAACATTGCCTTGTGGCAACTGACGAACAAGGCTACCACCTCTTAACAATCCCCACTCATAATTTAGGCCATTATTGTGTCGACCTAAAATACATTGAATAAAATAAAGAAACGTACAATTACAATTTTCACTAAACTGTTCACAACTTCAGGACTTTTTTGCACCTTATTCGTATGATTTTTTTTATACTGCAAATAAATTTTTGAGAAGATAATAAAAGGTAAGACAGAAGGAAAAAGTTACTCACCAAGTACGGAACAAGATAAAACAATAGGTTCTCCTTGCCGGACGACTCGAATTGTTGGTTCATCAATTTCAACGTGTATAGCGTCAAGTGGACCAGCATTTATTGGATAAATCTGTACTTTAGCTGTTGCTATAAGTTCATCGCCGCGATAACCACGACATTCATATTCACCACTATCAGATGCCTATAAATTTCGCATAGCGAATAAATTTACCAAATTTTTTTAATAATTCTATTTGTATAACCAAGATTTCAAAAAAAAAACAAACTTTGAATTGTGCGAAATGAAGAATGCCTGGTTCATTCTGGTCATCAGTATCTGGTGACATTGTTCCATCAAGTCGCGCCCACTGCAAACGATCAACTAAAGAGGATCCAGTTGATGCACAAACTAATTCTGCTGCTTCATCAGGATCAAACCATTGAGTTGAACCTCCAAGGATTGCAACTGTAGCGATTCGTGATGCTTCCACCACTATAAAATAAAATAAGTCCCATTTAGAAAAAATTTCCGGCAACTGTTCAGCCAAAAATTTTATAGTAAAAAAATGAAACCTTCAACATAAATATCTTTGGTTGCAGACGCTTGAATATTAGACCCTTTACAAGTATAAATACCAGCATTTCCAATTCCAATGTTTGGATGCCGTATAAACTGTTCAGAAATTGTAACTGGCTTAAAATCGTCTGGAAGATCACCACGTTCTGGCCCAGGATCACTAAAAATTTTCAATTTCTATCATATTACTTTGATAATCAGATATTCAGATTTAATCCGTGTTTGTCGCTGTGGAAAATCTGATTGATAAACTATGATAAATTTAAGCTGGAGAACTTTCAGGTGACAAAACATCTTCAGAGCCGATCTTAAACCGTAGTCTTTAATGGAATAAGAATTTAGTTGATAGTTAATCTTAAGAAAACATTGAAAAACTTACTGCAACCACTCTACCTCTGGCTCTGGCTCACCAAATGCTTCACATTTGACTTCAAGTGGTTCACCAGCCGTCAAAACAATTCTTGGCCCTGGCGGAGTGGTGCGAACGGTTAACGAAGGTCCTATATTAACAGAACCGTGATCACTAGCTTCGCCTACAATGTTGGTTGCTGTGCAAGTATAGTCCCCGTTCAGTTCAGACCGACCATTGCTGAAGTCCAGTACACCTCCACCGACATCATACACATCATCAGGCAAAGGTCTTCCACCTGGTGCAGTCCATGTAACTTCCGGCTGTGGAAAACCTGTAGTAATACAACGGAACTGGTGACGATCACCAGGTTGGCCATTCCATACTCGAGGAACAACCCTAGCGGTTGGTGGTTCTTCCTCTAAAATCAATTTATTAATTTATTAAGCCTTTTAAAGATTTCTTTATTTTTTTATCAATATAAAAAAATTTGCTTACTATCGGTAACATGAAGTCTCACTGGTTCTGCTTCAGCACTTCCATACTGATTTGTTGCAGTACAAATATATTCTCCAGCATTCGAAGCATCTGCTAAATTAATGATAACATCATCGCCTGATTGATAAATGTCTCCACGAAAAGGGCCATCTGCAGTTTTATATCCCCATTTAATTCTAGCTGGAGTTTCACTGTTCGCATCACAGTGGAAAGATGCTCGTTCACCAGATTTCACAGTTTGATCAACAGGTGTCGCTATAGGACGAGGAAGACTTGCACCTGAAAAATGTATAAGATTTAAAAATTCAATGAAATATTTTAAAACATTGTATTTTTCCACATAAAAATATTAGCTTACGTCTATTTACATTCACTCTAGCTGGAGAAGCATGTTTTGGTCCTTCTGGTGCGTTATTGGTACAAATAAAATCACCAGCGTGTGCGAGTTCTGATCTATCAATAATTAGTGCATCTCCTTCGGTCCGAACTCCAGGAGGTAGCTGGCCACCTGGCACTCGATAGCTCCATGTCAAATCGCTTGTTCTTTGTCCATGAATATAGCAATTTATACGAACTGGTTCACCTTCAGTTACTGTTTGCTCAGGAGGATCGACAACCGGCGTTGCGCCTTCTAAATCTTTCAATTAACAAAAAATGAGTTTTTAACTAAGAAATCTTCACAACTGTCACAATTTTTCAATTCTTTAAATTAAAATTAAATTAAACAAAATTAAACAAAATTAAAAATTAAACAAAATGAAAATAGTGGTAAATTTAAACGGTTGAAGAAGATTTAAATGTATATAATAATAAAACATTGCAAACTGCAAAATATTTATACCAGGTCGGACGTTTATTCTTGCTGGCGAAGAATCGACTGGATTTCTGCCATCTGGATCAGTCGCAGTACAAATATAATCGCCAGAATCCGCCATGAAAGTCCGCCGTATTGAGAGTACTCCTCTTGAATCCTCATGCTCAATTGGTAACGTTCCATCACGTTTCTTCCAACGTAAAACTGCGGATGGATCACCTGGTACCCAGCATCGTATTTGTGATGGTGAACCTTCATTTACTGTTTGATCTGGCGGTGCAACTTGAGGCGCTTTTGCTAAAAATAATGATTTCTGAAAGCAGTGGATTCGAGATATTTGTAGAGTTTAAATAATTATGGTTTTTGGTGAAGCGTTATGCATTTGAAATATATATATATTTAGCCTGGTAAAATAGGGTTCCATTAAGCATTATGCTTTGTTTTGTGCTATTAGATTAAAAAATGCCTTTCTGTATCGATCAATTTTGGAACATTTGCTGAAATTCATGTATTAAATCCATGGAGATTACCGATGTCAAAAAAAATGAGAAGCAATCGTGAGAAAAGTAGCTTGTAGCTTGCAAAAAATGGCATAAAAATCATACATACGTTTGTTAATGTCTATGCGTGCTGGAGGTGAATCAATAGCGGATCCATCAGTACCTCGTGTTGAACAAATATATTCACCAGCATCGGACTCTTGAGTTTGAGGTATAGTTAAAATGCCCTCTACTTGCGAAGCATCTGTGCTAAGATGACCATGCTTCTTTCTCCATATTAGTTCGGCATGTGGATTTTCAGGCACCCAACATCTAATGTATGATGGATCATTCACATTAACGGTTTGGGAAGGAGGATCGATTTGTGGTGCTCCTGCTGCAAAATGTGCGGAAAAAACCATAATGAAAAAAAAAGACATGCATGAGAACTAAACAAATAGATGGCATTGGTAAGTATCGCTCGTTTATAAGAAATATATCTTTAATTTATAGATTATTGCAGAAAAAATGCCCATGAAGAAAGACAATGGACGAAAAAGTGCAAAAAATATGAAATGAAAGTGCATACACTTTTTTACTTTTATTTGAGCTGGACGTGAATCTAGTGGTACCACATCATCTTCCGGACCTCCCGTTGAACAAATATAATAGCCCTCATCATTAGCATTTGTGTATGGAATTTGAAGAATACCATCTTCTTGAGTCGCACTTTCAGGTAGATCACCGCCATATTTTCTCCAGCTTACTATGGCAGATGGATCACCCGGGACAAAACATTTAATTTGTGAAGGTTGTCCTTCAGGAACTGTTTGTTCCAAAGGATCAACCTGTGGTGCTTGGTCTACTTTAAATGCTAAAAAAAATATAGAAAAATAAATAAAATCCTTGATGGCAATAGAAGATGAAAATTCTTTCAATTCTTTAAAAAATTTTTTAGAGATATTGAATTTGAATGAATCCCCGGAAAAGCTTATTTGGTCTGACAGGAAAGCGAGCCTAACAAAAAGTAATAAATGCTTTTATAGAGAAAAAAATTGCCAATTAAAATCGCTAATTAAATCCCTCACGGGCAATTTATTTGCTTTCAGAGTTGATCATTTTAAAGCAATCCTGGTTTATATTTGACAAAAAAATTAATATTTACGTCGCTTAACATGAAGAACTGCTGGTGCTGATTCAACTGGAGAGCCATGTGGATCAATTATTGAGCATACGTATGAACCACCATCGTCAAGCATCACTTTAGGAATGTAGAGCGTTCCAGAGCCATCATCAGATGCACCATATGGAAGAGGTTGACTTTGCTTGGACCAGCGCAATCTTGCTTCAGGATCGTCAGGTACCCAACAACGGAATCGAGCCGGGTCATTTTCGTTTACGGTTTGTTCGCGTGGATCAACCAATGGAGCTCTTCCTAGGAAAAAATTCACTGTGCATTCTGACGAATTAAATCAAATCATCTGGATCGATGATTTATCTGCAGCGCATCTTACATTTGAAATATTCGGCATCTATAAATTTATCCAAAAATCATTGATAAAAAGACTCACGTTGCTGAACATTGAGCCGTACAGGTGGTGAATCCATTGGAGGTTGCCTGCCTTCTGGGTCCACGGATGTACACACATAATCTCCTGCATGGAACATTTGACTTCTATGAATATTCAAAATGCCTTCATTCTCTTGAACTTCCTGAGGTAATGGGCGCTCTCCTCTCATCTTCCAGACCAACTTAGCTGTCGGAACACCAGGAACCCAACACCTGAATCTAGCCGGTTCACCAACTTGCACAGTTAATTCTTTCGGATCGACTCGTGGTCGTTGAGGTGCTACAATAAAAATGAAGATAATTTTAAAGAATTGTGGAAAATCTAAAGTAAAATCAATGAAAAATTATTTGCTTACGTCGATTAACAATTAGTCGAGCAGGTGGCGATTGCCCAACACCAAATTCATTAGATGCAGTGCAAATGTAATTGCCAGCATCTTTTAACTGAGCGCGAGGTATTTTCAAAACTCCAGCACTTTGATAAACTCCATACGGTAATGGCCCTCCCAAATATTCTTTATGCCACGTTAACTCGCAAGACTCTAATCCAGGAACCCAACAACGAAATGTGGCTGGTTCGTTTTCATTAACCGTTTGCACCAGAGGATCGACCATCAATGGTGGCGGTTTACCAACAACTAAAGTTTCAATAATTTTTAATAATTTTGTTAAAAATATTTCGATAAAAATGTTTAATTGAAAATTCAAAAAATTGATCAAATCACAAACGAAAAAAAAAAATTCGTTAGAATTTTTTAATCACAAAAATTATCAAACATTATTTTAGCAATTTTTGTTATATTGCCACAGCAAAACACAAAGTGATGAGTTAAAAATTAATTTGTTTAAAAACTAAAAAAAAAAACTACTCGACGAATGTGCAACATTAAGTGTAGCATCATCTGTAGCAAATTGATGTGACCCCGTTGCCGTACAACGATATTGTCCAGCATTACTCTCTTCAACATCTTTTATTATTAAATCGCCATTTTCCTGAACGGCATTTTCTGGCAATGAATTTGTACCCACTTTTGTCCATTCCAATCTTATACCTGATGCCTAAACTATTTTTGTAACTATTAAAAGTTCATGGTTACCGAATTCTTATTTTCGAACGAATTGCTGTAAAAAAAAAAAAAAAAAATTTGGCCTGGAAAAAATTGCTAAAAAAAAAAGTGATAAGAATGTGAATGTAAATTTTTTATTTTAACAAAAAAAAAACATTTGCTACTGAAATTCTCTCCTAAATTCTGAAAAAAAAAATTCGTTGTTTTTTTCCGCCAAAAACACTGGTTTAACTGGTCTTCAACGACACTTTTTCAAAACCAGTTACCGTATGTCCAATAATTCGACAATGCCATTGTGCAGTACTACCATTTGCAACTTTTAAATCCTTTGGATGATCGATTTGTATACGAAGTGGAAATGCTGTAAAATTGTTCTGTACCGAATATTAGAATTTTTTTTAAAAAAAAAAAGCCTTTCCGCATGCAAATATAATAAATTGAATAAATTTAAATAAAAGAATTTTGGCAAAAATTTGTTTATGCAATAAATGAATGGACATAATATCACACGGCGACAAATTTTTAAAAAAAAAAGAAAAATATGGACAATAAGCTTATTAAAAAAAGAAAAAAAAGAACGATAAAAAATGCATAAAAAATTTTTATAATTTTAAAAATAAACAAAAATAAAAATTTTTATGAAAATATTCGCATAAATGAACGATAAAAAATTGTTAAAAAATTAAAAAAATATGATAGAATTTTAAATATAAACAATACTGAATATTAAATAATAATAAACATAATAATAATAATAAGTGAAAAGCTTGGTTAAGAAATTTTCAAAATATAAATAAATAATGGTGATTTGTAATAACGATTATGCGAAATACAAACACAATGGACAATAACATAAATGGTATAGCAGTGAATGCACACACAAACATTGAATAACGGTGCTTAACTTATGGCCCCTAATTTTAAAATCTATTTAGCTTAAGGATAATCACTAAAATTACTAAAATATAAGAAAAAAAATGGATCAATGGATAAATGAAAAATTCGGTATAATAATATGTAAAAATGCAGCTCATAAATTTATGGATATGACGTGAAAAAAAGTGCTATTTCTAATTTTCTAATTTCGTGGGAGTCTCTTGTTAGAATTTAGATTTGGACAAGAATCAGGTTTTAGTGACGAAGAAAACGGCTTCGGACACGATATCGTCGACGTCTTTGACGTCGCCATGCAGAACGTTCACCTTCTGGTGTCGGGACGAAAATAACGTTGGTGCTTTCTACACGGCCAATCGGTTCACATATTCGACCGCCATGCGTTCTTGATCTTGTATAACCCGGTGCACACCTCAAATAATATATCTTTTAATAATTATAAAAAAAAATTTATTTGAACAAAAAGAACTTGCGAAATACATAAAATTGCGTTATAAACTAACTCGTCGCAAAGGCGTCCCGTTAGGCTTGCTGGACAATTACGGCACTGCACTTGTCCATACTGATCAAGGAAGCAATCTGATGTTCCACTAAAATTTCATTAATAATAAATAAGCAGTGATTAAGAAATTTTCACCTTATTTTTATTATTCAACATTGTCTAATTTTAGTTAATTCATCCTGTTTTCAATCGAAGTATTTCAACTAATAATATTGACACTGGGAATAAATCTTAATATAAATTTTAAGATTAAGCCTAGGATTTTAATCAAATCAAAATTCAAGAGTCTAGGTCAAAATAAAATCTTGGCGGAAATTCCGTTATTATGGATTGTTATGGTTGTGGATTTGATAACATGGCTTAAAATTTAACATACGGGCATGGACATGGTGTACAGTCATAAGGTGTTCCTCGTGTAGCTTCACCATAGTAACCTCTTTTACACTGTTGACAGTTGTAACCCTCTGTATTATGTTCACAAAGCTGTAATATCATTGTCAACGCAATTTTGTATTAAATATATTAAATATTAAATATATATATATATTGTTATATATTGTTGTATGAAATCAGCACAATAATAATAATATCGCGATGATCAAGAAACCATAAAACTAAATTTAAAAAATGGTAATACCAAGCATCGCCCGAATGAATCACATCCTCTCGGTGAATGGTTATTACAATTACAAGGTGGTCTGGTTGCTGCTGGTTGGCAATCATGAGGTGTTCCTTGTCGAGCATTGCCAATAAAACCAGGTTTGCATCTTTCGCACTGATCACCTTCTGTATTGTGCTGGCAATTAACGCAATAGCCGTGTTCCTGAAAGCTTAAAGAATTTAAGGAAAAGAAAACGATTAAGAAAATGAAGATTACTAAAATTCGCATAATAAAATTTAATAAAACGATCTATCTGTGGTCAAAAAAGATGTCACCCTGTCACAATGCGTAGCATGTCCATGACATTCACAACGCTCACATAGTCCCAAATATAAACCACCTCCAGTCCTGGAATAGCCTGGGGCACAATCTTCGCATGATGTTCCAACATAGCCGGGCGGGCACACACATTGCTCGACCTTAAATCAAATCGAAGAGTTCTGCTCAAAATATTAGTTTGCATTCTAAATATCAACTTAAAAAAAAAATAAAATTTAAGAATAAAATATTTCACAAATTTCTCAATGCTTATATGTCTTTTTTATGTATCAAATTTTGAATTTCATTAAAAATGAAAAGGAAAGAAGGCAAAGAAGAAATTTAGAAATCTACTTCATAAGCAATAGGTCCGCCAGTAGGACGTGCTTCTGCGTGTTCGAGGGAGACTCTAATAATTGATGACGATGAACATTCATCAAGATATGTCATCTTGATTAGAATGGCATCGAGATCTGCTAAAGCCATTAAAATATGCTCTCGAGTTGCTGCTTGCTCGTCTATTCTTTGCCATCGATCTTCGAAAAGTTTTACTTCAACTTCGTTTTCCCTATCAGGATAGATCGGTTGCTTATTTTTATAGAAAAGTGTGATATCATTGCCCTGAAAAAGACAGCAATCGTTTAATACCATTAGAGACTAAAAAGACTGATTGCGCTCAAGTAAAATCATTACTCTTAAGATAATATCCGGTTCAGTATTGAGCGATCCTTCACCGGAATATCGGAATACATATTTAAGAATTCCACCATAGCTGGTCACTTTATTTCCAAGAAATTTTGCAGGTAACTTCCAATAGAGTGTTTGCCTAGGCGCCTCATAAAATTGCGAGAAAATAATTTCGCCATTCGCAATTACAGGTTGAGACTGTGGTCTGAAATATGTATAACAACTATAAATAGGAATATCTTTGAAATAATAATTGAGCAAAAAAAAACGAACATAAACGGATTATGTGAATCGCTGGAAGTAATTTGTAGCTGATCTCTGGCACCACGAGAATAATCAATTTCGATAATAGCGCGAGAATATGAAGATGAAGAACATCTTTGTGTGACACCCGAACAAAAACATGGAATACATCCTTGAGGATTACTAGCAGCCATATAAAAACTATTTGGAGGACACTGGTCGCAAAGAGGCCCAACAGCGTAAGTTTTACACTGACATATTCCGCGAAACGATGGTTGGGAACTAACTGCTCCAGCCGGTGAGCATTGAGGACGTGGTCGTGCTGGTACGCATGTACCAAGATAAAGTCCTTGTCCAGACCTTTCATAACCTGGCGCACAATCTTCACATGATAATCCGATATAACCTTAATTTTTTTACTTTAAAATTAAAAATTGCTAATAATTCTGCAACTTTCCCAAGGTGGTGAAAAATAATCGGAGGGGAATTTTTAAAAATTATATTAGATGAGAAGTGAAGAATCCTTTAATTAATCGCTTCGGGAATTCATTTGTTTGATTTTCGATTAAATAACTGATTCGTTTAGTCTCAGTACCTGGTGGACATGAACAATGTTCCACCTCAAGAGCCAATCTATCTTGAGTATCACGATCCACAGCTATTTCCCAACTTACGTCTCCGATACTAAAAATTATTTTTTTCAATGATAAACATGGGAGGGATCTATGAAAGCAATATCGAAATAGAAAGAAGTATTATTTCTCTTTTAATCCTATTTTATTTCTTTCTTTTTTTTTCTTAAATTTTCTTTTTTTTTCTAAATTTTTTCTGGAATTTAGTTTCTGGAAAATCGTAAGAAAAAAGAAAAAACGAGCCTAGTTGAGCGAAGGCCATAACAGTGAGTTGCACGTATTAAAAAAGCATCCATATCGGCCAATACCATCATCAGATTTTCGCGAGTTGCTGGCCTATTATCCAAATGTTCAAAATTGGCCTTCAATTTTCAAAATTCAAAATAAAATTGGATTAAAACTCTAAAATATTTTAAATCATTAAGCAAAGAATTTACTTCAAAAGTATCAATTGCAATTCGAATTGGCCTATCAGAAATAAAATCTCCAGAGTAATCTTTATGTCGATAAACCAGAGTTATTCCATTCCCCTAAATAAAAATTAATAAAAATTTATATTATATTACATTATTATATTATATTTATTTTTATTATATTCAAAGAAGTTTTTAACGAATTCAAATAAAATTTATTTTGTAACAATTTTTTTTTACTAACTTTGATAACAACGAGTGGTTCACTACTTATAGCACCTGAACAAGAAAACTGCAATTCAAATTCCATTTTTCCACCATATGCTGTTACCTAAATTATAAAAATATAGATCCTTTATGGAAATATCATTTTTTGCTTTATGAAAATTCCATTTCTCTTTATTTTTTTGAGAGAAATGAAATTTAAAATCATTTTTTGTTTTTTTTTCTAAAATTGCAAATAAACAAATCATTTTTCTGAAATAAAATTTAAAAAAATTAATAAATAATCAATTAATTAACCTTATTGCCGAGGAAACGATGAGGCATTCGCCAGTATTCTGTTTCATATCCACTGCCTACATAAGTAAGCATTCCTGGTATATCGTATTCGAATCTTGGATTCTGTTTTATATTTTTTTCGTCCATATCCGATATTGTAACACCTTGCGAATCACCCGTAAACCGCAATTTATCCTAAAATTGTAAATATTATTTAATTTTAATAATTTATTAAAATAGTGGAATAAAATAAAATTTGTTAGAGACCGAATGAATTTGATAATTCATCGATAATAATTGAATGAAATGAGTGAATAAAAGAAATAAATTATAGCAAAAAAATAGAAAAAATGACAATTTATCGAAAATTATATTGCAAATAAATTTATTGAAATATATAATTGACTGATTAAGTCAATATTATACTACTGATAAAATAACTACAAAAAATGAATATATGTTAACAAATATAAGTAAATGGTTAGGTTTTTATTATTCCTGATTAGTTTAGTTTTGATTAGCATGATTAGAAAATTTTAGTAGAGAACCACGATTAGAAAGTTTTTTAGAAATATTATCAGCAGTTCTACGATTTTTTAATGATAATGATTTCACTTTTATCTGAAGTAAAAAAGCCGAATTATACTCCAACTATTAACCATTCGCCGCTATTCTACCATCTGATATAATTATCTTTATATAAAACTTCAAGTATCTTTTAAAAAGGAAAAAAGATTTATTTAAGATATATTTAAAAAATTAAAACGGAAAAAAACATAACTAAATTATTAATCAGTGCTCGGTGATTTTAGAATTTTTTGAAGCGAGCAAAATAATGATTGTAAATTTAAAAAAAAAAAAAGCTTTTTATTAGTATAAAAAATGCATTAAAATTCAAGCCTTCAAAGATTATTCAAAGTGAATTATCTAAAAATTTTGTGGTCAATCAAAAAATTGGATATAATCTCTAATGCCTACCGATTTATGCCAATAAATTTAAGCTCATAAATGAGGAGGAAGCATGCTAGCAAGATTGAATGAATTGAGAGAGAAAATTATGCGACTGTTAATATCAGTTATTAACAATTAGACGCCGAATTAAATACTAAAATTCAAGTTTGAAATTTTTGAAAGCTGAAATTTTATTTTATTAAATCTCATATAATATCACTGCAAAAATCGTAAAATTATAAAAAAGCAACAAACGGACCGAAATTAATTTTGTCTTAAACAACTTACACAGGCGATATCCTGCAACATATTTTATTAAAAATGACATGAAATTTTTTTAAAAAACCTAAAAAAAATACTGTAAATAAAGCGAAATTAGAACTAACTCTAGTTCGGTACCATGATGATGATCGGCACTGATCGGTGACGCCGAAACAGAAACATTTAAAACATCCTTGAGGAGCTTTTTCATTAAGATGATATGCACCGCGAATGCATTCATTGCATGTCGGTCCCATCGTTAATTGCTACAAATAAAATTTCACATTAATTTCGCGAAAGTACTAATACTGATAAGTACTGTCGAAATATAATTGTAGTTTTTGCAAATAATATTTATTAAAAAAAATAAAAAATCCTTTAAAAAATCTAATTAACAGCCAAGCTGTGCAAGTAAGCCCCAAATTTTTTTTTAAGAAACCTAATTAAAATTTTATTATTGAGATATGTAGCCACCTTGCAATGACATTGATGGCTATATCCAGTTTGCACTGATCCTGCGGGATCACAACGAATTAATTGTGCATGCGGTGTTGGAGCTGGTAGATTAACGATCCGCACGATACAATCTGGAGTTGCAAGTACTCTTCCTTTGACATTTATCGCTTCACAAGTGTAAGCTCCTTGGTCAAGTGGTCTAAAATCTTCCTTGCTTAATTATTGAATTATTTTTATATTAATAAATTTCCAGCAGCTAAGAGAATATAAAAAAATTAAAGCTGAATTCATTTGTTGATTATTATCCACAAAGGTCTAAACTATCGAATCTTATCTAATCTATTCACCGCCGATCCCATAGTAAGCGTCTCTTCCACTTTGGATTGCTCAACTGGCTATTATGGTACTATAGGAAAACCTTCCGCCATAAGAGTTGCTTAGAGAAGTCTAAATTAAACATACCGAGTTTTATTTTTTTTTAATTCATCGATATGATTTAAAGATATTTTCTAAGAAAAAAAAATTAATCTAAATTTTATAAAAAAAATTCTATAAATTCTCAAAATTTTTAAGTGTATAAATGAGAAATAAAGTAAAAAAAAAACAATGAACTGTGCATTTGAGACAGTAAGTGTTCCTAATCCGCCTTGAGAATGTTGAACACAACGTGGAGGATCGCAAACTGGGCCCCAGTTTAAACGCCAATTTATATATGGTTCAGGTACAGCAACTGCTTTACATGTCAACTGGAAGGTTCCACCAGGTGGAACTTGTTTATTTGTCTCAGGTGCTTCAACTATCGTTGGTTGAACACAGCCGATCTGAATGAAATGATAAGTAGATTAGTATAATTGGTACATCTTCCTAATGAAAAAAATGTTTGTATTAGTTTGATTGAATTTTAATGATAAATGGTGGATGGTTTAATCACCAAGACACCAATTCTTAAATCTTTCTCTGCTATCATTTTCAATGTAATCTAACCTCATCTGAGCCATCTTGGCAATCATTTGTGCCATCACAGTGAAAACTTGATGGAACACATTGTCGCTGATCGCGACATTGAAATTCTGATGCTGTACATCCATCTGAAGGCGTTCGATGATCACAGGTTTGTTCATCAGAATTGTCGCCACAATCATCATCTCCGTCGCATAGCCACATTTTTTGCACACAACGCCCATTATTGCATTTAAATTCATTCGGTTCACATGATCGTAGCGATGGACATTGCTAAATAGTAATAGTTATTATGATTATTTGAGCTGATTTTCAATCTGTTAAGTTTTTTCTTTTTCTTATTTTGTAGACCATCTAGGAAGACAGTATAATATTTTCATTATTATGGCTTAAGCTTAAGGTTAGGGTGGACGAGGGTATATAAATAGGAAAAGACTCTGACACTTTATGAGCACCAGTTACCAATCGCTATAGGCAATTAGCTTTTAACGACTCTTGTAACTTATCGCCAAAAAACATATGCAAATTTTGAGAACAGCATGCCTGTTCATATTTTATCGCTTGTGCGCAACTGGCAGAAGGAAAACTCGGCAAAACTAGGCGCCAAATGAAGATAGAATCTAATCTTTGCCACTACTGCGAAACCTTTTCTGGAAAGCTTTCTTATTCTGGCCAGAAATGAAATCTGTTTAGAAAACAAAATGAAAAGGTCGTCGCGGTAAATCCTTCGAAGCATTTCAAAGCTTGACCTGCAATGGAAGGTCATTGCCACTGTTTTATGATTCGGAGAGTAAAACAACATTCAGCTTTCTCATGAGTGATCGATGGCTTCGATGCGTTCGTAGTTTGCAGTGTACTAATTCCATTTGAATCGCCACCAAAAGTTTCAAGAAGCCGCAATTAGCAGGGATAACTGCAGAAACATATCCAGCTAATTTTTCGTCCGCCACATTCTCCAAGCCTTTTCTCAATAGATTTTAATTTTTTCCACTGCCTTGGCGATTTTCATCAAATAAAAATACTTTTAGAAAAATACAAATGAACCTTAAAATCTTTCAATAGTTTATAATGGTACCGTTCTGAGTGAAAATTGGTTTTAAATAATGCTGTAGCTCTTTAAAACAGACCGCGAGAACTTTCTAGATTACCAAACAATGATATGGAAACTATTTAAGAAAAATCAAAAAACGATAAAAATTTAAAAATCATAAGCAAATAGCTTAATTAACTTAACTTCTTTTCCAGCACACTGTAACTCGCATAAAAAAAAGGCAGAAGGAAAATTTGAAATATTTTCAATATCCGATTTTTAATTTTTGATATTATGGGCTCCACCAATGGATCTTTCAGATTTTTAATACATCTTTAGTTAGTCTAAGAAGAAAAATCCGAAAAAATTTTCTCATTAAAAGTTTATTGTTTAGTTTATTTTAAATTAAAAATAGACGATATTGGCTTTATTCATTTGTAATTTTTTGGTTGCAGGAATATATATGTTTATTATTTGGCCTAGACGGTTCCAAGACGGTACCGTATCTATATCTAGGCAGTATCTAAGGTGAGATAGTCCCAGGATATCGTGGAGAATAATAAAACAAAGATCTTGGGGCTTCTCCATTCAGATAGACAAATAAATACCGGCCAGTCAGACAAATCAGATCATAATAGTAAATAAAAACCAGAAATTAGCAATAGCAAGTGACAGGAATATCAACAAGAAGGAATAAAAAGCTAGAGAAATACCAATGCTTAAAAGAGGAACTGTGAAAGACCAAAGTGGTGATGATAAATTCTAAAAGTTGGAAAAGTTCCAACAGATTCCAGGAACAACATCAAAGATGTTCATACTCTGTTCATACGATTCAATCATCGAATTCATTATTCTCATGCAATATTATATGAAGAAACAAAGAGAACACCATTCTTTGCAAAAAAAATCCCGTTATTTTTGATGTTCTCAGTTGGAAATAAGTTAAATTTGATTTAAAGTAGAAAAAAATTCGAGGAAGAATGCAAAAATTCCATTCCATTTAACATCTTTTTCTTTTTTCATAAAATATAATCGCTTGAAAATATACATTTTCATTTGCTTTGCTAATATGCTTTAAGTGCTAAGCTTTCCTGAAGCTTATTTTTAATATTATTACTTTTTTTTGTTCTAATGGCACCATTATTGAATGAGGCTGACCCCCTGCTAGCTACAAGAAAAACGCACGTTCGAACCTCTCATTCCGGCTCCATATCCAGCAACAATAGAAGCCACCCCTTTTTTTCCATCATCTAAATCCATATATCACTGGTCTTTATGCTTAAAATTTCTCCTGGCTCAAGGATCGGATATATTCAGCTATTACTTTTTTGTTATATATTTTTATATATTTTTAAATTATATATCTTTAAAATATCTTAGAGAAGAGAAATGAAGAGAAAGAAGTAAGAAGTATTACTTGTTCATCAGATCGATCCCTGCAATCAGGTTCACCATCACATACATAATCAATTTTAATACATTCTTTATTAGCACAAGCTCTTTCATCAGCTCGGCATACCTCAGAAGTTGGCAAAATATTTTGATATTCTTGTGGTCCATCTTTAAATATTGTAAGTAATAAGTATATTTTTGCAAAAAAAAAGTTTAAACAAACTTCTCTTAAAATTTTTAAGAAATTTTTTTTCATAAAAAAATTCTGTATTTAAAATTTTTTTATAGAAATTAAACCTTTTTTCTTTATTTTTTTTTTCTTTAAAATATTTGTTCATTTATTTTTTATTTTTTTCCTCATCGTTTAGTTTATAATACATATTAAAATATTTTTTAATATTTTTAATATTATAAATATTTCTAAAATATTTTTTATTATACGCAGATAAAAATAATTTTGTTTATTCCATATGCTTATTTTATTATAATATTTTAATATTTTCAGTATTGTTGTGATTTTTAAAAAGTTATATCTATTGAAGAGAATAGTACTAAAAAAATTTTCTCAGCTATTTTCTCAAATCATTTTTCGCCAAAAGTTTTACGACTTAAGTGCGTTCGCATCATTAGCCGTATCTTCCACTAATAAATAGCAATCAGAGAGGCAAGCCAGTAGCTCGACATAATAACCAAATAGATCCTTTCATAAAGTGTCTATTATTATGTCTTAGAATTCCACTAAATATTTATACAAATCTTGGAATCCATCTTTTATTTGAAATTATTACAGTAAATACAAACAGATGTGAAAAGACTTAAAAATTTATGTGATCTACTAAGCTAAATGATCGAAGAAGATAACCAATCTTTTTTTTTTTTTTGATAAAATAATTGCTATTATTGAATTAGATGAAGCATTCATTTTTGATATAAAACAACGAATTTATAAAATCGGAGAGTAGCAAAAATAAAAAAAATTTGTTTATGTTTAACCGCTAAATTTCCTAGCAAAATGTTTAATTTTATTTGCACTTTTAAGATAATAAAAAATCATTACGATAAAATCTGTTTTTTTTTTCATTAGAAAGTGATAAATTTGGGGATTTTGGAGAAATAAACATTCACCAAATTGAAATATAGAATTATCAGAGTCACCAGAATATTGATATTATGTTATTGATAATACTGATATTGATATATTTTTACTAAATTAGAAAATATTTTTTATTATTTTTTTATTTAGAACGCTATTAAAATGATTCAAAAAATAACATTTTTTTAATTATTTATTTTAAAGAAAAATTTATAAAATTTAATAACTAACATGGCTGAACATTAAGTTGGACATATGCATCATATGTTCGGCCACTAACTGTTGTTGTGCACTTATATTTACCGCTATCATAGACTGATGCAGAGGTTATTGTTAAGCGTCCACCACTTTCATGAGCAGTTGGTGGTAATGGTCCACCGCTTCGTGTCCATCGTACTTCTGGGTATAGCGTACCATCAGAAGTTCGAGCTCGGCAATCAAATATCGCTTCACGTCCCTCTCGAATATTTAATTCGAGTGGATAAACTGTTAATTGAACATCTAAATTCGATAAACGAATAAATTATAAATTATTCAATTATTTTATCATAAAATGAATTTTAATTTGAAATTTAAACCGAAAATTACAAAAATAAACTTTCTAGGAAAATTATTCATATAAATATCATAATTTATCGTTAATAAATTCTCTTGTTTATATAATGCGATAAAATCGCGTAAAAAAAATACCTTACACAGTTTCTAAATATTACACTAAGCTTGAAGTAAAATAGAAATATATTTTATGTAAAAAAAAACAACGAAGGAAGCTCTAGACGAATAAAAAAATATGACTGATAATACTGATAAAGTTTAATACATTTAATATTAATTCCTTCGCCAACATTTTCTCCTAGGATATTTATTTAATAAATTTAATATTATTTAATAATATTTAATAAATATTTCGGCAAAATGAATTTTAGAGATGAAATTTCAACGAAAATCTTGGCGCATTAACTCGTTGCGCTTAATTTTCAAATACAAAAGGTCTAAATTTATATTTAAAAAATTGGAAATATAATTCTAGTATATTTATTAATTTATTTAATAAATTATGAAATAACCTTGAAATGGCGGTTCAAAAAGATTCGAATCTGAAATGATAAATGTTTATTGATGAATGAACGTTTTAAATATTTAAAATATCAAATAAAAATCTATAATATAAATTTTTAAAGATAAAAGGTGATAAAAATTGTTAAAAAATGATAAAATCAAGAATATGAAAATTTTACGAATTGAAAATTTTGTGATGTTTATGTTTAAAAATTAAATTAAAAATTGAATTAAATAAAAAAATTAAATACAATTTTAGAGTTTAAATAAAAAAATAAAAGAATTTTTAATTAAAAGATGGAAGAAAATTAGTCATTCAATTATATATAAAATTTTTAAAATCAATTAATTTGATATTTAATTTTTAATTTTTTCTTTAATCGAAATTTTTTAGCGAATTACTTGCCAAGCAAAGGTTTTAAAGATTTTCTAACTAAAAATTTTCTGATAAATTATCAAATATTTAAGTATATTTAATAGATTTTATTAGCATTTATATTTGATAGATAATCTCCATTTTATTCTGTTCTGCTTTTATCAAAAATAAAATTTCATATTTTTAAAGTAATATTTCCTTATCATTTAATTGTATACACCGAAAATATTGAAGAAAAATGGAAAAAATTTTTCAAAAAAATTCAATTTCAAAATTCAATTCTATTTTTGATGACCACAATTGATTAAAAATTGAAATAAATTGATGTGTTAAATATATTAAATAAAAATTTATAAATAATAAATTTTTAAAGATAAAAAATTTGGACTCTAAAATAATTTTTAAGTTTATTTTTTTTTAAAACTTACATGCTCTGCCATACCGAATTTTCCAATTTGCAAAAGCTGTCGATAAAAATAAAAAGAAATATAAGTGAAACATTACCGGCGATACCCCCATTCCCTTAAATAGTTTCCTTTTAATTTGCTTATCACTTATTTGTGATAAGCAATCTATTAATCTATAACTTCAAATAAACATCCCAAAAGATCGTTTAGAATTGTAAAAAATTAAAAAACTGAATTTAATAAGCTAAATTTACGACAATACGCTTATATAAAATTCGTTCAAGCGAATGAAGTTAAAGTTGTAATACAATGTGCGGCGATATTCACGAAAATTCATTCATTGAAATAAAAAATAGAAATATAGCAACTGGTTGAATTCAAAATGAAATGAAATTTCTTAGGAAAGATAAGTCAAGTGTTTTTATAAGTTTTTGAAGGATTTTATTAATGAATGAGATCGAGAAAGCTGAACGATTAGTTTTGTTTGAGCTTTGATAAAATTGAAACGAACCACGTAGAAATCATCGTTGTTATTGCTTCGATAAATCGAAAATGAATTAAGTTGAAAAAAAAGAAAAAATTGAAATTTTTTAAAAAAATAAAGCGATTTGCAGGCGAGACAGATAAATTCTATTTCAGAAAAAAAAATATTTTTAATATATCCAACAAAAAAAAAAATTCAATATTCTTATTTAAATTTATAATTTTAACAATATTTTTCTAAAGTGTTTATAGAAAAACTTGTTAAATTCAGTAATAATAATAATAAATGTGAAAAATGCTAAAAATTGCGAAGGAGCGAGAAGATATTTGGTGGTGGGCGAGCCGAGTTGCTCAAATTATCGTCTTAAGTGTCGGATTCAACGATTGTACACTAAAAATTCGATATCAGGGATTTATCTTTATTTCTATCCTTATGGATTTTTTTTTCAAAGAGCACTCACCATTATTGGTTACACTCGTTCCGCTGGCTTGTCCACTGAACAAAATATACCAGAGCGTCACTTAGCGATAGAAATACAGGTGAATCGTCAGCATCACTCGAATTTTTGGACAAGCTGAATCTCAGGAGTATAACCTCAGCATCGGCGTTCCTCTGCTATGCGGCAGTGTCGCCAGAGTAGTGCATAGGCAGATTCGAAATTAAGCCTTGATTCTTGGTGATATGATATTATCTTATCACTGGGCAATCGATGCACTACCCCTAAGACAATAGTAACCATCACTTCGTGTTAATATTACCAATAGGAATAATTACCAGAAATGGTGAGAAATGGTGAATCACGTAACATTTCAGTATGCAAAAATAAATGGCATTTTATTGTTGAACTAATGTGAGGAGATTTTAAACTTTAAAACAAAATTATCACAAAAGTCTTTTCTTTTTTTTACTAAAAGATTAAATGCAGTCGTATTTAAAAAAAAAAAATTGTCTTTTTCTTAAAAAGAATTTTTTAAATGAAAATAAATAATTGAATGAATTGTTAGTGTATGAAATACATTTACAAAATACAGTTGGAAGAATGTCATCGACGCTTTCTTTACACTTTTTGACAAATATTTTGTTAAAATATTTTAATATTATAGAGTAGAGTGATTTTTAAAGAAATTTTATTTTAATTTTCAAAAAAAAACAAGGAAAAAAGGAGAATAATAATGGGAAAATGAAAATGAATGATAGGAGAGGAGAAATTTAAGTGGCAAAATTGTTAATTGTTAATATCCTAAAAAACTTGAAAAAATCCAAATCACTTTCAACTGATATAATTAAGATAATTGACAAATAAATAAAAAAATGAAAAGTGCCAAAACTGACAAAACATCGAGACGACTGATAATAATAACAACGATAACAATGAAAAAAAATTAAAATATTTGTAATATTAAATATTTGTAATATTTGTAATATTAATACTATTACTATTAAGATACTGTAATACTATGATAGTGTGAAGATGCCACTATATACATGGGCATATACAAAGAATGTACCGTTCTCTCCTCTCCCCACTCCCCCCCCTCCCCCACCCTCTCCCATCCTCTTCGTTCTTTATTTCCTTTTCCATCCAAACAGGTATTTAATTTTCGTTTTAATCATTTTCATTAAAAGAAATCAATTATATTGATATATTTATCAATAACAGTGTTTTTCATTCATTAAAAACCACAAATTGGCAAAAATATTTATTGTAAATTCTAACTGAAATATTTGATTGAAATAAATTCTGATTCAAATTTTGATAATTCAATTTAATTTAATAAGCATTAGAAAAGGTATTTTCGAATTTTCTTTTTATTTTTCTAAAAGCGAACATAGTTCCGCTTTCATCACCAAAAACCTATAAAAAAGGAACGGGGGGAGAGCGATATTTTACGAGAGAATCATTTGATGAATAGAAGGTGCAGATGGTATTATTTAACTACAAAAATTACTCGAAATACATAAATCAAAAAATAAAACGGCGTCAATTTAAAACGAATAAATGACAGTTAATGATGAAATAAATTATTGAATATGATTTAAGAAGAAATTGAATGAAAAAAATTTAAATTTGAAATTTGAAATTTTAATAAAAAAACAAAAAATTTAAAAAATAATTAAATGAAATTTTTAAAATAATTTTTTATTAAAAAATTAAAATAATTTTTAATGAAAAAAGATTCATTCATTTATACGTTAATTGTTAGTAAAATAGTAAAATTCTTCGCTTTATTATAAAAATTTATTTTTCAATAAAATATTTTATAATATTTTAACAATATATAACAATAATATTTTTCAATAAAAAATAAATATTGTTTAAAAATTAAAACTGTTTTTAATTTTTTTTTAAAATTTTTTTATCAAATAAATCTTAAAAATAAAAGATATTTAAAATTAAAATCCAATTTTTAATCAAAAAATTCTACCTTTTTCTATGAAATAATTCTTGCTTAAAGCAAAAAAAGATTATTTCAGGTGAAAAACAATTTATAATCCTTTCATTAAAAAATCCAGCTGATTATTTCTCAACAATCTATTCATAATTCTATTACCAAAATGACTCCCTTAGCAAAAATTTCCAACTATAATGATTAGCAAGTTCGGTCAAACTTAACCAGAAATAGTGCATTTATCTTCAAACGGAAAATAATTAAATGGATCTCTCCTATCTCTAACAACAGTAAACCTACCATTGAATAAAAAGACTTTGGCTAGTACTATCAATTTATTAATATTTCTGTTGGCAGAAGACTCACTAGTAAAAAATTCTAACCAAACTAATAATTCTTTAAAAAAAGCGATGTAAAAAATTTAAAATATTTAAAATATTTGATTCAAATTTTAATTTCAAAAATTTAAAAATTAATTAAATTTAAAAAAGTTCATATTTATCAAAATATATTTATACGATATAATTATACGAAATAAAAATTTGACTTTATCATTTCTTGGAGAAGGCGAAATAAGTAAAGTAAGCAAATAAGTAAAATTAAGTGAATAAACCACTTCATATAAAATTCCTACTAATCTTCTTCGTTTAAAATAATATTATTATATGAAGCAGAAATTATAATTAATAAATATAACAAAAATCGATTATTTCATTCGATTATAAATTTCAATAAAAAATTTAAAAACAAATTTTAAATTTAAATTTAAAAATTAATAAATTAATGATTAATAAAAAAATTAAATAAAATTAAAAATTTACAATAAAGAAAAGATAAATGAATGGAATAGCGATTGTATACAAATAATAGTTTCGTAAGAATTCAACTATATTACAAAACTGATGTAATAATAGAGAACAACTTTTTTTCACGTCACCCCCGCCTCCAATCACCCCCTTCTCTTTCCCCACTCCCCATTTTCCTATTGCTTTTCATTAAAGATAGTTCTAGAGTTCAAATTTCTTGGTTTGACTAGTAATTTTAGATAGCGAAGTCTGGTGAATTAGATGTATCGCACATTAATACAAATAATATTATTTCATCTTAGTCACAGATATGTACTACATTTGCTGAGGAAAAAGTTAGTGTGATTTCGACCTTTTCTCTTAACAGAATGGTCAAAACAAAAGTTTGGATAAGGGCGCTAAGCCTTTATTATCTCCAAGTAGGAAATAAGAATCGAATCAAATAAGAATCGAATCAATTATTTGCCAAATATGCCAAACGAGTACGAGTATTCTTTAAGATTTTGGTAATTGAGTGCCTTTTCAATTTTTTAATAAATTTTTCGGACTATTAAGAAAATTCGCTATCACAGAATCATTTAGCGATAGAAATGCCGAATTTTCTAACACCCCTTTATGTCACCGTAGTTCACAAAAATTGAACCCAAGAATACTCAACAAGTAGAACGAAGCAAGCATAGAAATCGGTCAAAATGATAAAATAGCTTAATAAAAAGCATAAATAAATGACGAGGCAAATGCTAGGGGTGATCCATAAAATAAACGAAAGCTTTTAGTAAAAAAATTTTTTTAAGACAAAAAAATTTTGAATTATTTTTTGATAAAATTAATTGCCAATCATTTCCTATTAACTAATTTAAAACACAGTAATCAATGATTTTTATTTTTTTTTGCTAATGATAAAAAAAAAAGATTTTAAATTCGAATTAAATTAAATTTGGATTAAAAGATAAAATTATAAAATATAAATTATTGAAAGATTATTTTTTCTAAAATTTAAATTTTTCTTTTTCTCTTCAGTGTCTTTCGTGATTAAATTTTGAAATAAAATCATAATTTTAAAAATCAAATGATTAATCGAGGATACAAGGCAAACATGTCTAATGAACGTTTATCGATTGTAAAAAGTCGGATATTGTTAAATTTCGGTATGGCAACCCATATTTCTACTGATAATGCATATCACTTCACTTCGGAAGTATCACTTTGGAAGAATTCTTGTTTCATTTAAAGAAATCGAAAAATAAAAAATAATATGAAAAATTTCAATTTTATATAAAATAATTATATACGAAAATAATTCTAATAAAAAATTTTAGAATAAAATTATTTTATTATTTCAATAAATTTTAACAAAAATTAATCAATTTATACATAAAAAATTAATACCGGATGATTGATAATAGTTTGAATCGCGCAGTGAATTATCCACAATTTCGCGTTTACAATTGAGTTCATCAGTTCCATCCAAACAATCTTTACGCGAATCACAAATTTTTCCCTTATCAATGCATTCACCACTATTGCATGAAAATTCGTATTTTGCACATCTTTCGATATTCCAATTTGTATAATCTTCATCATATTCGTTATGAAATTCATTCTCTCTAACACTATTATTGTCAATTGTGTCTACCGAAATCTGCAATACCATATTGATTATTAGCCTTTCATCAATTTTTTTTCGTCATCTTATCACTAAAGGATAAAGGATAAACCTCATTGAGCGACAAACTCAATTATCTTAAATCTTGCTAGAAAAAAAATTGCATAGATAATTTCAGGAGGAATTAAAAAGCAGGAAAATCCAGAAAATCTGAAAAAAACTTAATAATTTCCATTTCCATTTTCAATTAGAGCAGTTGGCATTTAACTACATCCATTTTTAGACTCGAAACATTCATAAATGATATATCCTAAGGAGAAAGTGAAATGAAAATGACACAAAGCATGGATTCTCCTTTTCTCTTCTCTTGAGAACATCGCATTGAAAGTACATAATTGTTTGCTGCCGAGCACCTATGCACCTTTGTCCTTAAGTTATCCTTTAGCGAAAAGGTCTTATGGGTCTAACGAATCTATGAGTCAGTAGAGTCCAATTAAAAATGGTGTTGGACGATGAAGAAATATTTTAGAGTAAAAATATAATTATAATAATAATTATAATAATAATGAAATCATAAGAAGCGTGAAATGAACTGAAGAAATATTTATTAAATTTTATGGAAATATTATGGAAATTTACCGAAATAAATTTATAGCTTTTCAGGAGAAATAAGATAAAATTCCTTTAGCGAATTTAAATTTTTCAAAAAAATTTTGATAATACTAAATTTTTGATATTATTGTCTTTGTTTTATTATTTGTTATTTTGTCATTTAAATTTAATATCTAGTAAAATCATTTGCTAAAACTGACTTCTTTTTGCCGAGGATTTATAGAATTTTGTCCGTTATCAATTCGGTCTTCCTTCTTATCATATCCATTTTTTTCTACAGTTTTACGATAATCTATTTGTTGAGTTTTATCAGTTCGACTTGATACTTTATCCTTATCATGTTTTTCACTATTTCTACGAAATCCTTCATTCTCAAAATATATTTCATCATATTCATTTTTTTCTTCGGAATCGTATTTTCGTTCTTCGTCTTTCCGATTTCGTTCGCCATTATTTCGACTCATGTCATCGCCATTAGTTCGCTTCGGCTCTATTTGTTGCTTTTCAGTTATAACACGTCGATCTTCATATTTTCTTCTTTCTTCTTGCATTCCATGCTGTACTTCAGGATTCCATATTATCTGATCGAATCGTTGCTTATCTTGTGCCCTTTCTTTTTCATGTAAAACTTTACTTTCCTTCATGCTTTTTCTTTTATCATCTGTTTGGATATTCCATCCAATGACAGCTTTTTTATAATAATCTGCAAGTAGTTTCCAAGAAATTTCATCCGAAATACGATTATTTCATAAATTTTAAAATTTTGGTGTTTAAAACATTTATCCATCATTATAAATATAATTTATGATATGGATTTAGTTCATCCAATTTTCATAAAACTCGGATTTTATTGTAGTAAAATTATTCTCATTCAAAATATAGTATCAACGAATTATTATACCTTTTTACCTAAATAAATGATTTCTCGAATCTCAAAAATTAGGTGAAAAAAATTGGCTTAAAGAAATTAAATTATTATCAAATACCACAAATCGTTTCATCTGATCCATCTAAACAGTCATATTTACGATTGCATTTGTCGCTTTCAGGAATACACTGTCCATCGTTACATCGATATTCGTTCAACTGACATTTTTGATTGATATCAGTAGTAGTACATTTCACTTCGTCACTACCATCACCGCAATCATCATAACCATCGCATAATTTCTCGTAGTGAACACATTTTGTTTGCGATAAATATGGACATCTATAAATAACAATAAAAAACGATTATTATCCGCGATATTTTCAAGTTTTTATTAAAATTTTAAAATTTTTATTAAAAAATTTTAAATTTTTATTAATAAATATGTATGCAAATAAATATTTCTTGAAAATTTTTTTATCGATAGATTTGCTTATTTTACGAAAAAAAAACACAAATCCGAAGGCTAAAATGTTTGGTTTTTGCATGGTTTTTTAGTCGAAATAATACCGATTTAGACGAATTAAACTAATTTTATATTTTTTATTCTTATATTTATTAATTTTTATTTTATAATGTTAGTTTGTGGAATTATAAAACCGATAAAAGTGATTTCTTTAAAAACAATTTTTAAAAAAATTACTATAAATAAAATTATTTTAAAGTGTTGATTGAATAACTAAAGAAAAGAAGAACTTTTTTTTTGAAAAAAATCTTAAAAATTTTTTCATTTTTTTTGGGTCGTTTCAAATTTTTCTCTTTAAAAATTTATAAAAACTTAATGAACCGATGATATTTTCTTCTCTTCGTTTTGTGATAGATGAATTGAATTTCGCAGAAAAAAAAAAAAGAAAAATTGCTCTAATTATTAATTGAACACTAATTGTGCGATTTATCGTAATCATTGATGGATGAAAATATTGAAAAGAAATATTAAAACCGAAATTAAAAATGGTTTGATCTTCAAAAAATAAATCTCCTTTCCTTCATAACAATTTTCTTCATTTTTCCTTCCTCTCCCTCCTCCTCCTCTTCTTCACTTTCCCTTCCTCTCCTCATTTTGATGACAATTTTGTAATTATTATGAAGAATTCATGCGATAAAAGATTGCAGCGAAATTATTTTCATTCATTCTACTTGAAAGGAAGAAAAAAAATGAAAACGAAATGAATATATACTGTTGGTGTATTAATTTTGTTGAGCAACAAGTGTAACAAAATATATACTTTATGAATCGAAAGAAAAGAACTGAACAAAATTTTTTTTTCTTTTCCAATGAAAATTTAATGGAATTTTTAAAAGAGGGATTAATGTGAAAAATTTCACTAAATATTTTTTAATTGAAATTCTTGCATGCAAAATAAAAAAAACTATGTATTATCAATTTTAAAAGTGACAATTATAAAATATAGGTTGACGACAACATATGGTATTACTTTGAAAAAAGTTAAGCGCCCCATTCGTTTGATTCCTTCTAAGAGTAAATCTATCAATAAAAAAGAGATTTTAAGGACTTATCTATGTCTTCGAATGTCCTCGAAAGGATTTGATCCTTCAGTGAAGTCATTCAAAACGAATTTCCTCGTATTTTAGAAAGATTTTCTATTTCTTCCTATTATATTATATTTCTTCCTATTATATTTATGGACAATGAATAAGGTGATAAGTTTAATTTCAGGTTTCTTATAAGAGACTTACCTTTTCAGAAACCAGAAATTGTAAGATATTTTCATGAATATTAACAAATAACCTTACATATTGCAAAATATAATGTATATACAAAATTACTAATTACCATGATAAATTATTACCAATAATAAAATGATTAATTCATTTGAAGAGGTAAAAATTTTATTTATAAAATGAAAATTATCAAATAAAAAATTACATTTTATATCTGAAAAAAAGTATGAAAAAAAGTATGAAAAAATTTTGATAAGTGAATTTGACTTGATGAAAATTTGAACTTGAAATTGTATATCTTCTTAATTCTTGTTTTCTTCTTGATATAAGGAAAATTTAATTTTCATGAATTTTGAAGTGGAAAATAATGAATATGACAAAAATTCTTATTCGTTTTTTTCAAATTTAATTAAATAATTTGTTAACAAATTTTTTATAAAATTTAACAAATTTATTTTTTATTTAAAATTTCTAGTTTTAATTTATTTTCTAGTTTATAAGGAATTTTTGATAATTAACAAATTAGCGATTAATTGGCGATAAAAATTTATCATATCACATCATATGCGAGCAATTTATCAATATTAAGACAATTGAGCATTCCGATATTCTTAAAAAGCATGTAATAATTTAATTTTTACTGTATATTTTACGTAGTTTAAGATATAAAATCCTTTTTTGTACATTTTTCGTGGTATATTATTAAATATTCTTACCTAAATTCTTTATCTGAGCATTCTAAATCTTCTTGTCCAGTATCGCCATTGCCATCCATATCATAGGGCTCATATCTTTTAACGCTATTGCCTTCTTCTCTACTCGACATCTGAAAAAATAAAATAAATCAATGCTGAATAACTATGTGCAGTAGGATTTTAGGATTTGAAATGGCTTCCTAAGTCTCCCCCTAAGTCTTTTTTCGGCCCTTTTAAAATTTTTCATTATTCCTTAAGATTTTGCATATTCGATTATGTTAGCTGTAAGAGAAAGAGAAGCTGAAATTTTTATTCTTGAAAAAATTGTATTCCTCTTTTTTTTTAAAACTTTTCTTTTTTCGAGCATTTCTTATTACCAAATAATATATTTTATATTCTCCGTTAAATGTTTATTATAGAAAAGTATTTCGTAAAAAAAATTAATTAAATCAGTTAAAGAAATTTCTATATGATTATTATTATTCATATTATTTGAAATTTATATAGAATTTTACGAAAAATATTTAACTCCTCAACGACCCCCTTTCAAAATTCCCCAATGAATAACAACTAATCATTTATAAATCCTCATGAAAAGCAAACCTCGTCTCATAGTCCATTATAATTTCTTGCACGTAAAACCAATTTTATGTTATCCTCAAACTATTGCATTGAAATATATGGTCTAAGAAGAAATGTCGACTAGCGACATTTCTTTTAAAAATAAGTAAAATAATGTCTACTATTTCGTTTCGTGGGCCTCTGCCATAGAATGTAAAGGATTTAGAAGAGGTTTCAAAAGGTTTGAGGAAAAACTAAGAAGCTAAAACATAAAACAGTTCGGTCAAATCTGCATAACGGAGTCCGCAAATTATAATTGCATGGCTTTCGGATCTTCTTTTCGCTCATATGTTATTTGTATTATAAAAGATCTTTCGGATTATTATTCTGAGTGAAAATATGCGGAAAAACTATATCGAATTCTTTATATAGGAAAAGCCATTCGGAAAGCTTATGAAATTAAACTGTAAAAACTGTGAATCAGATCAGAGATAATAGAGATAAATATTAATATCTATTCATTTCAACAATTGGCTTAACCATTCTCCACCGAATCATTCATTATGTGGTACCTATTTTCTCATATTTTCATCTTATTTAACGAAATCACGCCAACTCAAGTTCGATTCGCTTCGATCTTGCCTTTATATGCATTAATATAGATAGCAAAAAGAATTAATTTTTTTATAAATTTATCAGTTATAGATTTGTCGCTTGAAGTGATAAAATATCTTTTGTTAATTTATTAAAAATTTATTTAAAATTTTAAAGTTTAACAAAAAAGTTTATCTAGTTGCATGTAAACAGTTTTTGTCGGAAATGTTTTACTTTAATTTTCCTGAAAAGGAAAATTTTACTTCGCGATAAATTCTCGATCCTTCATAATTCTTATGTTCGACTGTCTCGTTAACAATTTGTAAATGTCCTCTGGTGGCAACAATAAAATATTCTAAATATTATTTCATTAAACCGTTCTGCTTTAGGAACATAGTTCATTTTGATTTACATCGTAAATTGTAAAACACATAAATTAGCTTTTATTAAATGTTTTTTTAATATTTCTCTAATAATTTGTTTTAATAAGAATTATTTTAATGAATTTAATATTTAATAATATTTGAATATTTTTAGATATAAAACTCATTAAAATAATTCAATAGTTTTTTAATTTTTATCTCAATTCTAAACTAATTTATTTGAATTTGAGTATGGAAATTTTGATTCTTTTTTGAAAAACTTTTTTCATTTTTCATAATTTTGAAACTTTTTTTTGAAATCTTTATAATTTTGAAAAATTACATTATTATCAAATTATTATATTATAAAAAATTATGAAACTTAAATTTCAATTTAATATATTTTTTAAAATAGTTTTGGTATTGTGAAATATTAATTTTGTATAATAATTATCAATATTAATGCAGCAAAAAAAAAAATTATTTTGGTTAAATCGATTTATGCGATTATGTCATTCTTCAAATAATGTAATATATATATTTATAATTTTTACCGCATCGTGTTTCATCAGTACCATCAATACAATCATAATTACGGTCACATTTATAAGCATTTGCTATACATTCACCCGAATCACATTTAAATTCACCGTCTAAGCAATCGCGATCAATTGAACGCTTTCCATTACCTAAAATAAATAAATTCGCATCAGTCGCAAATTCGTTCGAATTTTGTTTGCAAAAAATTCACAATTGAGAATATTTTCATAGCTCTGCATATAAATATATATGATGGCATCTCATTCTTCCGTTCAAATACCACTTGCATTAACAGTACCATCATAGAGCGTCGTCTTTACTAGGTTCTTCGTTGCTCACAACAAAAGTTGTATTTCGTTACTTGCTAAACCCTGTGGTGAGTGACATCAAAAGTGAGAAGGGCCAGTCAGCGAGAAGACCTGGACTGACAAGGTCAGGAAAGACTTTGTATAGATGAACCAGCAATATATGGACTTAGACGATGGAAAAAAGAATGGTTTTCTATTTCTGTTTTCGACGATGGCATCAAACCTCGCCGTTTGAAAATGTCTTATTCTTGTAGCCAGCCTGACGAGTAATAATTTTTCATTTACATAGAGTAGAGGTGTTAGAAGAAGAAGAAGAAAATTTATATATATATATTATTCAGATTGTTAAGCATTATGGTTCGCATCTAGCTTTTGATATCTGATAAGATAAAGCAGGTAAACAGAATTTGATATATTGTAATATATTTGATCTCAATCAGCTATTGTACAGTTATTGTTAAGTATCACTGAACTGAACTCGATTTTTTTACTTATTCCTTTAAATTATTTTGAGACTATTCGAAAAAAAAAGTTTTTGGAAAAGTAATTATTGAAATTTTCATCTTCAACGAGTTATGCCACTAGTTCAATTTTTCTCTCCCAAATTGATTTTGTCATTTTCAATATTTTTCACTTACATAGAAGAAGAAAATAATATATTTTTAAAAAAAGTATAGAAATTATAATAAATATTTAAAATATTTAAGTAATGATACGAACAGACAAAGAGTGAGCAAATGTCAGCGGATACTTTACGATCTTTTCAGTGATGACCTAGTTAAGATTAGTCGCCATAGATGATGAGTGGTGCTACGCGTCGAATTTTATTCAAGTATCCAGAATTACCTATTCGTGAATTAAGGTTCTATATATTCGTTATTACATGTGGTACACTTTATGGATGGTACTTAGTATATAATGCTAGTAGTAGATTTAAATTTAAAGCTTATGGACGACATGCGACAATTCATCAACTTCCATTATTCGGTTACCGATTCAAGGTTATTTTTTTAAAACTTATTGATTTATGCAAATATAAGAAGGGACAATTCAAAAAAACGAAACAATTTTCTTTTACTTTTTATTTATATAATTTGATTTTATACTTAATATATATTTATATACAATATTTATATTTTCTATATTTTTGTTTATTTTATTGAAAAAAACTAATAATTTTATATTTTTTATTTTTAGTTTAAAGTTCACATAATATGCAAACTATTCGTATAATTTTTTATTCTTATTTTTTATAAAATTAATTTTATTAGCTTGAAAATTATTTTAATTTATCTTTAAATTGCAAAATTTTATATGGTTAATTTAAAGTAGTAATTCTTACATTTTTTATTTGAGTAAAAACTTACATATTTAATGGATTGAAGTTAAAAGAACTAATTTATTAGGTTAACTTACTGTCATACAATTTCTTCACTGGAGGCGCTATTTAGTGGAACTTAAAGGTGTTGCGGTACCAGAGGTCTTTGCTCGCTCTTCGTTACAAGGAAAATTATATAAAAATGTGGCCTTAGTCTATTGATATTAAAAATTTATGTATCTCTTTATATTATGAATTGGAGCGTAGATGCTGAGGTTTCACTCACTGGAAAAGTAATTCTGTCCAAAAATCCGCTTCATGCCGGTGACTCACTCGTATTTCTATCGCCAAGAGACTTTCTGGCACATTTGTCTAGTGCGACAAGCCAGCGGAACGAATTTAACCAGTAATGGTTAGGATTCAAAAAAAAAAAAAATTTCATATGAAGTGGGTAAATAAGGGGCAAATTATTTGCCTTTAGGCAAGTAAGAAAGGTCTCTGTAATCAATTTTAAACAACTGTCTTGTAACTTATTCATAATATCCTCAACAGATTTAAAGTCATTAGACATATAATCTACCAGTATTACTGTTACTGAGAATTCAAATCTTGGTCTTCCGTTAATAGCTAAAGAATTTCCTAAAATAAAGTTAATTTAGAACTCTACAAATTCTATACAAATCTTTGAAAATTTAAAAATCCTTATTAAAAATGTAAGGCATTTCTTAGGCCTTAATTAGAATAACTTTTTGTTAATATCCTAAACATTCTTAGCCTAACAAGTTAATTGAAGACCAGCGGTAACCCTTTTAAAATCAAAAGTAAATATAAATAAAAATAAATAAAAATAAAATCTAACATACACTTATAAAATATTACATGGCGGTTGACTGAGATAAATATGATAAAATATTTTTATTATAATTATATTATATTTGATTCTCAGAACTCTCTCTCAGAACTAACTAAACTCTCAGAATTCAGTTCAGCTCAGTTTAAACTTATCTTTAAAGTTGAGTTAAATTAAAACTAGTTGAAAATTTTTCTATTCATCCAATTTATTACCTAAGCAGATTGTATGAAAATGATTCTATCTTCTCTGAATTCTCAGTTTTAAATTCACTTTCTGCTGCCAAAAAGAAATTAAGTCATTTTATTGGCTCTAATCTTTATGCTTACTTAAAAACTTTTTATCCATTAAAATATTATTAAGTTTATCCAATATTTTTTTTTTTTTGTATAAGCAAATAGATTTTCCAGCCAAACTTGGCTATTTTAAAAATAAATAAATAAATTATTTCGATAATTTCACTCCATAAAGCTTATTTCATGAAAACAAAAATTTGTGCAATCAGTTTCTAAAGAATAAACAATTAAATTCGAAATTTAAATAATTAAATTCGAAATTTAATGAAAATAAATAAAATGAGAAAGAAAAGTGGCAAAAAAAGAGTTGAGTACAAATCAATTTTTCAAAAATCTGAAGTAGAAAAAGTGAATTTGAAAACTTTCAGGATGACACCAACTGGGAATGGAACCGTTGGTCTCATTTCGCTATCGCATATTTGCCACATATGATTGCTCATACGATACTTTTCAATTTAGCGAATAAATATTTATCACAAATTATTGTACCCTATATCGTTATCATATATTCATTAATTATAAGCAGTATTTTTTTTACCCCATGGCTTGTTTGCTTATCACTGCTTCAGGGCACATTCGTATTTTTTATTGCAAATCTTGTAAGGTAATCATCTTATATAATTTATTAATTAGTTATTATTGTAAATGAGGTACCAAAAGCTCATTAAAAACGGAGTAAAGAGGTGAATAAAAAAAAAATAAACATATATTACAGGAAAACTTAGGCAAATAATAAATGTGGATACCAGACCTAAAATCCTGGTAAATTATTAATTCCAGGAAACGATCAGCAGTTTGGTTAAGTGCCATCCCTTCATTGTATTATGTTTTACATTATACTACCGCACTTGCTAGTGATCCATTTCTTGTACTTATTTTCGTTTCTTATACTATTCTTTCCTATATATCGTATAATTTGGAAGCAATCGATGGGAAGATTCGAGAAGAAGATAATAATTCATGGAAGCGTTATATTCGTATGATGTTCTATACATTCTATTTGCCCTATATGATAAGCTTAGTTATGACTTATCCAGAATTTGAGCGCCGAATTCGCGAACGAAATTCAAAACCGCGACAGTGGAATAAAATAATTCTATTTATTATTCGAATTATTTTTTGGTGGTTATTTATTGAATTTATACTTCATTTTTTTTATTTTGAAGCAATATTATATGATATAAATTATGCAGCTAATCTACCTAAAAATGAATTTGTATCACTTGGAATGGCTATTGGCTAGTTTTTTATTTTCTATATTATTTATTTTTTATATCAATAAACAAATTTTCATTGATTCTAAATGTAGATTTAGTAATTTAGATTCTAATCAAATAAATTTTTCCTATTCAATAATCAATTTAAAAAAATAGTTTCTTGAGAAGAATTTTTAGGAATTAAATTATTATCAAATTTAGTTTATACGTACTCGATAAGTAAATGATAATCTGCATGTGCATTGTGGCTCAGATAATTGTCACCGAGAATCGAAATTTGGGTTCGAATCCACCGACACCACTTTGTCAGGTGACCCCTAACGGAGGTGACAACAAAGATGAATGAAATGGCTCACTGGGTGTTGTTGCTCAACAGTGCCAGTGCTGAAATTCCACTCCCAGAAGTAAATCTGTTCAAAAATTTGGATAATGCTGGCGATTTTTCTGTACTTCTCTCGCCTCGCATATTTGCCTAGTGGAGCAATGGTGAATCTCTTTGAAAAAAAATATGCTTGCGGACTGGATATTTACTTATCTGAAAAATCTCATAACCTAATAAACTAAAAATGATAGTATTGTTCATATTTGATAAATAATCTAGCTTTTAGGCACATTTTTCCATATGAAATACGTTGTAATTTTTGGTTTCCCATCAATTTTTGCTCATTTGGATAATATGCAACCATTCGATGGACCGATTTGTATCGCCCGTGTGACTCTTTATTCAAAAATGTGGCGATATTTCGATCGAGGACTATATTCTTTTTTCAAGACTTATATTTTCGTACCAATCTGTGCTCCTTCTTTTTCAATCGGACGCCGAATTATCGGTGTTCTAATTTCATTTGCGTTCGTTCTATTATGGCATGGTTGCTATTATCATAATGTGGTAAGCTATTATTATTATTGTTATCATTATAAATGGAATAGTAATTTACCAAATACTAAATTGCCAAATTGTTCTACTAAAAATCATTGAATAATTCAAATAAAAAATAAATAATTTCCGAGAATAATTTGTATAAATATTAAAAAATAATATTAAATAATATACCAAAAATAATAATAAAAATAATATTAAAAATTCAAAACAATTTTTCATGAAATTTAGAATTATCGAAAAAAATAAAAATAATTAATAAAATCAATAAAAGGCATATAAATATAATAATAATTAAGGTGTGGATTATACTCAATATATTGGGACTATTTGTTGAATATACAGGAAAAGCAATTTATATGATTGATAGTGTTCGAAAATGGCGTGAAGAAAATTTATCAGATATTGCATTCCGACGAATTTTGGCTTGGCTACAAATAATACCATTTATATTTGGAATATACTCGAATTTTTATTTCTTAGGTGGTAGCCAAGTAGGATATCTATTTGTTCAAAGAATTTGGAACGAAGAAACTCTTACACTACGCTATCCTCTTTTTATACTTCTCACACTGGGCTATTTTTATACGCAATTAACAATCGAAATTGATCGAAGAATTGAAATACGTCAAGAAAATAAAGAAATTAAAATGAAGAATTAAATACTGAGAAATTTTAATGAATATTTTTCTTTTTTTGTAAAAAAATCGTGAAATTTTTATAAAAAACTTTAAAATTGCTTTAATTTCGAGAGATTTATTTTAATATAAATTATTTTTAACTAATTTTTTTTGTTTTTTTGAAAAAATTTTGCCTTAAGAGTCTTATCAAAATATTATCAAAGCATTATCAAATTATCAAAATCTTAACAAAATTTATCCAAGTTAAAATATTTAAAATATCTTTTCATCGCTATTAACTGCAATAGACATTTAGGCTAAAATTTTTAGCCGTGCTAATACACATTTCAAAAAACAACTAAAGAAAATTAGAAAATAATAATTCAACTAAAAAAATTATAAAAATTGCAATAATTACAAAAAAAAGTGGTTATAGAAATGATAAAAAATTTTTAATATATAAAAAATTGAAATATCTCGAAAATAATATTTTTGACTGAATTTTTTTTCCATAAATCCGTCATGAAAATCACAAAAAAAAAAAAAAAATTTTTGAAAACCATACCACAGTGCATTTCATCAGAACCGTCTTTACATTGTACAACTCGATCACAGCGCATTTCCGCTCTAAGACAATGTCCATCGCCGCATTCCCATTGTGACGTTGGACATAAACGAAGTTCTTTGAGGACTATAAACGATGACGAACAATTCAACAGCAACTTTTGCAATGCAACTTTACAAAACATTTAATCGTAATTAATTATAGTGATTAATGTGCCGTTAATCAGTTAATATAATCAATTTGAACATAAATTTATGAAATTTGGTTAGAAATAATTTTTATAAATTTAAATTAAATCGAATTTAGCATCAGTGAAAAAAAAAAATTTCATAAAATAATTTTTATGAAATTTAAAATAAAAAATACAAATTTAAATTCATTAGACTAGAAATGGTTAGTTATTTGCCATAAAATTAGAAAGTGAGACATAGGAAAGGCGAATTTATCAAAATCGACCACAATTCGACGTTATAGGCCCAAAAAGAATGGAATAATAGCCAAGCGATTAGGTACAATATGCATAAATTTAAAAAAAAAAAGGATTTAACTTAATTGTTTGTAGCCAAATTTTAAAGTCTCAGAAATTATATATAAAAGAATAGTAGAGTAATTGTGAGACAAAAAATAGACCGCTCAAGAAATAAAATTTTTTTTTAATTTTTTTTTTTTAATATGCATAAAATATAAAATTTGCAAATTATAAAAATGTCATACCAATAAGAAAAAATTCTCGCATATCGAAAAAATCGAAATAAAAACGAAAGAAAAAAATAAATCATTGAAATAGGTAAATCACTTAAATCACTTAAATAGGTAAGAAAAATGGTGGTCAGCGCTTAGCCTACACTACTTCACTGGCGATTACTACGAACAGAAATTTATTGTTCGAGAGTTATTTGACGGTGATAGAAGTAGAGAGATGGATTCCTAGTACAGATTTTTTTAAGGTTTTGGTTTTTTTTTAATGGAAATGGTGAATCGAACCTTTGCTTTTCGATATGATAATCTGAAAACTACAATCCATTTGGCAAACCTAGGCAAAAATCCCCTAGATTAAGCAAATAGATAAGAAAATATTGGAAAATTAAAATTATCATTTAATCAGATTATCAGAACAACAATCAGAAAAATTATCAAAAAAAATTTAAAATGAGTTGTGCTAATCATAGCTAGGCATGCTTTATAAAGAATGTGATATTTTCAATATTCAGGGCAAACATAAACGATTTGATTTTTAGAAATTATTGTATGCATAAATTATTGAGAAAGCCCTTATAATTTCGCTTCTATAATTCTATAATTCTTCCTAAATGGGAAATAATTTATTCGAAAGTGAGAAATTATATTAATCCTCTTAAATTTTTAGCTTTTTTTCCAAAAACAACCACTTTTTGTAGAAAAATAGTTTTATGCTAAGCAAAACCTCTTTCTTTAAAATCAGTTCCCCTTCCCCCCCCCCCCCCCCCTCCCCCACCTTATATTATATATTTTTAAATCATAATCATCGATTTAAGCAACAAACATTAATTTAAAAAAACAATTGAAATGAGATAAAAAAGACTGATAAATCGACGAAAAAGAGGAGTCAATTTATAAAATAAATACGAATTTGTATCTTACTCATTTTGTAAATATTATATATTATTGTAGAAAAAAATAAAAAATAAGTTAGCAAAAGATGGGCCAAATTTGGACTTACGATTCGTTGTGCAGCATTTTGAATCTATGCAAGCAGAATATGATGGACATACTGAATTACTCCAACAATATGTTGATCCATGTCTATAATTAAATTCTCATCTTAGAATGTAACAGAAATTAACTCATTGATCCACTGGCTCTGGCTTGGCTTTATAGAAATATATTTTATAAATATATTAGTATGAGTATGATAGCAATCATTTCTGGCTCATTCTACCAGTTTTGATGGACCAGATAAATTTCACTAGGTTAATCATCATTTGGTGATATAAATATATTCGGGGGGTCACGAAAACTATTTGGAGTTTTGAAAGACTTATTTTTAGATTTATTCCTTTAGAAAGATATAAATTTGTTTTTAATAGGGCTATTATGCTGTTTAGCACATATTATTATTGTAATAATATTAAAAATATTAAAGTAAAGTATTAATATTAAATTATTATTGTAATATTTGCGATGATAAATTTACCGCAGAATCTTGGAAAATTAGAAAACTATGGAAATTTTATGGAATCTCAAGTATAAAATTCTTCCACTAGTTTAATAAATTATTATATTTTATTTTAATTATTATTGTATTCTATTTTAGAATAAAATATTCTTACAAACTATGCTCGGGATATGATCCATCTGGGCATCTTACTGTTGGCAATGATCTACGCCAACTTGCTACTGTAACTTTTGGGCAATTTCTCTCATCACTGCCATCTTTACAGTCGTTTAATCCATTGCACCTAGCTGTCCTTTCGATACATTCATTGTCTTGAACACAATGGAATTGCTTCGATGTGCATAACTTTACTAAAATGATTATTGAAAATTATTAAAAATTGAAATAAATATTGATTAATAAATATTTATATAAAAATTATATTTATATAAAAATATTTTTATATATTATTAATATATATATATATAAATATTAATATATATATATATTAATATTTCTTTATTTAATATTTAATATTAATATTTCTTCTTTATATATTAATATTAATATATTAATATTATTTCTACTAAAAAATATTTTTTTCTCTTTAAGCTTATTTATACTTTCACACAAATCGAAAAAAAAGATAAACAAAAGGATAAGTGGAAAAAAAGAAATATGGACACCAATCCGCACCATAAATTTTCGCGTCAAGAAAATCAGAGGGAATTTTTCGGGATGTGCAAAATCAGCAAATGAGTAGTATAACCAAACTTAGTCAGGAAATAGAACATATAGTGCGAAAAGAAAGATAATTAAGTTTAGTAAGTAGAAAGAATAGTAGTAGAAAAATTTCAATCAATCAATCCTAAGGACCACTGATAAATAGATTTTTAAAAAAATGTCTTTCTTACTCCCGTGGGTGACAATGATTAACCTCGAGCCCTCTTTACCAGAGGCCTGAGGAATTGACGGCTCTCTCATAGCTATTGCGCTTTAATGCGCTTTAATAATGCGCTTTTCTGGATAGATCTCTGATTTTGTTCCTGGAATCTGCTGAAGTGATTAACCTTTCTAGTCTAGATGTCACCGCTACAGAGAATGAATTCACTGATATATTGATTTGTATTGCATTGGAATGAAATACCTGTACAATTTACTTCATCGTCACCATCTGGGCAATGTTTATAACCATCGCATGCCAACGATTTAGGAAAACAATGTCCTGAGGGGCATTTGAACTGGTTCGATGGGCATTTTGATTCCTCTGTTGTATTGGCTGTATATATTATTTTTATATTAACTGTTTTTTCTACACTATAGTCGTCGAGATGAATTTTATAATCGCCAGCATCTGTTTCAATAGCATTTTCAATTTGCAAGATTTGCCTATCAACAGAATAATAAATGCTTATTCTAGGATCATAACGAATTGCATTCCCATTTTGTGCTATACGTTTGCCTTTATGAAACCATGTAACCTTAAAATTAACAAATAAGTAACAAATTTTGATATAAGGAAAAATTGCGACCTTTTTTTTCCACACAGTTAACCCTTTCAAAAAAAAATATTACTTATGATAATATGATAATCAATTTTTTATCATTTTTTTTAACGATTTAATCATTGAATATTTTTAGGAGATCTCAGTATAAATTTCTAATATAATAAATATTGATAGGTGCAAAGTATATAAATAAATTTTTGAATGATCTTCATAAATTTTACAGAATAATATTAAAGGATCCTTAGGGCAAAATTTTAAAAATAAATGTTCTCTAAAGTTGTTTTCAATATGTAGCAAAAAGCTAATAGATAAAATTCGCCATAAATTAGATGAAATTAGATGAAGGAGAAAACCTGACATTTGTTGTATTTTGAGATCCATGTATAGTAAAAGAGATTCGAATTGTTTCATTAATTCCTACATTAAGACTGCTTTCTTCCAACGATAAATAAACGGCCAATTTTTTACATTTTGCTAAAAAAAAGAAATTAAATATATTTATGGTTTTCAAGATTGCCAAAATTTCCGAAAAAACTGCAAATTTTAAATTTTTAAGGTTTAAATTTTAAATTTTCGGAGATCGCTATTGCTATTGTTATTGTTGTACAAATTTGAAAATCCATACTCTATGACTAATCAATTTTGTATAATTAAAATGATTAAAAAAATAATAAATAAAACAGTTGATTAAAGTTGATGTTCATTCATGGATTGCTATCTTTGATAAGAAATTTATCAGAAAAAATCCAATCTTTTCCCAATTTCATAAAAATTTAATTAAAATAATAGCATTATTCATAAAAAGATTAGCTTATTGACAAATGATAAAAATCGTAGTTTTAAGATAAATTCTAACAATAGTGGGAGATTTTAAGCTAAATAATATAAAAAGATTTTAATGTGAAGTATTTGCTTTGCGTTTCTCAATCGTTATACAAATATTTTAAATCCAGACAATAATCGAATGAATGAAGAAATTTTTAAAGTTCGACCAACTTAATAAATTGCTTAGTTCAACCATTCACGCCAAATAAATTTCTATAATCTTTTCACTGCTACATTTATACACCTATTTTATTTAATTCAATACTTTTATTACTTTTTAAATTTCTTATCTTATCACTGGTGATCAAATCTCATCGCTAGTGATAAAACCTCTAAGTTTTATAATTAGTAATGATGATTTTTTTAAAGCAATTATTGTATATATGATGACTAAATCAGATTCTAATTGTACGTTTCTATTTATTAGAAGCATCGATATTATTTTTTAGAAAAATAATGAACAATTGTATAAGGCATAAATTATATTTGAATAGCGATAGTATTACTATTATAAAATTAATATAATACCATATTCTGGCGATTCATCACTCGCATCACTACAATCATTAACACCATCACATTTCTTCGCGATATCAATGCAAGTTTCATCGGAACATTGAAATTTTGATGATGTACATTCTTTTAATGAATCTAAAAATATTTTCTACTAGCACTGAATGAGTAATAATTAAGTGGATGTAGCATTCACTATTCCTGGCTAAACTCGTTCCGTTAGCAAAAATATAGAGGATAGGATCATCAGCCAACACCAAGATATTTTGGTACCAGGTTTATTCCTGCATGAGCTTGAATCGTTGCATTTTATAGTCTCTAGCTGTTTGGTTATTCACTGGCATTATCTTAGGTTATAAAATAATTTCATAAAATTACCTATTTCTTAATAATATTAATAATAGATTTTTCATTTTGCTAAATCAAAAAATGTTACAGTCAGAATGTTACAAAAAAATTCATATTTGGGCGATGTACAAATTATAAAATAATGTTTTGGATAGAAAATTGGCAATAAATTTGCAGTTTTTTTTCGGCATTTTATTTAATGAATAAAAATGAATAATATAAAAAATTTTGAGCAAAAAAGCGAAAAAATGGAATAGTTAATTAAAATCAAAAATTTTCATAATTTTACTAATAGAAATTGAAAATAAACTAAAAAACAAAATTATTACCAAATATCTTTAAAAAACTAAAATGAAGCGATGAAATAGCTTGGGCCTTATAATTTTTAAGAATTTAACACTACAACGCTGTTTTGTAATTTGTAAATTTGTATTTTACATCGATTCAAGGAAAAAGGGATTAAATTGTTGCGTGAAACCATAGAGAAAGAATTTTCTATCAGTTAATCGAAAAAATTTGTATCATTTTCATGTTTTTTTGAAATGCACGTGTATAAAAATAAAAAGTAAGTGATAAATTTAAATAATTAAATAATAATCTGAAAAAAAAAAATTTCGGAAAAATGATTAAATTTTATCATTCGATGTTTTAGTGTTTATATATAAACTTGAATAAAGTAGCGTAATTTGATTAAATATGATAACAAAATTCTAATGATAAACGCTTATAATATAAATAAATAGTGAAGGTGTCATTTTGATGTGCAATCAGTATTTTAGTGCGAGAAAAACAAAGGAATAAATTATAGATGTTGACTGATATTTTGAATGCACTGGATTTTTTATCAATAAAATGTGCCTGGCGCTTTTAATTAATGGTTGAATAAGATCTTTACTTTATCACATAATTAACTTGATTTTCAATCTAATTGTTGCTTGAACTGTGTTGATTAATTAGTTAAGTGAAAACCCTTAAGAATATGAAATTCGTATCCGTCAGGTCCCACAGCAAATCGACCAAGGTGACCGTTGTGTATCGCATTCTCGAACGCGGATCGTATCTTTGGACTTCTAGATGTTGAATATAAATCGATTGTCACCAAAGTACCAACAACTTGATGATACCTGCACAAAATAAGGACAAAGTGCACATGATAAAATGCAATTGAAAAAAGTGCAATAAATAAATTTCGCTAAAAACTTTTTAGACTTTTTGATAAATACTAAATTTCAACTAAAAGACAAACAAACTAGGACTACAAGAAAAGTGCATTTTGTGAAAATTATAAAACAATTAACTATTAACTGCTATGAAAAATCATTTGATTTCTATATTATTTTTAAAAAGTTTTTTGTATGAATGAAAAGAAAAATTTTTCAAAAATTTTTTTTTGGAAAATTTTCAAGTTTTATGAAATTCATGAGATATTCTTATCTTATGTTATAAAAAATGAAGCAACCTGTAAGGTAACAGTTTGATCTTGTGTTGGCCAGGAATATTTTTTAAAAGCCTATCTATATCCTCAGTTATCCTACGATCAATGGTGGCTTGACGCTGTGGATTCGTATGGCGTGAATTTGCTGGATACGGTAGATTAGTGAAATTGATAGTAATCCTATAGATAACAAGAAAAGCAATAGTAGGAAATAGAGATAGGACCATGGTTGAGATGATCTTTTAAAAGAAGCCGTTTCGAAGAACCCTTCGCTTACAATGAGTCTGCCTACAAAAACGACGATGGAACGAAAGAAAGCGACTGATCGCTCACGCCCTTCACAATTTTGCTTGTCGATTTTGTTTGCTTAAACCAAACTAAAGTTTATAAGCTCCTCTTACCTGAACTATTAAGTGTATGGCTAAATAAATCGAATAATATAGATGAATTATCTAAAGAATTTCGTAATAAAGAAGATGTAGAATTGTCTTTATCTTCTTTCAAAATATTCACTGATAATACTTCGTCGAAATGATTATCATTTTTTGCTTTAAGCAATAATTCTCCATGAAATGGTGGCGCATACACATATATATTTAAGATGATAAGGATAATACAGAGCCCATACGACAGATGCAACATAGATGAGACTGACCATGAAACGCCCTTGCCCTTGTCCCATATCAAATCAATCAACAATAATTGTGGTCAAATATCACTGATGTTAATCAGCCGCCATCGCCTTATTCATACAAAGATATGCATGCTATGCGTTAACAAACTTTTTCAGTTTTTGCTAAAATTCAATAATCTTTTAGAATTTACTCTTAGATCGCTTTTTTTAAATTACTCTTCATAGATTCCAATATTTCAAAATACCAAAGCAGAAAAAATTTTTTGTGAAAAAATTTTTTTATATTTATTGTAATAATGTGTAATTGAGACGATTTGAACGTAAATTTATATTGAAATATTTAAAAAAAAATTTATAATGAATATTATAAATATTTATTATCAATTCGACTCTTTATTAAGAACTTCGAATAAACAAATTATAAAATAAAAAAAATTTAAGCTACAAAAAAATAAGTAATTTATAAAAATAATTAGTATTAAAATGTTGGAAAAATAATTTCAAAATATTTAAAATATTGGGTAAAAATCCTTCAAATCCCTTCAGAGATATATTTTTTTTTAAGAGCTCTTATCATTTCTTGTTTCGCTGAGCTTATCAACTAAATTTTGCCAGTGATAAAAGTATAGATAATAGTTGATTCGAATTTTTGGTTTTGGTTAATCGGAAGCATTGGAGCTTCGATATGACAACAACTCGGGAATATTATAAAAACTGCATAATTAGTATAATTAGTATAATCATATATTTAATATTTTAAATATTTTTAAAAAATACATAAAAGAAATCACCACTTCTTTCTTCACTTCACTACAAGCTAGTAATTGAAAGTGCATGGCAAAAAACTATGAAAACGATGTTCATACAAGTTTCATTCTTCTTCGAATAATACTTTTAGTTAATTATTAAAGACGTTAGAGATTTATTTCTTTAATGCTGAAAAACTATTTGATGATAGAAGCATAAATCCACAAATTTGCTTATTTTCAATTTTATGCATATTTAATCTAATAATTTCAATTTTATTTAGATTTAGAATATTTTGAAAATCGTGTAATGCTTAACTCCAATCGAAGAATAACGACAATCCCAGCAATAGACTGCTATCCTATCCTCTTTCTTGTGAATTATTGATGATGAAATTTAAAAAGCGAAATTTTTAAAATCACTTTAAAATCATAATATAACTTTTAATAAAAATTCATTTCACTCATGCTCCAGTTTTTGATTTCAGAAGTAAGGCAAAATGTTTCACAATAAGCAACAACATTCCTTTCTGCAAAATTCATTCATCAAATTGGATCATAGTCATTAAGGCATTTCTTTGATAAATATATCGCGTTTGTTAATAATTTGTGCGATGAAATTACAATTACTATGTATAGGCAAAGAAAATTATGAAAGCAAATGAGATAAATAATATAAAATGATAAAAAATTATCATTCATAATTATTCTAAGATTCCTGAGACGCATAAGATTCCTGAACTGAATTACTTCGTTATCGTTTTAAAATTCGAATAAAATTTTTGAAATAATAATTGAAGCATATTTTAAAATAGGATAAGTCTAAGTTTTCAATCTTTCATATTCATTTTGCGTGTTTTCCTCGTATATTCTTTATAACCTTCCAAATAAATCTTAGAAATTATCAACTTTTACCTATCATTCGTAAAATTATCTAAACAAATTCTTTAAAAGAAATTCACAAAAAAAAATTAAAAAAGTATTTAGTACTCAATTAGTTGTTGGTATGATAAGCTGGTATTTGTACCAAAAGATATTGCGAGTAAAACAACAATTGAAGCGCTTATCATTAGCACTTTTAATCATAAATTTATTTCTACTGAATCTTGATGCTGGAAATGATAATTTGAGCAACAATATTTTGCAAAAATCGACTATTTCTAAATAAATTTAAAAAATATATTAAGAAAGTATTATAAGTATAAAAATATATTAAGTAAGAAGAAAAAGATAGCAATAGGTAAATAGATGAAATTATCGTGAAAATAAAATATTAAATATAAAAATATAAAAATTAAGAAAAATATAAAAAATATTAAAAATATTGAATGATTTGTCGCTTCATCTAAGGCAAGTTATGATTTTTTTTCTCTTTGTTAAACCTACTAATAGTAAAACCGAGCAGTGATGAGCACCCACTTGCAATTCTTCTAAAATAACCCTCTGGCGAAGAAGAAGTCTTATCTATACTTTTGTATAAAATATTATTTTTAAGACTTCCGTCCTAAACATCAACAAATAAATTAAAAATAAATATAAATGGAGAATGAATTTTCAGTTAAAATATTTGCCATTTCCGAATTAAATAAAAAATATTTGACCTGAAATGGAGAGAATTAATGATATGCGAAAATAATTAGAGATTTTCGCGCAATCTTAGGTCAAAATTCTTTAAACTCTCGGCAAATCATAACGGCAATTAATCCGCAGTTAAAAAAGATTTATTATGACCATTTATTTTCTTTTAGATGAATAACTTTCTTCGAATTTTATAATGAAAAAAATTCTAAAAATTATAAAGCTATTTATTAAAAAATCTTAAAAAATATTAAAAATATTAATATTTAAATATTAAATATTAAAAATTTTAAAAATATTAAAATAGAAAAATCAATTATGAATTATTTTAAAAAATGAGATACAAAGTTATATTTGGTTCTCTTAATTTTAAATTTTTAAATTTTTAGTTTTTAAAAAATTATAATTTGTAATTAACATATGATTATAAATCATATATTTTAAATTATATTAATTATGGATTATAATAATTATAATTATGGCGATAATATTAAAGGCATTGGATTGAAATTTCGTTGACCGATTTGAGGAGATATATGACGTATCAAATTATATGTCTTTAGATCAAAAAATTATTTTGCCAAACGTATTTAAAAAGAATTGTTTTCTTTTTCAGAAGCATCAAATAAATTACCTATCGATGCTTTTTTCTGATTCTATTTAATTTTAAAAAAGAATTAAAAAATCTTCTTATTGACATTGATTATCGAAAATTATCCATTCTATGATAGAATACGATTGTGATAATTGATAAAATCAATTATTAATTACAATCAAAGGAAATTAAAGTAATCAACAAAGAAACTATGTTAAATAGACAAATCACCAGCAACTGCATTCTTAGCTAGAAATTCGCATTATAGGAGCAATAAAAAAAAGGATTTAATCAAGAAAATGGGTTATATCAAAGGTTATATCAAACTGAAATCAAGCCAACATAGCTTCGACTTTCTAACAGTGGTGATCAATCATTATGAGCTGATAAGGAGTTATCCTAATAGTCGGTGAGTCCAGTCCAATCAGAAATGTTGTAAGGCTGAATATTTTTGTATAAGAGAGGAAAGTAAAATTGCATAAAGTGGAGCTTATGAGTACTTCAACTCCTCTATTTCAGTATTGAATTAAGCAATTCTTTATTTTATTGTTAATAATCTCTAATTTCCGCAATATTATTAATCAACTAATTTCCGCAATATCATTAATTTACCGTTAAAATTTCTATTAAAATTATACAAAATCTTTTTACTATAAATTCATAAACTTCATATCATTCACAATATTATAATATATGTAAAATATTTTATCACATTTAAATTGCTTATTATAATTTTGAAATCGAAACTAAGATATTTTTAAATTATTTAACATTTTATTAATATTATTAATTAGATTAATCGTTTTTTAATCGAAAAAAAACAAAAGGTAAGACTCCTCCACTTAACAAGATTAAGCCTATCATTAAAAAAGCACCGAGTGGCGCTAACGGTTCTTCTATATTTTTATCATCAGATTCCTGGCAAAAATTTCTAATCAAACTAAATGAGTCAAATGATAAGCATTGATCACTTAAATTCTTTTATCAGAAAAAAAAACTTATGAAAAAAAAAATTTCATTCTGTTAGTATTAATTTCTCGTAATTTCTTCTAATCTATCTGATTGATTAGAAAAGAAATTTCAATAGAATGGAATTATGATTAATTCTCTTATCATTTATTCACTCTTTATCTTATTGTCAGTGTTTGCACTATAAAAGAACTAAATTTATAGGTTTACATGCATTTCCATGCCAAAACAATTAGAATCAATATGGCTCATCTAAGTTGAATTGAATTGAATTGAAATGAAAATTTAAATTTTTTTAAAATCTACGGTGCGCTCTGAACCATCGGAAATGTCGAACATATGAAAAAGTTCATATAAGACCATATTTTAAATTTACTCGAGCAATTCAAAAAAATTACAAGATTTAAGGAAATTTGAAGTTTAAATTTGTTCCTCAAATTAGTTCTTCTAAGAAATATATGATTGAGTTAAATATATGATGATGATTCATTCGTGTTAGCCAATATTTAATATTTATCTAATCTTTGCAAAAAATTTGATATGAATTTTCAGTAAGCAATAATAAATATCTTTAATATTTCAGTTTCCTTTCTAGAAAAATACTGCTTTTTTCTGAATAGTTCACCTGAATGTTTCCTAAAATAGTTGAGGCGTAGGATTGGTTAAAATTATTAAAAATTCATCAAATAATTTTGTTTAGACCAATAATTTTAGACCTCAAGAATGGAGACTGCGGCTCGATTAGGCGACAATAGGAAACTATTCTGCCTTCTTCATAAAGCAAATGACTCGGGAAACGATCAGTGAAATGGCAAGAGACAGCAATGGCGTACTAATTAAAAATATTAAGGATCGCCTCATGAGATGGAAAGAATTCTTTGAGGCCATGCTTAACCATGAAGCGCCATCTGTTGCCCAACATATAGCTGATATATTAGCCGAACCATACTCTTGCAAATGCGAGCCTCCAAGAGAAGAAGAAATAATCTTCGTTATCCATAAGATTAAAATGACTCCGGGAGAAGATGGTCTTCGGTGAACTCTTCAAATGTTGTACATCATCCTTCATAGCGCACCTTCAACTCTTTAGTATGGAAAAACGAAATATTACCAGATGATTGGAGCAATGCAATTCTGCTCCCAATTCTCAAGAAAGGTGATAGGACTGCGACAATTATCGAGGAACCAGCCTACTAGACGTCTTAGCAAAAATTTTTGCTTCATTGCTACTCAACAGACTTATGGAAATATGGGAGAGCAAGATGCGCCCTAATCAAGCTGGTTTCAGACCAGGACGCGGTTGTGCTTACCAGATATTCACGTTAAGAAGGGTGTTGGAACATCGCTTCAAACATTTGCAACCCACTGTCACGTGTTTCATCGACTTTGCGGCTGCCTTTGATTCAATTGATAGAGCGGTGATGGAACGTGACGGTGTTCCAGAGAAAATCATTCGACTCATAAAGGCATTTTATGAGCGCACGTCGGCGCAGATGTGTATACTTGGGGAGCTGACAGATTTCTTCGAAAGAAGAACTGGTGTCCGTCAGAGTTGCGTCCTTTCCCTCACAATATTCAACTAAGCGATAGACTGGATAATGGACTCTGCTTGTCGGTACTGAAGAGGTGTCCGAATTAGTCCAGAGCATCATATCACAGATCTTGAATACGCTGATGACGTAGTCCTTTTTGCTGAAAGTTATAATAAAATGCAAGTAATACTAAATAACGTGTCAGAAACTGCAGCAAGAATCGGACTCAGGAGCAATGTAAATAAAACGAAAGCCTTTTCGTTTTATATCCAAGAAGCTGATAAAATGCCTCTTTTTACAAATTCATTGCCAGTTGAAGTACCTGATTTTAAATACCTTGAGTCCATTCTTTTACCAAATGGCCAGGAAAAAGACGATATTATAGCCCGGATCAAGGCAGCGAGAAATGCATTCTTCCGGTTGACGGAGTCTTTATGGAGTCTTCGCTGGAGAAATCACCATAAGAACGAAAGTCTGCATCTATATAGCCGTGATCCGTTTGATCTTGCTGTATGATTCTGAGACATGGCCAATGAGAGTGGAGGATATTAAGAAGTTATCTATCTGCCTTTGACCGCTCTTTTATATTACGGGTCCGTCGAGCAGATAAGATATCACATGATCGCATCCATCTTCGTTCAAATACTACTTGTATAAATATTAAATAAATAACAAATAATGTTATCTCAGAGCATTGCCTTCGCTAGTTAGGGCACATTCTCCGTCATTCATCACAGGAGTTGACGTATATTTCGTTACTGTGATGGTTGGCGTCAAAAGCGAAGGCCAATCAAAACCTGGACTGATACAGTCAGAAGAGATTTTGAACGTATAGGTGAGCCAACAATATATGGACTTAGACGATGGGAAAGGGAATAGCTTCTTTTACTGTCGACGATGGCATTAGACCGCGCCGCTTGAAAGCGTCTTACCCTTGTAGCCATTGGAGTTAGCCTAACCAGTATTGGTGAGAGCTGTTAGAAGAAAAATGATTTGCATAAATTGTTTATCCGATCCACTTATCAGCTTAACAGCTTACCGAATTTGCAGCATAAATATATTATATATTATAGGTATGCAAAAATTAAAAATTTACAGGAATTATGCATATAAATTTTATTGCCTATTGGTTGATTTTTTCTGGAGATTTGAGAGTTCGTGCAATGGGAGTCGAAAAAAATTTTCTCTGGAAAAGAGGAGATGAACCAGAAAACATTGTATAAGGGGAAAGAGAATACGCTTTTACAGGTTTATCGTTAAATGATTTAATGCTTCTTTTAGTCGTCCACAAATATCGTCGTTTCATTGACGCTAAATTAAAATTTATTTGGAATTATTAATTTGATCAGAGATTTGATTAGAGATCTGAGAACCAGTTTTAGGATTTAATATGAGATATAAAAAGTCTTGCCTCAGTGAGGTTGGGGTAGAATGGCTTAGTGAGTTGTCACTCTTATTCCGGAGCGTCGACGATGAAGATCTACTCCCTGCAGTAAATGTTTTGAAAATCCGAGCGGTCAGTTGGCGATCAGTTCATGCTTCTATAGCCTAGTAACTCTTCGGTAAAATTTGTCTGCTATGAAAGAATGAACCTAATGAGCGAGAGATTAGAGCGAAAGAGCCAAAGGGGTTGAAATATAATCGGTTGCGCTATCTATATTCCATTTTATAAATATATTTATTATGTGATAACCAAGAATGTTGTCTATCGAAAATACATTTGTGATAGTGGGTTTTTTTAACATTATCACTAAGTGATTATCAGTTATATGCCGCTGATATTACTGGTGGAAATCTATTTATCCATCTATAATAAGATGATGAAGAAAGCATACCTCATCCTGACAATAAATGGAACCAGCCGATTAAAAAGTTGGAAAATGAAGAAGAAAAAGTAAGCGTGAGCAATTATCAGATGGCAAGATGGCCAATGTTCTTTAAAAAATTTTATGTTAAAATATCTTAAGCAAAAATCTGGCACATTTTACGTTATTTATTTATTTATTTTTTCACGTTATTTTTGCGTGAAATCGTATATATAATACTTCTAATAGTCTTTTAGTAATTTTTCTAGCTGTTTCGTTATTATTTTCCCACTGTAGCGGCGATCGTCGAGTGGTGTGATTGCTTTAGTCGGCGTCAAAAACCAGACGTTCACCTTAAGTAGCGTTGGCGATGTAGCCAATCTTGCAACCAGCCACCAGAAATCAGCCAAACCAGAAATGGTGAGCGCTAACCATATTTATTAACGTTTTCCTCAGTAAATATCGCATTGCGGATAAGACGGATTTGTCGTGTATTTGATTAAAGCAGTTGAAAAAATTTTTATTGTTTTCGAAATATTAAAATTTCACCATTCGTTTATTTATTGAACATATTTGTAAAAAATAATTTTTTTTCATTAATTTTAAATTTTTAAAATTTTTCGATTGAAATTTGATAATTAATTTTGATTTTTTAAATTATTATGGAATTTTTTTCTTTATTAAATTTTCATTAAAATATCTTTTTGATTGAATAAAAAAGATTGGAAAATTAAATAAATTAAATGAAAAAAATTAGTTTTTCATAAATTTCCCATTTATTTTCATCTTTTGTTAATGAACTTTAATTTTTTTATTTTATTAATTTAATTATTATTTTGTTTTAATATTTTATTCTTTTATTTTTTTTATTTTTAATATATAAAACATATTTTATATGAAAATTTTTAAAGCATTGAAAAACCAAATAATGGTACTTTACGTTTATTACTTCTTTGTATGTTTGATTTTTTTCGTTTTGCCTTCTGAAATAATTTAAAGGTTTTTAAAAATCTTTTAGTAGGTTTTTTTTGTTCGAAAAATTTTATTTTGGACATATAATTTGTATGATTTGTTTTGAAATCGTTGCGATAATTGCCATTATTGGCTCTACTAAAACTATTTGTTCTCTTAATAATAAATATGTTCAAATTGTATTATTTATATAAAGATAGTAAAAGATGTTCAGAAATCCGCAATCACCACGTGTTGCAGGTGTGAATGCACCTTCTTTATATATATGCATTAATTTACCCACATTCAATCAACAAAACCTGTGGCAACCGATGCGAGATTGAGGAAAGCCCATATTACCCATGGGAAATGAGGTGCAAGCATTTTATCAGATTTTGTTTTCACATTATTAAAATTAATATTTTATATTTTAAAAAGGAAAAATTTGATAATTTTCGAATAATAATAGTTTTAAGATAGTCGAAAAATAAAATATTATTTCAGATAGAAAAAGAATGGTAAAAATATTAATAAAAATAGGAATAAATGGAATAAAATCGACAATATATTCCATTTAATTATGAAAAAATTCAATTAAAAACGAATGATAAGAATATAGAAAAGTGAAAAAAAACATAAAATTTAGGAGAATCTTCACGAAAAAATCGGTATTAAAATCGATTCAAGGGTATTAAAAATATTAATAAAAGGGCAATTAAAATAAGAAATGTAAATAATTATAAAATTATCATTGATTAAAATATTTATCTGATAAATAAAATAGTTACAAAAATAATTAAAATATTTAAGGAGTTAAGGAGATATTTGTGAAATATTTGGAGGTGATGATGAAGCTCGTTTATAAGGACTTGCATCCATATCTTATATCGATAATTCATAATCTTTTATACGTAATTTACTTGAAAATTAAAAATTTCATGATCAGCTCTTATGGTTTTTTAAATAATCATTTGATTACGATAAGGTGTAACCTCAATTCAATTCAAAGAACTTTCACTTTTATATTCGTTTAGGGAAATATGTTAATATCAATTGTCTGATTAGATAGGTGCTTTTAAAAAATCTATGCAAAGCATTCTGTATCAGGTTTCAAATTGGAGAAATTCACATCTAAATCGACTGGCTCATCAAACATGAAAATTTATGCGCAAAGCAATGATCCACTACGATCTCCTAACGAAACAATTATTACTCTACAAATAACTTTTATAATATTTAATAGCGATAATGATTATCACTAAATATTTGGATTTATCACTATGGCGATTTCATATTTTCGCGGCAATGATAAGAAATTAACTGTATATAGAAGTCGACTGAAAATCGAATTCGAAATTGCATCGTTGAAGGCGATATGTATGGATTATTTCAATATCTGAAATATTTTCCGCATTCTCACCAAATTAATCTAACGTTTGTAATGTTCGACACTCTGTTTCAGTTGATTCGTTATGTCGATTGAAATTGTCCCACTCAACACAAATATAGTACCATTGCCTTACTTGGAAGTCTGATATACTTACCTTAAGTTTTATGATTATTTTTCTAGTTATAATTATAATGCTTCATTATCAGTCAAATCTTATCTGATAAAAGAAAATATAGTCAAAGTTAGAGCTTAAATTAAGTATCATGGGTTCGATTTCTATCACCTATCGTTTAGAATAATAGAAACTAAAGGTCCATATGTTCTTCAATCTCTCCGTTGCTCTCCGAAAAATTAATGATCTAGTAATCTATGGAATCAAGTGAACCAGAAATAATGAGTATTGCTGGAAGAAGAAAATAAAAAAACTGAGAAACAAATGTAAATGTAAAATCTATAACTTTTTCCAACTTAATTGTCTATCTTCATGAATATTACCCGGGGATAATCGCTGGTTTTTCATCGGATTTCAATGGTATAGCAAATAAAAAAAGAGTGGGAATTTGAATTGGTGCCAAATAGGTTTCTAGAAAAGAGTCAAGCAATACTATACGAAAACCATGTTCCATGTTGAAGTATCCACAAAATTTATTACTCTAAATAATTTTTTATTTTTATTATCAAAAAATAATTAAAAAAATGTATATAATAGGCAATAAAAACAAAAATTAATATTGGCAACTTTTTAAAAAAAAGTTATTTTAAAAGTTATTAATTATTAATTAATTAATTAAATCAATTATTAATTTTAAATTTTAATTAGTTTAATTTTAATTTTAATTAGTTAATTCTTTGTATTTATAGAAAAAATTATTTCTTTTCAAAATAAACGATTTTTAAATTTGCATAATTTGTATTTTTTTGATTATATTCTTTTTAATCGTTAATTGTATAATTTATAAAACTAAAAAATTTGATTTAAATAAATAAATTGAAGTAAAAATTTAAAAAATAAATATGCTTTGAAACAAAAATGAAATGAATAATTGCAAATTAATTCATTTATCGAAAATTATTTCAATACTAATTCATATTAAAATTTATAAGAAACTTCAAAGATTTCTTAAAATTTTACTATTTAAAATGAATAAAAAATAGCGAATAAATAAAAGCTATCAAATTTTTGGTTAATTTGATAATATTTAAAATGCCTTATTTTTTTCTCTTTTTCGATTATTTAAAAGAATAAAAACTTTTTTTTTTGCTAACTTTTACTTTTTTGTATTCACAAAAAATCGTTGATAATTCGGATTACCGCATATTGTCTCAAAAAAATGAAATCCTATGCAAAGGTTTTGTACAAAATTCAAATCCTTTTATCAGATTATCAGTTGATTGTCAGCTGATTTAATAATCTATTAAATCTGTTCAACGCAATTTTCTCGAATGAAATCGCATCAATTATCGTTCTTCTCAATCAACGTTTTATAATATCAATAAAACATTATAAAAATAATTTCATTCATCGAAATAGATATTCGAATAATATAAAAAAAATTAAAATAAAAAAAATTCCGTCAATATTTGCTGTGTCTCTTTGAAATTTACTCAATACTGTTTAATTTCTACAAAAAAATTTATTTAGCAAATTGCATTCGACTGTAGACGATAATTTTCATTAAATTATTTATTTACAATACAAATAAATCATTAATACAGAATTATAAATCGATCGTTTAACAGCAATAAACATAAAATACAATAAAAATTTTATTTTAAATATTAAAGTTGAAGTTCGAAAGTTAATGCAAAAAAGAACTGCAAAAATCGTGTAGAGATAGTGTCGATTTGATTAAAATTAAGTATCATGGGTTTGGACCTTTTATTTAAGTTCGCAAAGTTCGCAAGCAAAGCTGACTACTGACAAACCATGACTGTGGCTTTCAAGTGAGCCATGAATTCGCGATTTATGGCTGATTTTGTTCGAAAGGAGATGATTTAAATTTTAAAAAATACGAAGAGATTTTAGGAAGCGCTGAGGAAATATGAAGTTCCAGAGAATGCATCAGGGAATAAGCCAAGTGCACTATTTGCAAACGGAGAATGCACTAACCATAGCAGCAAATAACTATGTAGACATATAGTAAAACTATATAGATATTTAAACAAAGTCAAGCTAAATTATAGCGTGAAATAGAATATTTGAGCTGGAAGGTAACAAATTTTAAACAACTGGATATCATGTATACGATTAGCGCGAGCGCAAATCTTGCGTGCAATTGTCAGGTGGGAATTTCTCATATACTATAATATTCCAGAGAAATATGCACAGAAAAATTTAAAAAAACTTTCAGAGAATTAGAAATTTGGAAATTTTATATATGTGGATTATTAGACGAGTTAATATAATAAGTTCAGAGAAATGAATGAAAAAGGAATCAGAATATGGCATCATAACCAGGCGATAATATAAATTGATAAATTTTAATAATTATTATCAGTCCAGGCAATTTTTTCAAAGCGATAACGAAACTGTGTTAGAAAGTGAGAAGTGCCATCATTTTTGTTGGAATCACCGTTCAAAAACCTATTTTTCCTATAAGAACTTGAACTAAAACCTGAAAATTTTATCAACGGTATCTAGCCTCAAACAAACAAATATAAATATATCTTCTAAAATAACTATTTTCTGATCAAAAAACTGCAGCATAACTAATTTAGTTTAATGCTCTTAACATTAAAAAAGAACCGATAAGTGATTGTTATTGCGTAGAGGGTGAGAGGGGTACTATCTCTGCTAAACCAAATTCTTAACGTGAACCCTTGTTATAGGGATGCCATAATTCGATAATTCCTTACCACGAATTTTCGCAAGTTCTTTCTCGTGCCAATATTCAATTCAAATCCTTAATTCTTTGCCAAATTATAGCTGTCTTTTAGCCAGATTTTTTTTCTATTAAAAAACTGCATGATAATTTCTTTTCAAACAGGTTTTTTATGACTCGCATTTCGGTGGAAATTTTTCTACCATGTCCGAGGATGCTTTTAATATAAGAATTGTCCATCTTGGCAACTGGCATTATATTTTCGATTAATTCGTCCATCCATATTTATAGTTTTTTTCATAAGCCTTTATTAACAACTCATTTGTTTCCTGTATATTCTTCATGTTTCTGGATAGAATGGCTCAATGGCTTGTTGTTAAATTCGGAACGCTGGTGCTGAAGTACTGAATGTCCAAAAATCCGGCTGATGCCGGCGACTCGCTTGAATTTCTATCGCCAAGGAGCTTCCTGGCATATTTATCCAATGCGACAAGCCAGCGGAGCGAGTTTAACCAGTAATAGTGAGGATTCTTAAAAAAAGAATTCTTCATGTTTTTAAATCATATTAGACTTATTAGACTTTAAATCGCCTCCATTGTTACGATCTATTACATAGTATCAGTCTCATTTTTATTTTGTTACCTACTAATATTACCTACTAATATTTCGTATAAACCACCATTGCTGGCTTCGACTGCCTGAACTGGCCATCGTTAGTGAATCATAGAAGCACATATGAGCGCATCCATAACACACTTCCTTCAGCACTTTTCTTTTGTACTGTCACTTAGCCACGTTAAATTTTTACGTCTGAATTTCTACTGCTAATATTACGCATCATTACATTATTCATTTTGCGTCCTTTTTCTATTTACTTAATAAATCTGATTCATGGAATTTTTTATTACGAGAAATTTATAGATTTACCAAATGAGATATGGAAATAATTTAAATGAACACTTATAATAAATCGGTCGGCCAAGAGAATGTAATTAGCGTTGAACGTATTAAAATTTCATCAACTGAGGAAAAGATTTATATAATTTAGAATAAAATTAAAGAAATTCAATAAAATTATTTATGGTTAATTATTTATATCGATGAAAATTTTAAAATTATTTCAATTAGTTATTTGAAATCATAAAAATTCATACAATGAATTTAAAAAAAAGAACAAATTCTAACTATAAGCTTAAGCTTAAACATAAAACTTAAGACATAAAATTTCTTCGACTGCCCAGTTAGTCAGTTAAATTTAATAATGATAATGATGTCATTGAATGATAACGTTTATGGATTTATAAACGAATTGGTTTTATCTCTGTCGATATCTTCTTAGGTTTATTCTATATAGAACTTGGAGATTCTTTCCGAGTAGTAGTTGATTGGCTATTTTAAAGTGGAATCTTCTCATCGTGTAAAATCATCACGACAAGAACTATTTCATCATGGAAAAATGAGTTTTCTTCATTATCCTCACCTTTTCTTACTTACTTATACTTAACTAATTCATTGAGAGTACAGTCCATCGATTTAATTGCAATTTATGCAATTCATTAGGCTATTGTTAAATTTATTTGCTATTAACTGGTAATTTATTAGAAATGAAAATATGCAAGTCGATTTTCGATATGGAAAAATGAAATGAAATTAAAACGAAGGAATTTGTACGAAATAAATATTGTAGGAAAATTAAATTTTTTAAAAAAATTCAAAACTAATTTCAAGTTTTCAATTCATTTTGGCAAAATACTTAATAAACACGAAAGCACTTACTGGTAACGCTGGCGATTCACCTATACTTCAGGAGATTCTTTGGTAGGAAGAGAATCCGACAAAGCAGCAATGATGAGGGTTCTTTAAAAAAAAAAGAGACTGGTGGTCACTTATGGCAATTTTTATTGAACTTTCAAAAAATATAAAAAGTACAAAAATATAAAAAGTGCAAATGAACGAAAAGTAAATAACAACAATAAAAATTATAAAAATTATTAATTAATTATAGAAAAACATTTAAAATTTTTCTCAATATGTGTAAATTGAAAATAAAAAAAACGAAAATTTTCGATGAATAAAATATTTAATTTAACTCATTCTGTTGGAAACTTTTAACCACTTTTCAACCAAAAAATTTTAGAAAAAATGCAAATTTTTTCTAATATTTTATGGTTCATTGCTCAATGTCACCGTGTTCACCTCGTAAATATTATGCAAAATGAATACCCTATCGCTGGTGCTTTCAAAGGCTAAACGATTCATTTTGTATTGTCTCTTTGCAAAGCAAAAAATAGTTATTCCAGTATACAAAAAAGTGGTTTTTTATGTTGTAAAATTTGTTATTAAATTGTAATTCATTTCGCAGAAATAAGTGAACTATTAGAAAGTCATCGAATCTAAAATTAATCACCGAATTTGATTGAACAGCTGTTCCTAACCAACATATGCTACCGCTAGCTTAATTATTTAATATTGAGTCTCCGAGGAATCTTTAAAAGCTGCATTATTATTAGATTGACGAAAAGTTTCTCATTCGAAGCTAATAGAATTGATGGTGATAAAGTGATAAAATGATAAAAACAAAAAATTATATTAAAAGCTGGCGAAATAATTGATATGTTATTTCAAATGCGGCTAAGTATTATCATAAGACCTCAGTGTGAATAAATTAAAAGTTGGAAATCTAATTAATTCTAGGTTCTAATAGGCCCTATCTATCTTACCTAATAGTAGTGCCAGCTAAATCAGAAATTGCAAGAAGGAGTTAAAACTGATTATAAAGAGATTGTAAAAGAATGCAACTTTTAATATATCAATTTTAAAAAACTACTTAATAATTATAGAACAGCTTAGTGGGCTACTTAGGCTTCGATTTTGGAGTGCCTATGTTGGAGGACGGATAAACTTACCTATCAAAAATCTGACTCATCATGGCAATCCAACTCTATTGATAATGCCGAGTGAGTCCCTAGCAAGATTTGCCTTGTTCGAAAAGTTATGAGCGAGCCTAGCCAAAAATAGTGAGTGAAATCTAAATAATTTATTAATTTCAACCTTATTCATTCACTTAAATGGTACTTAAATTATTATAAATATCAATGAAATTTACGAAATATAATTAGAAATATTCTTCGTTCTAAAAAAATTAATTTTTCTTCTTCAGGTATATAAAATATATGGGAAATTTCCCTGAATTTATGCAAATGATTTGGATTAATGTTATTGTCGTAAATAGCAAGGCTCGTGCGAAAACCATTCATCAGCTCGTCAACAATGCAATTAATCAGCGGCGCTAGCGAACAGGTAATCCCCATTTATTACTTTAAGGTCTAGTATCACACCATCGATCCTTTTAGCTATGACCGTTTAAAGTATATTTAATATTAAATGGCAATGTGGATAGATTATTTTGTCTTCTATTAAATTCTCAAACTACTGTAGTTCTGATGATCATTTAAGCAATAGTTCCCACAAATATTTTTAGGTTCCTACTTACGA